GCAAAACCAAATTTTGAAATTTGCGTTTGATTTTCCTTTATTCCAAGTGCCTATGTATCAAATTTCATTCAAATACTTTCATAAGTAAAAAAGTTTGCAATTCGGTTTATAAATGGTCGAGATGCGAAAAGGGCACTGTGAATTTTGAATCGATTCGATTCAACTTTTGGCGTTGCGTATTATATGGCTAAAGCTATGCCCATATGAAATTTCATGCAATTCAGTTCATAACTAACGGAGATGTAAAAGGGATCGAACATTTCTAAACAAAGTTATCGTTCACACGAACAGATAGATGGACAGACATACAAAGGAACAGAGGGAGAGACCAACCGGCAGGCGACAGATAGCAATGCAAAATTATAAACGATCTCTAGGATCGTTAATAAACGGCAAAAGTGTAAAATTATGGAACATGTAAAAAAACGGTTTTTTGTTTTTTTACAATAACTTTTTTTGTAAGCGGTACAGAAAAAATTCCTTCCTTGGTACAAGACTCGACACCATAACGAACCAAATAGCGAAAAAAGTAGAACAATATCTCTTAAGATAAAGAACTAGTAGCGTCGCAAAACGAGCGGACGGACGGACGGACGGACGGACAAAGTGGCCACAATAGCGCATTTTTTTTATTTTTGTGGAAATGCGCTAAAAAGAATCCGAAACATTCGAAGAATCAAAGGAGTAACAATACAATTGAAAGAAGAAACAACAGAAATAAAGTAATGTAGCGAAAATTGAATCCGAATAGTCCCTAGAATCTGAATTATTGGAATAGAAAACGAAGAATTTGAATAATAATAAGAATCTAAAGAGTTTAAACAATATAAAAAATCGCAAGCATCTATATGATCATCATATGAATGTGAAGTATATTTTTTAAATTCATGAATCTAAAACACCAGAAGAAGCCATATAAATCATTGTAAAGTTTCTGACAAATCTGAATTTAATTTAGACGTCAAAAATAGCAAGCTTAGAGTCTGCCGTCGTGGTCGTTTCCATAGAAACAGCATTGTCATATGTTCAGAACATCCTTTTATATCGCGCGTTTCACTTTATCTACCCTTGCGGTTAAATGAAGGTAAGTACATTTAAATGAAATGCAGATGAACACATGAATTAAAACTTACTAATAAATGAATGCAATGGGTGCATAAAATTCCAATGGCGATGGTGGCGACGGAACCCAATAACAGTCCAGCATTTTTGAAAGCGTGCGGCATCGCCAAGATACCTGTACCAAGTGCACCCTTTAATAAATGAATTAAGGATCCTACAGTTCTGTAAATTTCTAATTATATGCGATCTTTTCGCCTGATCGACGCGATACTTACGATGTTGGATGTTCGACGATTCTGTGTTCGAATGGATTATACTCGCCGTCATCTTTTAAAGTGCCGTTGCTCGGAATTTGTGCGCTAACTTCGTTTGTTGCTAGCGTTGTCCTGTAAAAAAGAAGGTATTGTAGTAGGTACAATCTGAATCCAAAACGAATGCTGATCTTTCTAAATGGTCGGCGGTCGCAAGTGTACGTCTTATTACAATCTTAGGATTGGGGGGAGGGGGCTATTAATTAACAAAATGTACATATTTCGACTGGATGATGGATGATGTTTTTGGATTGTTCAGCGATTTTTTTTAATAGGGCTACCAAGATAGTCACTGATTTCTAATTCATTAATTTGAAAGATTTTAGACTCCAAAGGCTTCTGGTACTTCTGAAGGCTATTACTACATTCTGAAACCCCTTAGAAATGCAGATCCCTTTAATCTGATTTTCTTTCATTTTAAACCAGACTGTTTCAATAAGACTATAAGGTGAGGTCTATTAATTGCAGGGCACAGAAAGGACGTTGATATGGTGATCGTCAAGTCCTTAGTATAGCGTAATTTTTCTAGTAAAAAGGAACTAACAAGGTTTAGCTATTAAAATAATATAAGAAGACTGAAGCTATGCAATGGTTTTATTGTAACAATTATCTATGAAACATGTGTTGCTGCATTTTGGGGTCGCTATAATGTCAAATGATTACAGCAGCAGAACGAATGATACATTTGCGTATGCCCATTTTAGGATAGATGCACAACGGTAAAGTTTCCGTTCACTATAAGCTATATGATGTAATTTAAATTCAAAATATTCGGCGCAAGTCAATGGAAGACAGCGCAAATAATTATGGTTTTGAAACCTGGTAAATCACCTACGGAACTTACATCATACAGGCCCATAAGCCTACTACCCATTCTGTCCAAGGTACTTGAAAAACTGATTCTGAATAGATTAATGACAATTCTAGATGAACAAGAACTAATTCCTAAACATCAATTCGGGTTCCGTAAACAACATGGTACCGTGGAGCAGGTACACAGAATAACCGATAAGATTTACAGAGACTTGGAGGGAAAAGATACTGCTCTGCAGTGTTCTTGGATGTCAAACAAGCCTTTGATAGAGTTTGGCATCAAGGTTTATGCTATAAGCTCAAACTGTTCCTACCCTACCAGATGTTTGAACTACTAAAATCATACATCACAAACAGGCACTTTTTAATCAAATACAAAGATGAAAATACAAATTTACACCCCATCTCCTCCGGCGTACCGCAAGGCAGCGCTTTAGGCCCTATCCTATATTTAATATACACCGCTGACCTACCCACATCACGTCTAACAACATCAGCGACCTATGCAGACGATATGGCCATTTTGGCCTCTCATGTCAATCCACAAGCTGCCTCAAGATATCTCCAAGCTCACCTCAACAAAATACAGTGGTGGGCCAAAAAATGGCGTATCAGAGTGAACGAAACTAAATCCCAACATGTAACCTACACAATGAGGAAAGAAAATTGCCCTCCAGTGAACTTCAACGGACACCAACTACCACACTCAGAGACGGTCAAATATCTGGGTCTACATATAGATAGGAAACTCACCTGGAGAACCCACATATTTACCAAGCGTAAGCAACTCGGCCTTCAACTACAAAAATTATATTGGCTTATCGGTAGAAAATCTAAACTATCATTGGAAAATAAAATACTAATTTACAAAATAGTTCTTAAACCAATATGGACTTACGGGATATCCCTATGGGGTACTGCAGCTACTTCCACCCTAGCAATGCTTGACCGGTTCCAAAATAAAGTACTGAGAATGATCGTTGATGCGCCATGGTACGTCCCAAATAAGGTGATTTTAAGTGATCTACAAATTCCCACAGTGAAAAGTGAAATTAAAAACTTCAGTGTAAGATACAAAGACAGACTGAGCGTTCCCCCCAACGATTCTGTGCACCAGCTTATGGACAATAATGATGAACCCAGAAGACTTAAACGTTTCAAACCATCTGACTTACCTACAAGATTTTAACATAAACTGTAAACTGCTTTTGTCAAATACTATACCTATATTATCTTCATAGCATACATCACATATTAAAAATGTAAGGGGAGACTTCGATGGAATTCTGCCCCACATGTCATTTTGTAATAATTAATTCAATCCTATTAAATACTTATTGCTAAATAAGCTATGGCAGATTGTATAATTAAAGGAGAATAAAAAAAAAAAAAAAAAAAAAAAATTTATTTTAACAATAAAAACAAGGATAGTATGTAAATTAATTCTGGACTTGCACAATTTTATGCCATAACAGTCAATAACAGGTTGTTTGTATGGCATTAATAAAAATAAATATTGGTCACCGAAACGGAGTGTAAATTTTTTGCCAGAAATGCACGAAAGTGAAATTTAACATCGCTTTTTTGTTTTTCGTTTATTATTCTAGTTCTTGTACGCGAGGAGAAAGCAAAGTTATCACCTTTCTAAGACTATAATTAGTAAGAACTGTTATTTAACTTCAATTACCTTTTTAACCAGTCATTTGTTACTCAATGCATGGTTAAATTGTATTCCTATATAGATACTGTTTTGCACATGTACCACTTGATCTTGAATTATAAGAATTAAGCCGAAAACTGAAAACCTGCTAGAAACCCAGTGTAAGGTTCCAAACTAAGGGTGCTTTTAAGGGTGATAATAAAATATTAAAAACAACAAAAAACAAGACAGGCAACGATATCAAATTTCCCAAATTGATGGAAAGTACTTGATTATGAAATGGTCACCTATAATAGACAAGAATTCGAATCATGAACACTGCGTCCGGGTCTCTTGCGTCCAGGGTCATTAAGTGGAATAGTTTGTTGCGTCTTCAAAATATTTGTCGTAATGGTGACGTCACTATTCTTAATGAAGTTCGGACAATTGCACCCACAAAAAAGTCATTTTGATGAACATTTATTCAAAATGTAAAAAAAACATTTTATTGTATTTGACGTTTAAAATAAGTTGAGGTAATTTCGAAAGGTAAATACCCATACAGAAAATACGTAGGTAATTTATTTCAGACACGTATATAGAGTAGGTATCTGAATGTGAAAGTATTTAAAGATATAGAAGCACATATGACACTGTAACACACATGAGTAGGTATAAGTTATATAGGCTGATTCAATTTCGAGAAACGTAGGAGATAGGTAGGTAGTTTAAATTTGACAAAGTGGCGTTGAGCCGTTTTGAAACTGAAAAAATTCCCACTACTTTCGGAGATATCCTGAAAAAAACGAAATCGTTTTTATTTTTTTCTGAAGTTATTTAAAAAAATATTTTAAAATGAATGGCACATTATTATGGTCACTTTTTTCCCCTCTACAAGATGCTACTTGTAAATTTTAAGTCTGACGTTTTGTCTCCGGTTAACCATCATCAACTTTGTTTTTTCTTATGGAAGCCTTTATTCTTTTTCTTTCAATTTCAAAACGTCATTTTGTTAAGTATCGAAATACTCAAGGAATTCACATCTGGAAACTGAATATCTGGGGCTGCAGGAAGGATACGAGCGCAAGCTTGATGTTTCTGTTCTTCGGATCCGCCTACACAAAAAGTTTCACATTTTGCTACATTTAGATGCAGTTCCAATTCAATAGCTGAATTTTTTATTAATTCGATATCATCTAAAACTGTGTCAAATACACCACCTAAAGTCCAATCGTTAAGTGCCAACTTTAAAAGGAGATTGCAGGCTTTTCAGTTTATCCAAGCACATTAGAAAAAATAGCAAAGGTCCTAACGAGTCACCTTGTTGTACTCCACAAGCGGATAAAATGACATTTTTGCCGTAAGATAACGATGATCGAAATCCATATAAAAAATCCAAATAAAAAGCTACCGTCACAATATTAAGGGGGTTGACCAATGGCCATCCCTTCTTTGAAATAAAATTGTCAATTTTTCAATTTTTTTTCTGCAGATAAGAATATGACCCACGGCCAGCCCCGGTAACATACATTTCTTTTACTAAAAATTAAACAATGAAATAGTTCAAATTTAATTTGCCTTTTAAAGATTTTCCTAATAAATTAAATGTTCGTTCTAATAACAATAAAATAACATTTTGAGAACATTAGAACAAGACCATTACTTCATAATATCATTCACCGGGTCCACTCGCGCAAGAAAGAAATCAATACAAAAAAATATAAATCAATACATTTCTATGGATCGATGATACCTTTCCGGAATTTGGTTCCGAACCAACCAGATTTAGTCAGCAAAACCGATCCTTATATTCATAACATGGAGCAGTGGAACTGTTTTAATCGCTCCTGATATATCGTAAGGGCCAAAATAAACTTACATTAGGTACTTAAATTTATGCAAAAAATTACGTAGGTGCCTCAATTACGGGTAACTCTGATTCATCACTTTATGTAAAGATACATACATTTAATTCCGCATTGTGCCCTAAATCTATTGAATAGTAATGACATAAACACACCTACTTCTACGAAGACAAAAGATCAATGTCATCATTTCAAGGTATGCATGAAAAATTTGTATTAACTTTCATCAGCTTACAATGAATGAATATAATGATAGGTTTATAAAGCTAATAATTATTATCGTGACTGTTTTCTTATTACCGTTTTTCCCTGCACGAAATTTATTTTTTGGCACGCAATGTGTTGTACGTCTTCACCTCGAGAGAGTGTCAACTGGTACCTACACCTACATTAGTGTCCAACAATACCAGTATTTAAATTGCTAACTTTGATAAACAGAAGGAGTTTAATTGGAATTGAAAATTAAAAACTCCACGCATTATGCAAGCAGAAAATCGTGACATTACATAATATCAGATTTACATAAATATTATATTTTCGATCTTACATTGTGTATTGACCAGTAGTAATAAAAAAAATAACTCGAAATTATGTCAAGCTGTCATTTTGACATACGTAATTGTCAGTTTCAACTTAAAGAACTGTCTCATGTAGCACTGTTGTTCAAAAATTATAGGGAGGGGGCGACGGACCTTATGTTGTCACTGGACAGCAATTATCCATTGCGAGGATTGTAGCCTTTAAGGTGCCTAAAATATTTTTGGTTTTTTTATTGATTGTGATAAAAATCTGTACATTTAATTGCGAATAAAATGCAACCCCCGGTCCGCCAACTGTTTGTTGGTATAGAACGAGCTTCTTTCAGGTTTCGTTGACAATGCATTTTAGCGTCAAGTTTTTAATCGATACGCTTATGCTTCGTTAATTTTCAATGCAGGCAAAAAAAGGAAGGCCCTTTTGACATCTCCGTTAGTTATGAACCAAATTGCAAGAAATTCAAACTGAGCTTAGTCAGTACCATATCAAATGCAATGTCACCGCTTTGGCACTTTTGATTGTGTATCTATCGTTAGGGTGGCTTGACTCGTGCATGTTCTAGTATTCGCATATTCAAAAGACGTCTTTTTATTCAAGAATAAGTCCCACTAACCAAGATACTGCGGGCAGCATCCTTTGAACCTACTGTGCCCTTATAGGTTCTCACAATGTCTGCAATAAAAGAGGTCTGTAATGAGAGAGGTCGGCTTGTAGGCTTTTGAAAATAAGGTATAAAAATCAAGGGCTAATTTTGTTTATTGAAACGAGACAAACTGTCGATTATGATTTAACAGATACAGATACCTGATTCTGAGGTCACAAATTACCGATACAGATTTGTACACTGTACTAGGTACGCTTTCGCAAAACATCAATACATCAATACACGTTATTTCTTGTTATTAACATTGAATATTCAATGGTTATTAGTGTGGATGCTGTCAAATAGATATTTTGAACTGCCTAAATAAATCATTCTCATTATCTATTACTATGAAATGCAAAAAAAAACGCTTATTGATAAACGAGTACTTCATAGTACCTAATCAAATTGTAACACATGACGATTATCATAAGATAGTTACGGTTTTATAAATTATTGATAAGTAGGTTCGCTTTGGTTTTAGTGCAACCTATGAAATTGAAAACATTTGCACCCAGAAGTCCCAAAATGCGTATTCGATACAATTTATCTCCGCAACTGTAACGTGAAGAATATTTAATTCTTGAAATTCTGTTGAGAAAGATTGTCAGAATTTCTCAAAATTTGCGAACTCTTCATGTGTCTTTTGCATACAACTTAAAAGGATAATGTTACGTAAATCTTGTCGTGGATCCGTTTTATCTAAAGGTTTTTGAGTCTGCCTAAAATCGAGTTTAGGTCTGCAACGGGGTTCATCTACATCTATATCCATTTCCAAGGCGTTGAACTAATTTTCATTGTCTGATCAATTCCTTATTTGATACACGATCAAAGATACCCAAAGTTCGCCGAGATCAGAATGTGCCCACACCCGGAAAGCAAAAATATTCAAAAGTCTATTATAGTATCTAATGTTGATAGTATTTAATTCAAAGTAAGTAGTTTCTTTTGTATATCTGAATGAGATCTTAATCTAACTGTTCTTACAGGAATTACGTTTTAATAATACCTCGTACCTTGGAATGAGAAATTGTTTGTAATTACAGATTTTACAGATAATCACCTTGTATATAGTGTAAAAATTTGTTACTGAACGCTATTCAATTTAAACTAAAGTTCGTTCAATTATCCGGAAAGTGAAAATTAGCCATCAATTTAGATATACGCGACTGTCCGTAAAGAGTCTTTTATGAATGTAGAAAGTTACTTACGTGGACGTAAAATCGTCTAGATTGAAACTGGTGTCCTTCTTGTTCTTCATCGTAAATCTACAAAAAAAGTAATATGTAGTTTTATGTGAAAGCTAATTAACTTGAAGTAATAAAAGTGAGTGAATAAATCTGCTTAATTTAACAAACAGTCGATCTACCTTCTTAACTTTCAACAAATTTAATGAAATTAAGTAGTTCGCAAATATTCGCAAGTGGTAGCAGTAACATCAACGCGTAATTACCTTGTAATTAAAAGACTAATCAGAAAAACGTGATTCATGGTTAAGGTACACGTTGTAGACCGCCAAAGTTTAAATAACATTTTTACGTCAAGAATTGTAGTGGGGCTGAAGTGTATATACCTATCACAATAAATCTAAGATTGCACTAAACTGATTGTGAAGTGAAAAACATGAGCAATTAATAATAGAAGTTATGCTTGTTTACGAAGTTTTAATTATTTCTACTGTTGTCAGTCATCTTTTTTATTACTGCGATAATTGCAGATTATCGGTTGATAATAGCATTCTCTAAATAGTCAGTTTCCAAAACCGTGCAGTTTGTACATTATTACAGTGAATTTGCACAAAATCAAGAGAAAATTATACACTACCAGCAATGGCTATTGTAGCATAAAGTTAACGATACCCAATTGCTCTAACTTGGCGTGGAAGCACAAAATTTGAATCCGTCAGTAGCCCAAATTAGACTAAAATTGTTACAAACTTTTTGAGAATTTGACCTTAAAATTTTTTATATTTTTAATCGACGTAAACCACTACTAACAAAATTATTGGCGCAGTTTGCAGATTAGGCGTTAATTGCCGTTAATAAATGTTAATGGATCGAATGAATTCTTTTAAATTTATACGCCTTCATACTTCATAAAGCTAAAAATCTGAAAAATATTTACAACACGATTCATATAGCAGTTGTTTTAGGAAAATTTTGCAAGTATCTACTGTTACCTTCCCTAATATAAGTAGTGTGGAAAATGATTATGGAAAGCGGCGAAAACATAAAAATGTCCACTTTCCGATGACACAAGAATGCGAAGGAGGTCGAGGTCAAACAAAACTATCGCAAAATACCTAATACAAATACATGTGGGAAAAACAACACAATGCACAACTCCTCAAGTTTCTATCAATTTTCGATGGCCTTCACTTAAATAATAATAATAGAGGATATTTTTAAACAAATACCGTTTTGCCAATAATTTTATGAAAGGCTTGGGAATTTATAAATGTTATTATTATCATCTTATTCGGTATTTTTAATAATGCATCGCATAAGGTTAATCCACATAGACCAAGCTGAGAATTCAAAGAACCGAAGAATTTATAATGTACCTTTAATTATTTCTACAAATCCAAATATTATGAAACATGCAAATTTAAACTGTGTTCATAGGTATTTCAAAAAGATCGGTCGACACTGAGGACGCAAACAGACCTACGTTTTAAAAATAAACCAAGGTCTGAGAATTTTAGTATGGGACAATTTAAATATTAGGACCTTTGGGGTGCTCAAAAGTCCTAAGCTTTAAATTTCCTCTTTAATTTTTTTATAACCGTAATAGATAGAACGATAAGACCAGTGGTTAAACCTAAAAATTTATATTTACCCGCAAACCTTTTCGTTAGTTCAAGTTTTATGTACCTAGGTACTGTAGTGCTATAGAAGGAAATGTTGGAATTAATTCTTTTGAACCATCGACTTATTAGAACAAACGATATTTGTTTTTGGTCCCGTTTACCACAAAATCTTTTTGACATGCTTCTGAAATCTGGTATTCCCTGAATCTCTAAATTACCTCCTACCAGGAATGTAGCTGTTCAAAAGTGACAGATTTGTATTAACAGGGCCGCCTACAAACTAAAAGAGGGGACACGCCCACAAAAGCGACAGAAAGCTAATTAAACTAACGTATTTATAATAATAAATATATTTCAATATTTGTGATATGGTATGGGGACCATGTGTCCTATTTTGGTTGAGACTGCAGCGTATCACCGCTGTTTTAAAAGATAACGTTGAGAAGAAGAAAATGCGTAAGAAGACTGTTAAAGAGGTTTCCAAAATTGTTAGACTTAATAATATAAATTATGTGTATGATTTTTATTCTTTGGTTCCAAGACCTATGGAACGCCGTTTTACTTTTTATTACGAAAGTTTACAATGTAACATTATAAACAACAGTTAATTTTATTTCCCGATTTATTATGTTTGTTGTTTTTATGTGAAACATTAAATATGTTTGTTTAAAAAACTTCACTTAATTGAAATGATGTATGAATGATATAGCAATGTGTATAACGAAAGTTTAACAATACAACTCAACAAACGAATACATAAACGAACAGTAATATAACTAACTAGAACTAATTCAACAAACATAAAAATTTATTCATATTAAATGTGGGATTAAAATTATGAACAATCATTTTAATTCAACAATCATATTAATTCGTGCTGTTAAAATCGGAAAGCATTATTTAAAATGATTGTTGAATTAAAATGTTACATGAATTAAAATGTTTGTTGATAATTAAAATTCGTATCTGTAATTGTGCGGAAGTTTCAGGAACTATCCTTTAGTGTATTTGGGTACGTGTATACTAGCGCCTAATTAAAATTATCAACAAACATTTTAATTCATGTAACATTTTAATTCAACAATCATATTAATTCAGCAATCATTTTAAAAGATTCTTTTACTACGTCTAACAATAAAAATTTATTTGTTTGTTGAATTAAAGTGATTGTTGAAAATATTCGGCTTCAATTTTCAAATAGTCGAATTTATATGACTGATGAATTAAAATGTTTGTTGATAATTTTAATTCCACATTTAAAATGAATGAATTTTTATGTTTGTTGGACAAAATCGTTTTATTAATCGAAGTATTTCTTGCAATTCAATTTAATTGTTTGTTATTAATTGTTTGTTGAAATACAGTTTCATATACACTCATTCAATATAACAATATAATTCATTTCACATTTTTATTAAGTAACATTTTTTAAACAATCATATTTAATACGTAAGACAATAACAACAAACGTAAAAAGTAGAGGCATACGATTGACTGTTATTTAAAATGGCACATTGTAAAATTTTGGAATAAAATTGTACAAATATTTTCAGAGAACATTTTAATTCAACAATCATATGAATTCATGCTGTTAAAATCGGCAAGAATTATTTAAAGTGATTGTTGAATTAAAATGTTACATTAATTAAAATGATTGTTGATAATTTTAATTCGTATCTCTGATTGTGCGGAAGTTTCAGGAACTACAGTTTAGTCTATTTGACTACGTGTATACTAGCGCCTAATTAAAATTATCAACAAACATTTTAATTCATGTATCATCTTTATTAATCAACATTTTTTTAATCAATCTCTTAATACGTAAGATAAAAACAACAAACGAAAAATTTAGAGACATAAGATTGACTGTTATTTAAAATGATACATGATAAAATGTTGGTATAAATACTAAAACGGCGTTCCATAAAGACCACACCCGTGGTGTGCATGCGGTAAAAATATGCGATAATCAAAGGAATCCCTTCATTGCTTGCGCCCTATATGTATGCGTGCATTTGATTTCACCGATTGTGACTTTTTATGTTTCTCAATTTTGACTTATATTAGATGTTATTTGGGTTTATTGGAGAGCGACTTCGGGGGGCCAACATGTAGAAGGAGACATGTCTGTTCTAGTCGCTTCTGCCTTCGAACCGATATTGAATGTATCTGCAGTAGGCTGCTTATAAATTTTGGGGGTTGGGGAGGGAGGGATGAAATTTCGGAAGCGAATAAATCATTAGTGAATTTTCTGAAGACGAATATTCTAATGCGAAAGCGTATTTTCCTGGGAAAAATGTTCAACATACAGGGTGAACGTTGTGTCTGGAACACTGGGTATATATTCAAAACAAAATTGCTTCTAAGAAACTGTGTATGGTATCCAAAATTATAAAAAAGTTTGCTACCACTTTACGTACTTCAAGTTTCTTGCCAGTGGCGTGGCGTACTGCTGCATGGTGAAGGGGACATATTTTCTTTTTTAATGCAACTATTAGTTTTCGCTACATATTCTTAAATCGTACATTTTTTTAATATAGCAGCATAAAAAAATATATTACGTAATCAAATTTAAGAGAAAAACTCAAATTAAGCTATTCTTAAACAAATAAATGGCGTTTCCACCAAAGTTCATCCAACCAAGAATTGGAATTGCGAGTGTTTTTCGAATTTTTAAAAAGAATTTTCTTTCCATTATTTTCATGTTAGAAAACCCACCATAGATGCAGATTTGGTCGAGATTAGAATTTTTCATTCCCATTCTAGTATGCACCACCTTGGAGTATCAAGCTTCATCCTTCTGTCTGTTATGGCTCTTGAGTAAACAATGAAAGAAGAAACGGGAATTTTTAAACATTTTAGACTGTCGGTTTATTTGTAAAAAATGCTCGTATGGCTCCTTTACCACTCAATTTTTTTAACATACTTAATTGTTACACTCTGTATAAAAAGATATCTGATACAAGAAATAAAAATAAACAATTACAGTAACTTAATTTTCATAACAATTGAAGTTAATATCTGTTCTTCTCGATTCCCCATCCATCTCTGAGATTAAGGTTAAATCTCTGAGTTGGATGCTGACCTAGATTTAAAAACCGTACTTGCGAGTGGTACAAGGTAATCGGGTAGGCAATCTTCTATTATTTATTTCTCCTTCAGATAGTTCATTGAATAATAAAACATAACGGAAATGGTGCGTAAAGTAAAGAAAGTGGTAATCAAAAGATGATAATATCTTCCTTACATCAAATGGGCACGCAATCCATTACGCCCAGTACAGTAGGTATAGGTACAAATAACGAGAAAAATGGTCTTAAACTGACCGGTCACTAATGTAGTTTACTGCTGTAATTATTATGTTCATATAAAGTTTGATGTGTTTTTTTTTATAATATCGCATGGGAAATGCGCACAAATGAATTACGTAAATTACAAAAAGAAAGTTGAGTGTCGGCGAAATTATGCAATTCGCGTAGTGCCACGCAACAAATGAAAAACATTACCTACTCACCAATTAATCGATAATATTAACAATCGTGATTAATCCTACTAACTACGCGATTGACACATGACTGAAGGTGTTATAATTCAGTTTACTTTCATATACCTACTACAATCTTTTTCTCTGCACCAACTCCATTTATAACTTTTGTGGAGGTCGTTAAAAAGTAAACGGTGTTGGGGGCACATTTCATATAGTCACCATAGGTTTTTTTCTCAGAATTATTTATCATTAAAAAATACAAATTCTTCTTCTTAATTACTTCCTAGATGCTCCTTACTGAATCAATTAAATAGTTCGAATGTCAAAGAGTATGGGTTTGCATGCAAAGGATTAAGGAATTAATTTGTTCGTGAAAGATTTCAATTTATCTCCGGAATGATCTGTGAGGAGCACTCTGGTTAGAACTCCAAGACTTCAGTCTGAACTTTTGTGGGATCACTCAGAACCATCATCAGGAAATTTATATGAGAAAATGTTCTCCAAGTTTTCCTATTTAATACTGTTATCAATTTATCATAACTCTTGACACAAAGCTTTTATATACAGTTTTAGAACTCTTGGAGGGCTGTCTATATCTCTAGTTAGAACTCCTATCCTCTGTAAGTTCTAAACTCAACGGTTAAGTAATAAAAATCAAATAACCTTATTTTGGCCGCCGTTTTCCAAAATGTGGGCTTGAGCACCACTTTTTTTGGGACTTGATAACATTTCATTGAGGCGGCAACAATGATTTTGTAGTTTTTGACCTAAAATGGCTAATAATAATAATACAAATGTAACTAGCAATATGAAAATATTAAATAATTATTAAATATCACTATGCAAAAAAATTTCGTGTACAACACGTGTTGAAGGTGTCTTTTTCCATGAATTTACTGCAAATTATTGAAAAAAAGTATCACTTTCAAAACTAGTTGTACAAATAACTTTTAAAAAATTTCAATCCGGTAAAAAACGAATAGACCGGGTCATTAAAGAATGTCTCTATTTACGGTTTAAACGTCAAATGTCCAATCCGGCTGAATCCTTAAGGGAAGCGGTCTGTATTGAATACAAACAGAAAATTACACTTTACCTTAGTTATACAGCGTCTAAAACTACCCCCTGAATACGAGTACCTATACCACAGTTCGACCGATATCACCTTATATCGCAAATTAAATTTAGAGAAACCTTAACGGTTAAACCCATAGCAAGGGATTGGTACATCTTACATCATCTGTGTTTGAAATAGTTGTTTCCATGGGAATTAACTATCTATTATTTGTACTCATACCCGAATATACAGAAGTATACCAAAGAAAAACGCCATGGAAAGTGTGTTCTAAGCCAAGGCTACTCGTACTGCTAATCTTGTTATTATTAGAGCTAAGTTAATACTTAGGAAATCTCGTGCATTGTGTGTTACAATAAATTACAGTATAATATTGAACATCAAGAAAATTACTTTTTTGTACTGAGTGAATAAAGCAACGGACCTTCATACTTAAATTATGGTTCTTTCTGAATATTTTATAGTAACGATCCGCTTAGCGTATACTTTTTGCGTTTGGGAGGAAATCATAATTGTCCCCAGCTTCTACGGGGGCTTTTGAATTATTATTTCTGCATTTCTCATTTTGTACAAAAAATTTCAAATTAAACGGACATTATATCTTAATTATCCTAACATTACAAGTTTTCTTGATTCTCCAATCAAACAAAATTCTTTCTTCTAAATTATACATTTTAACATTTAGGATATGGGCTCAAATACAAATTGTCAGAAAAACTTTGAAATAGAGAAAAGAACAAAGGGCAAACGGTTATATATTTAAAGACTAACTTACGTTAAAATCTGATGAGGATCACTGGCAGTGCCAAAACTCGTCTATATCGAAAAACTTTGTTTTCTATAACGTTTTAATTTTAATATTGAATATTTTGGGTGGTGGCCTTGCGACTTCGCGAGGTAATTTGTTGTAAAAGGCGAGGACTGTAATAATTGGCCCCATATCTATATAGGTTATTACAGAGTATGTAAAATTACCTACTTTAAAATTGCGAAATAAGGCAGGTTTTATCTTCTATCATGTTAAATAATCACAGTCTAACAAATGAAAGCCAATTTTTCGCGGCATCTTATTTTTTAAAAAACTTAATTTTTATGGATCGCCATAATTCCACTATAGCAATAGTTCTACAGCTGTATCTGGTTTTCAACCTGCGATCATTGAAAATGAGAAGAAATTTAAATTTTCAAAAACTTGAACTTAAAGTGTTGCTGTAGTCGTACATGCGAACACCCGAACACGTTGCCAAAAGTAATTGTGCATTTGAATGTTTGAAAACAAATCATTTCTGTGTCATTAAAGTCAAATCCTGATTTGTTTTCCAATAATTTTATGAATTTTTTTTAAACCCATTATTATAGAGAACTGTACTGTGCAAATACAATGTTAGCAAACGATTTCAGTTTATAATGGAAGAGAGATCCCTTCAATTCTAGTAAACAGAAAAAGATGGAAACCCTGTTGCAAACATGAGACAATAGATAAACTAATATTGTGGAGGATGATGTAAAAATAAATTCGGTGTGCCCAGTGACCAGCTGGCTTCATTGTGATACGGGGTGTGACACATTAGAAAAAATTGAGTGGTAGATAAAACCAAAATAAATGTTTTTATGATTAAACTCAAAATGTTTCGTTTAGGAGCTATACCTCGAAAAGTCCCAAAATTAGGATCTCTTTCTTGTTTTCGAGACCCCAGGCGCAGAATCAAAGTAACGGCTTTAGGTAGGTTTTCAGTAATTAAGAAAAGTTTAGGACATAGGTACACTTTAACTACGTGATTTATTTATTTACAATTAATTATTAATGAATTTATAACAGTCCTGTACACAAACTTATAATATATAAGCACAGATTTACATATACTTAAATCTGTGATATAAGTTTATAACATACGAGCGCGAGCTTCATTAATAATTACTTCCGCAACGATGTTGGAACTGCCATTAAACACAATTCCATTTGCCAACGAAAACTTTCTAGAAAGATCCCGAACATTCTCGAGAATTCCGGAATACTTGCGAACTCTGCATATCGAGTTGTCAGAAAAAACGCCTCGCGTCCACTTTCATTGCTTATTGCCGGTGTCTAATCTTTTTTGGCGTCTCGGTGGCGGCTGCTGGACGTCTGAATTTCTAGAATATTCGCTACAATACCAAAAAACCAACATAAAGTCATTGAGTCCTATCCTTTAACCCTTGCTTTATTTGAAAAAAAATGTTTGATTTAGAATCCCCTTTCATCCAATTCTATCAAAAAACTCGTTCAAATTTGAAAACTGAACCATAGGCGTGTAGGAAATTAGGAATCACTCGATCCAATTTAAAATTATTGAAGGGGTGTCAACCCTGCCTTCGGGGGGTAAATTTTTAAGCAAAAAATGTCACTCTTCCAACCAAAATCGACCTGTGTTTTCGGTCTGTTTCGTTTTCGTTGTGCCACCATGTATAAGATACAGTTAAAGCATTGAAAAATATTCTCAGGAAGAGTATGTTGATTCACATACATATATATTATACAAGATGAAGATAGAAGTAATAAGCCCATCCTTTCGGGAAATGCTCTAAGTGATTGATATTCTTACATGTATTGAAAGAATATAGACAGTTGAATAGGAATTTAACACACTAAACTGTCTACTTTCTGACCCCGTTTTGAGCTTTACCACCATGGATTCCCACCAAGATATTGAAAGAATATGTCATCTTGAAGGAAAACTCTTCGATAGATAGGTTGTTCACCCCATTACGGAAAGTAATTTGTCTAACTTACCCTATATTATATTTGACAATGTATGTTCAATTTATTTCACATTCAAACATTCCAAAAACGTACTCTTTGCTTTAGTAGGTCCCGGACACTTATCAAACAAGATACTTTTAAATAATGTAAACTTTTGAAATTATAACAAATTTTCAACAATTTCATATCACACCACTTCTTATTCCGCTGTTTGAAGAAGTTGAACACGAACGCAACATGCGTTACCAATGATATAAACCTAGAAACATCTGAGACGCTTCGCTTGATAAGCCAGGTAAATATTGTTTTGGAAAACCTGCGCACCAGGAACGAGTACTTTTAAACAGATTTCGGTACATTTTCGACATCGATATATGTTTACCTGTGATAAAACTTAATAATTGCGTATCATTCCCACCTACTGCAATTTTGAGGAGGTTTACTAGGAAGATACGATTGTCATCTTTTGCCACATTCTGAAATACTTTACATTCTTCAGCGTTTGGTGTGCCTCTTGTACACAGAACGAAACTGAGCCGGCTTTATGGTTCAGTGGTACAGCGTTGGACTATAAATCCGGAGGTCGGGTGTTCGAACCTGGGTTGAGGTAAATTTTTCATCGGTGGCAGAGATGGGAATTTCCTTAGATCAGTTTCGAGCATTCTGCCGCCTACTCCGAATTAGGTTTTCCTGCAGTTTTCCTAATTCGTAAGGTAAATACCGGAGTAGTATAGTATAGTCTAATACTTTGTCTGAGTCGGTGGCTCAGATCAGGGAAGCACTCGAGGGTTTGACTCAGGGTAGCCTTAGAAGAATAGAGGTTGTGGAGCGTCCAAAGTTGGGGATGCACAACGAACCTATAGGCAAGTCGCTGCGGCGAGGCTCTGGGTGGCCATTGTTCCGATGTCGCACTCGGAGGTAGACATCACGGACTCTCAGTCGAGGTGCATTATTTCTGCATTGAATGCAGTTGCTGACGGGATGGGGGGCGGTGGGCTTTTCTCGGTTGGCAGGGTTCCGCTGGAATCCGCAGGCTGTCATTGTGGTCGAATGCGAGGACTTAATAAGACCCTGGAATGGCGCGTCCCTGAAAGTGCAGAGGCGCGTCCCTAGGGTGGCATAATACGGCCACCATCTTGAAACGCCTCCAGAGGCAAAACCCTGGTTTTAGGACGAGCCTATAGAGGTCGGGGTCACAACATTGGGCTTGTAGGAGAGCCCACGTGCAGGTTCCGTGGGGAGGCAGATAAAACTACCGAGCATGTAGTTTGTCAATGTGACGCCTTGATCAGATACAGATATCAGCTCCTTGGCGACAGTTGTATGGAATCGGGGAGGGTAAAACAACTTATAGGCTAAACAGGGCCCTATCCTTTATTGAAAAGAACGGGCTCCGACCATATAATAGTTGCGAAAGAAAGGGGGTCTATAGGCCTTTGGTGTGCCTAAGTGATGGCTGGTCGGGCTGCCCTAATGAATAGAATAGGATAGAACCTCAGGGGGTTAGGAAAATGTTAACACATTCTATATTTTTACATACAAAAGATAATAACAAAAACATTGACAACGAACAACGGGATTCTGTAACTACATAGGTACCTATATCACGCACTCCACAGTGGTAATCCCACTAAATGTTGTTTGGCGTCAGGAAGAACAAATTTTTCATTGCACAATTTATAAGACTTGATGTGAACCAATCTCCATGCGCTTCCACATTAACAATTCTGAATGTTTGAAAACATTTTAGACTTTTGTTCTAAATATCTATATTTTTCTTTATATTTCCAAAAACGTCCGAATTGTGGTCGCAACCTTCCTACTTATTATAATAATTTATTTATTATTTACATAAAAATGATAACTATAAATCAAATCAACTGTTAAGCCAATAGACTACGTATACCAGTCGCAGATCCCGATATGAGTGCGGTCAACGAAAAGACGCACAGAAAAATATTTTTAAATAGTCTCCACTTAAGGAAACCCAATTCCTTATAGTGGAGCACAGTATCAATTACAGCCGGTAGAAGTATTCCCAAAGTTGACAGGCAAACTGCTCCAAATAACGTAATAATGGCATCCAAATGACGCACAGCCACAGCGATTAGAACTGTTATGGCAACGAATAAGCATCTCAATATAATTTGAGTAACGTTCACTTTTAGACTGCCCTGAACCCTTGGGGATAAAATTCGTCTCCATATAACATCAAGAGCTACGTAAGCTTGGAGATTATACGTAAAGAAGACGGCAAGCACTACCAAAACCTTTACGCTCTGCGCTAAGCTGAAAGACGCACTTTAAACTATTTTCATCAATTTTCACGCACTTACCCTTCACTAACAGGTAAATTGAGAGTGATGCTGGCTTCGGTTTCGCTACCGTATCTAATGAATCCGAAAAATCCTGTAATCGAGTACAGTACGACGACGATCCCCATCGCAACGTTCAGTACACCGAACCAGTCAACCAAACGCTGAGGTTGTCTCATCGTGTTTTCAACGGGCATGATTACCCCCACGCCTTCCATTGCAAAAATTATCGTGCTCAGGAAGGTCGGAAAACGCTCCAACGATTCAAATAGTGAAACCTTGGATACATCGGGCGTTTCTTCGAAAATGTAATAGAGCGTTATCCCAAATCCGATCACTAGGCATACGTTCGCTATTAGGGAGAATGGTACTAGATACTTTAGTTGTCTAATTTGCATTGAGAGGAGCAATGGTATCATAGTAATCACGCTGTAAATTCTCGTGTCCATTTCAAATTCGGGGTACCAGTGTTTAACTAACTGAGAAAATAAATATCTATTGAGAGCTTGGGCTATGTAACTGATTTTTACCTGTTGTGTTGATTCTGCTATGAAGACAATGTATACGCAGACCCCCATGGAGTGGGTGATGACCAAGAATATGTCAGCTAATGTTCTAAAAAATATGGTTCTGTTTATTATACGCGTGCAACGTCGTTTGTGCCAACAAATTTAAGCTAAGGTTAACCCAGGGGTTAACCTAAGCGTTTGGTTACCATTGATGTTAAAACTTAAGTTACGTTCAGGTTAAATTTGTCGATACAACGGTCGAAATCACACTGCTACTTTAACTACTCATTCCATATAAATTCCGTTGTACGTCATTAATTGTACATGATGTCATTACTGCACACCATTGACATGCCAGCTCGTAAGTTGTATAGAAAAAAACGCAAACGCTATTGCTGAAATAAAAATAGTAGTGAAGCAACCGTAAAACTGAAAGACCATATTCATGAGTTAATTGGTCCACACGGTAAACCTTTGCTGGTTTATTTCTAAAAAAATCAATCAAGCAATGTTCAGTGGTTGAAAGAAACGCATAGTTTGCTTGCTTAGTAGCCTGTTGTAGTATGGAGCCTTGTTTAACATCATTACCCTCTAAAGTTCTTAAATATTTTTCTAATTCAAAATAACAAAAACGTACTGATCTGACTTCTTATTCTTTGTATGGCGTGCAACGGAATTTATATTGAACAAACTGAACATTTTAATATCGCAGATACGTACTTGACTAGTCCTGAGTATTTGACTAAGCGTTTGGGACCGTTGTCAAAGGCGGCTTCACACGTTTCTGCTAGACTTAGTGACGGTACTTTCAACTTTCTGCAAAGCTCGTGTGACACACTCACCTAAAGCAAAAAATAAACAAGTTTATAAAACAACTTAAATACAACGAGAATATTCTACACCCCTTGCGTGTATTTATTGGTCATCATTTTTTCTCCGTAGCGCTTTGACCTCTTGAGCTACAATAACGGTAGCTCTTAATTCGGATTTATTATTTTCATGGGAGGGGGGGGGGGCAGGCAATTTGAGGAACCGCTGCTCTTACGACACTTATTAATTGTTGTGTGCGTATTGGATTTCGCTTCGCACATTTTATAGAATTGCAAGTAATAAATTATTCGACAGAGTACAATCAATGTCTTCTTTTTTACGGAATTTATCCTCTTGAAAGGTCGGTCATTAAAGAAAACTGAAAAATTCTTTGTTTTATTTACAGAGAATGTACGTAAATTTATCAGTTCAAGGTCAGACATTCTGATGAATTCGTAAAGCCACGCCTTTAAGCGATTTAGTTTAGTGTATCAGTTTTAAGCACAACACAAATTATCGTGAAATTGAAAAGAAGTAACTTCGATTAAAACGCGTTACATCGGAGAAATTAAAACTTCCGTACTCGGTCAAGGATGAATTAATTAAGCGCGCTGATAGATTTGTACGCCACCTATTGTTAAAATTCAGTATAAAGTTAGCTCAATGTTTATAAAACCAAAGGGGAACGAACTTTGTCGTTGAAAATCATGACAATAAGATGGTGGTTCCAAGTTTGAAAAAACCCTAAGAAAGTGTAAAATTTTGGCTTGGTGAAAGTTCCTCCTTTTATGTCAAGAAAGAAAAACTAGCATGCGGTAGGAGTCCGCTAATCAAAGGCCAATAAGTATTAGATTTTACTTTTGCGTTTACATAACCGTCTATATTGTCATGCATTTATCACTCGGAAGCTTCTTGGAGATGCGCCCTAATAAGTAAAAAATGGATGGCGGTTCAATTCAATTAAGAGCACTAAATTTAATGAAGGCAACTTGACGGAAAAATAGGTACAAAGACGGAAAGAATGCCTACTTTAATGGGATTCTGTAGCAGAAATAACTACTCCATGCAGCACTGAACCGTTTGGGTACTATCCCACATAGAAGTAACTATTACCAGCTAAAACCTACTAATAAATGAATGCAATGCGTGCATAATATCCCGATGACGATCGTAGCGATCGATCCAAGCACCAATCCGGCGTGTTTGAAAGCGTATGGCATTGCTAAGATTCCTGTACCAAGTGAGCCTTTTAGTATATGAATTAACGATCCCATTGTTCTGTAAGTTTTCAGCATTGCGATACTCTTACTTAATAAAGTGATACTCACGATGTAGGATGCTCAATTACTCTGTGTTCAAACGGATTATAATCTTCGTTACTATCTATGGACTCGTCATTATCATTTGGGATTCTTACTTCCTTGGTCGCGAAAATAGTCCTAACAAATAAATCAAACTGCAGTGAAATCGTAAAAAATTAAAAAAAAATGAATTTAGTTATGGAAAATGTTATGAACATTTGTTTGAATAGAATTTTTAATTAAAGCACAGGTTTTGTGGTTTTTCTTATGAACCAGTCGTTATATCTACTATAAAATATTAAACAATATCTACTTACGTGGATGTAAAGTCGTCCAGATTTAAGTCGATGTCCTTATTTTTCCTCATCGAAAGCCTACAACAAATGTAAAGTTTAATAAAAATGTATGGTTAGAATCATTACATATAGTCATTTTGATCGTCAATCACCTTTTCAAAAAGATAACCAATTACTGTAGTCGATTCGTGTTTGAAATATGGATAACAGCGCTTTGGATATTTCAAAATGGCGAACAAAACGCAACATTTTTTTCAAATTATCTTTTAAAATACTTATATTAAAATGTTGCATACAGGGAGATTGACGTAGGCCAAATGGCATGATGCCACGATGGTGTTTGCTCAAATTCTCCTGACTGTCATCAATAGACAGATAGAATAAATAGTTTCTACAACTTTGTATTGTGAAACCACCCCTCACTCACTTTCAGATTTTCTTTCATGGTTACCAATGCAACAAATCTCATTGATTGAAAAATCATGTTTTTAAATTTCACTATGAACTCCAATAGTTATACACCGTACGTCCGTACATGAATATTCAACAAAAGTGTATGAGAAACCTTATAACATAAACACAATTTTAGCCATACAGGGTTTTCCTTAAAATTCATGCGTATATCGACATGGTTTATTAAATAGAACACCCTATATATTTTTGTGCTTCTTGGTATCCCTCGATAATAGATATTTATTTATGTCTTGATATGATTATATGTAAAAAGTTAAGTTTGTAGTCAAAATGAATTTGAACCTTGTAAAAATACGGTTGTTTTTGCATTTAAAAGAGAAGGTGCCTACCTGTATGTTCTTCACAATGGTAAAGTCATTAAAAACCTCAGTTAGAGATTCAGAACCATTGACCAAATTCATGTACGTAAACTCATTTTTTTCAAATGAATCACCCTATGAAAATAATTGAAAAATGTTGTTTATTAGTATTTTGGGTATGGTGCATAAAGAACTTTTGTAGAGAATTTAATTAAGCTGTCGGTTGATAATATACAGGGCGTTCCATATAAAGAGTCACATTTTTGTTATTATCTGCAAAATACGATGTTGTTTTGTTTTTTTAATTAGGTAATAAACTATAAACCGTGATTGTAGCTTTTTAGTATTGCATCCTCCAGTACCAAACACTTGGTTTTTTCAACAACATCTGAAATGATCACATCAACAGGACGCGCTAGACGGGGACTATAATCCAGTGATTCTTGATAATGTTTACATCATTCTCGCATATAGTCAACATTTCTTCAAGAATAACTGTTAGAGGTTTTGTTTTCCCTTGTATTGTAAGGAATTTTACAACAGCCCAATTGGATTTTATTCATTTCCGTGCATACGCAACGCGCGACAGCACAAACTGACAGATAATAAAATTAATAATTTTGCAATTGTTTTGTAAATTACCATACACAGGTTACCAAGGCATATGTGATTAACGAACAGCATAATGAAAAATTGCATCAAAATTCAAATCAGCTCAGTTCCTTGTTTGATCACATGTATTTTCCGTCACCCCCAAAGTAACTTGCAATTATTGCTTTTCTGCCATAGTTATCTATAAGGCCGAAGGTCTTGTTTCAAATAGATTATTATTGAATATTAAAAACATCTAACCTTACCGTTATATATGTACAGGCTCACAATGCTCACATAAACCAAAAGAGCACAAATGAATTATTAATACGAATTAACGAATCGGTCGTTAGGGTATGTTGCTTTACAAAATTGTATACTGTAGTATGAATCCGTCGTTATCGATACTTCAATTTTTATCATTATTCATTAAGTACATCACTCCTCATTACGTATTACATACCGTTACAAACACAAAAAAGCATTGATTGTTTACTAATGGTGTGATAATTCGAATATAGGGACCTTAGTATAGTCGTACTTTTAAGGTTTTCCATTATCGCAAATAATTTGCTATACATTCACTCGAGGAACAGACAGACGGACGGAGCGTCGTTTCGCATTTGCAAAAATTTGCTAAAAAGTCACTATCAAAGATGGCTACTGAGTGCTGTCATATATTATACGACTACGCATGTCCGATCTCCACCAGCAGTAGGTTCGTACAGTTACAGCCCTTTGAATTTTCTTTCCAAATTGGTTTCTAGTCTATAACTTTTGACTGAGAAGTCTGATCGAAAAAGTACGAATTGTTTTGGATTCAACGCACCAAAATTAATAAGAAAAGTGTTTTCCCGAGAAATTTTGGTGCAGTCGATTTTTGGAAAAAAGAAAGGTTATACACTGCCTCTTTTTGCCCCGAAAAAAAAATTGTCTCAGATCGTCCCGGAAAAAAATTATTCTTATAGAACGTGGCCTGTAGAATCCATAATTTCAAACAGTTCCGAGATTGGGCTACTAGTTCAAAAGTTACAGCCCTTTGAATTTTCTCTCGAAATTGGTTTCTAATCTATAACTTTTGATTGAGAAGTCTGATCGAAAAAGTACGAATTGTTTTGGATTCTACGCACCAAAATTAATAAGGAAAAGTGTTTTCCCGAGAAATTTTGGTGCAGTCGATTTTTGGTAAAAAAGGAAGGTTATACACTGCCTTTTTTTGAGGCCCGAAAAAAAAATTGTCTCAGATCGACCCGGAAAAAAGTTTTCTTATAGAATGTGGCCTTTAGAATCCATAATTTCAAACAGTTCCAAGATTGGGCTACTAGTTCAAAAGTTACAGCCCTTTGAATTTTCTTTCGAAATTGGTCTGATCGAAAACACACTGCGAGACCATCCCCGAAGGCTGTTCTGTGGATGTACACTGCCCTGATAAGGCCTATGCTCTACTCTAGATGTCCGCGTGAGAGAGCAGGCCGCTCTTGCAACCTTGCATCTGAAAAATAAGGGGTTGTCGAATAGCAGAGGTATTGTTAGAGGTATTGGTAGAGGTATTGATGTGGGCGCCTCTCGAAGTGCGAGGTGATTCAGCGCTTGCCTATCCTAGAATGGCTACTCACTGCCCAATTCCGATTAGAGAGAAACTATCACATCTTTCTTGATGAAGATGTGGCATTCCAACCGGACATATTCATCTTCACGGATAGATCTATGAATCAATGAAAAGAACAGGTACAGGTATTTACTCCAAAGAACCGAACCTCTATATCACACAACCACCTGACAAACTTCCTGCTGTATTCCAATCTGAGTTTGTAGGACTGACGCTTAGCTCAAGAAAAGTTTATATGCAGAATATAAAGAACAAAACTATCATAATTATTCTCCAGTCAGTACAGTATCTGGCTGCAAATAAGATTAATGTAATCACTCATAACACCCTCCCCATTCACGGGATGTGCCAATGTACGACTTTTGGCTGACTTTTGAACTAAATAGGAACTTATGAGGAAGAATGTCAGTCAGAGAATAAGATCAGTGCTGATATTTGTTGTTATTTTTATAGTAGGTATTCCTAAAGCTGCTTGGTTTAGATTTGGAAGAGTTAAACCTCTGAATATTTTTATAATAATAGAGATTCAACCTTGAATAAATGTTAATAATATGTTTATGTATTTTTTTATATAATTTGGTAGGGCGAGTTAACAGTGAAGTACGTACTTAACAAAAATTTCGTATTAATGCTTACAAAATTTATTATCACGCGGAACCGTAAACATCCTGAATAACTGATAAAATCTGCCCTTATACATTTTGTTTGCTGCAGTTCAGATAATAGTAGATTACATACCGAGCTGGGAAGTGGTTCATTTCCTACGCCGAAGGCTTAAGGTACACACCGACGCGCGAAGCGCGGAGGTAAGGTATAAGCGCGAGGCGTTGGTTATGAACCACCGGCCAGCGAGGTTTGTATACTATTTTATTCACAATCTGACTTAAAGAGGTAGTATAACAAATTCCACCATTGTCAGCGTGACATTGAAATCTAATCAACATGACCGTGCAGGTCGGGAAGTACTTTGGTGACCTAGACGAGGTTCGCAAAGTATGTCAAACAATTGCTCCCTTCCAAATTTCAAAACAGTTGGCAATTGACATATTACATTTGGAGTCAACACAATTACGTTTAATAAACGATTTTAAAGCGTTTTGAAAGGATAAATTCGGTATTGATATTATGGTATACGTTTTTTTGTAGACCAATTTTATTCCAATACGATTTTTGTTCGTGTATGTAATAATATGTATATAAATAAACGTTATTTAAGCAATAATTTGATAAAGGTATAAAATACCACTTTGATTTACCGTGCTGGAATATTGGTATATTTACTTCCTCCAAAATACGAATTACAATGAAGCATATTCTACGTATCGAAACTACGTATTATTTATGTCATAATCTAACGAAACTGATATAAGAAACGTTGAAAATCAGTAGATAAATAAACGTTTTTTAGTGTTAACCCGGCAAACGTATATAATACGGTTTTAATTTACCATATACCTACTGGAATATTGAGATTGGTATAAGCATAAGGAATACGTATTTTGTACGATCGCATCCTGTCGTATTATATACGACCGTTTTATGCATAATTTTATTTCTATCTGTTCATTTTGCACATTCCTTTACACTCGCGTACGCATTTGTTTATGAGTTGTGTGATAGTTAAGTTTATTTCTTGATCCAAAAACGTTGCGGTATTTGGTAAGTTGACAATAATAGAAATTATCTTTTCTGATATTCATTTTCATTTGGACATGGTAAAGCAGCACTATTCTAGAGAGGAACCTGCATCGTCCTCGTAAAGTTGGCTACAGCTACTTTCAATAGATCGTAGCTGAAAACTTGTCTTTTTTTATCCTGCAGAGGGACGCTTCTCCGACGCGAGGCCTCTTATATATGCGAAGAGGATAAGAATTGGAAACGGAGGTTCTTGGTTACCGAGCTTGTAAACTTTACACTGCATCCGTATGGATACTGAGAACCGTTAGCGGTGCCAATTACCGATGCGAAGGAAGGAAGAATATACCCAGGTTTACAAATAGGCAAAGAATATAATGGACCCTGCATGTTTATGATGGACTTTGTAATTACTATGCGCTTTATATAATTTGGACTTTAGATTTGATTAAAAATATACAATCTACCAAGCACATATATTGCATTTATTATATACCTACGTGTATTCAGTATTAGCAGTACATTATCGACGAATTTAATACGAATAATGCGTGAGGATATTACTATACATATTCCATATGCGAAATTTAAACGTATTCAGTAAATTTACAGCAAGTACATGCACAATCAGAAATATTGCAAAACAGGTTGCACTTGCATTTCACATTTTCAAATTGCTGCCTTATGACCAGAAAGCAAGACTGCTGACTGCTTAAATTGCACAACATCAGACAGATTAGTTTTGCAACTAGATAAATATTTCTTGGTAAACCATCAGAAGCAAATAAGATGGCCTCATACCAGATCCTGAGACAAGGCACTGCTTATTAAGGATATTTTGTAGCACTATTTACGTTACAATATAAGTTTTGAATAATTTAATTTTGCTACAACACCAATTTGTGCTTTTTCGTCCTCGTTTTTTAAATTGTTACAAAACTTTTTTTCTTTAAATAATGTCCATCTGTACTCCATGTTGTTATAATAATAAAACATCACAAATAATTCAAAATTTTGTCTGTTTTCTATTAAGTTTATAAAAATTCAACTGCTCCATATTTCAGTGTATAATGAAAATTGTCATCTACATTTTTTCAAAAATTAAAACCTTTTCTGACCTACTTAAGTTTATAAAAATATTTTTTCCTACACGTAAAAGGTTTCCTTTATAACTTAAACTTATAAATTGTAACTATAAATTACGAATTATAAATTCAAATTTAAATTTATTCCCGCGTTAATATTTCGACTAACTCGAAGTTTACCTGAACAATATGAATGGTTCTTCTTCACTCATGTTTTCTGCACACTGCTTACTTAATGAACGGAAACATATACTGCACTAAAAACTAGATCCAAACAATATTGAGGTGTATCGTTTTTATCATTCTGTTTAATCTTACACGTGTTACAGGCGATAGAGATAAAAAAGTGAATTCTCCGATATTAACAGTATCTACCATAATAATTATTTGTGTAGGAATTGTGATTTTTCGTTATCAGAAATGATTGGAAGATTATTACATTGGTACTGAATTTTGGTCACCCTGTATATGTACCTGTCAGACAATAACGTTCAGAATAGGTAATCTTGTAGGGAAAAGACGTAACTTTTCCAGTCCTTTCTGATAACCAAAAATCACAATTCCTACAAGAAGATTTATTATGGTAGATATCATTAAAATCATAGAATTTTTATCTCTGTCGCTAACGTAAAAGATTAAACAGAATGATACAAAATAATAAATTTCAATACTGTTTGGATCTAGTTAGGTATTTAGTTATTAGTATTTTTGTGATGGTGACTAATTCAAAATGAACAGAATTTTGATTTGCCTCTGTTTGAAAATCCTGGTACGACCGGAGATTTTAGATTAAGTATTAACATTTTAAGGCAATTAAGACTTTTTTAATTATTTGTTCTATCAATCGCTTGTTGCGTGGTAGTTGTTTCTCTGGGCTTTAGCGCCTATTTTTCTTTCATTTTATTTGATTGATTTATGTCGAATAAATTTATTTCATCTGTAAGTTAAGAGTTTTGTGTTAATCGAACCGAAATTACAACCTAGATAAGAATGTTTATGTTAAATTTTTCTATTAGATACCCAGAATAACATCAGGTGTTTGTTATATTGTTAACTAATTCTTTGAACTTTTGGAGGCGGTTAAAATTATAATTATTATTATAATTCCAGTCTAGATTCAAGTTCTTTAAGAGCTCATTAGAATGCCTCTTTTGATTTTAGGAAACAATCAAGTGCAAACAATGTACTGTACATAATCGCAAATTTATCAAACTACAATTTTTTATTAAAAGCGTAAACATTTTTTCATACGAAACTGTTGTTGTTTTTGTAATTATTCAAAAAATATGGCATACAAAAGTAACACATGTACTTAATCTCCTAAAACTTTCTCGTGGACACTTTTTTGATTATTAATTAGAAAATACCAGACAAAAAGGGGACTATAGCTTTCCCTAGTTTATAAATGTTAGTTTCTTTAGTGTACTTAATTTTTGGCATTGTTTTATTGTAGTTTTGTTTATCGCACGTTACACAATTAAAAAATATACAAGGATGCAATTTCTTGTTTGACCGGAAGTAAGACGAAAACTTTTATTTTGCTGATACAATACACAGGGTAATTTTTTTTATGAATAATAGGTGATTGCCGAAAGTATGAGATACAATTAATTATATTAAATAGGGAAACTTGTGGAGTATTAAGTGCGTTACATCCTTTGTTTCTCCAATTCATCATAGTTTTCTAAATGTTTTGGAAAAAGTCATTTTTTGACTTTCCTTCTTCAGATTATTTTTAGCGTTAGCTCATTCGTTAATAAAGGAGAAGGGGGGGTACGTATTTTTTCTTATCTCTAAAGTACAAAACTTTAGGTACCCCAGGTATCCGGTGGATTGATTCCTTCACACTTCCCAGCTTCAACCTGATCCACTATTATTGACTCTAACTTCAAGCGCCTTAGCGTCGCGTCGTAAGATACGACGAGATCGTCTAACGTTATAAATAAATGGGAGAACTGGAAGATGTTTAAGGAACATTTCACAAACCATTCTTGGTCCGAAGATGTTGAAGAACTCCGACTAGGCACACCATGTATCGCACTTTAATAGATACAGCGGCCACATCTAATATTGGCTCAATAAGACTAATTATATGTGACCACCAATATGTGAGGCACTCTCGTCATTTCCCCAAGGAAGTGGAAAGTGTGTTGATTGGATCAGGAGTTAGTACTTTAGAAAAAAAATCAGATCGCAAACAATGAGCAAAGAAACAATAGAACTGATGAGAAATCAAGAAGGGAGAAGAGATAGCCATGAAAGACCGGCAACAGAAGACAAATTAGCTGCACAGCAAGAGGGTACAATAAAAGAGAAAGAGGCAACTACGGACTCAATCGACAAGAATGGGAATACACCACACCACGGCAGTCGGAAAATTACACGACGGTGATCAGATCAGGAGCTGTGCTAATCTAATCCCTAGCAGAAACCATCGAACCGAGCAAGGCAGACATCAGTCTGGGTGCTTATATGTAAGTCCAAAAGTGAGATAGAGTTCGCACTTTTGAGTAAAACTATATGCATCCACATTTAATCAGCTCCATGCACGCCTCTTGTGTTGTGGGTTTTCCGGTGAGTTCACGACTCATTCAGGACGAAAATCTCTTTGTTCTGGGATAAACTTTCTATGTATTTGTCTGTTATACAAAGATCTGGGATTTTGAACAGATAATAACCTAAAGGGAGGTATTCCAGTCCCAGATGAAATCGCCTTAATAAATCTATTTAATAATTTAATAATGTTAGCTTACTAAATAAATCACAGATTTCATTATCTACATATTACATAATTACTGTAGCTGTCGTATAACTAAAATTGTAAAGCTATGCAGTAAAGGTTAGTAAAGTACGTAAATGGCAAGTGTTTTCGAATTGCAACCTAAAACAGTGCACTTATACTTTCCATTGCTCCCGAAATCAGAGCAAATATAGCTAATATTGCCAGAAAAGCATTTTTTATCAACTTCCATCGCATACAACCAAAACTGTACTCCCAATATACCACCGTTTCAATAACAGCCGGTAATAAAACGCCAATAATCGACAGACAAATGGAACCCACAAGGCCGATTATGTGCTCCAGATTGGGAACAGCGGCAGCGATTCCAACAGTTCCTGCTACAAACAAACACCGGGTAATGACCTGCGTGACGTTTCTCTTGACACTTCCGACAATGCGATTATCCACTTTCTTCCAAATTATGTCTAACGCAACATACATTTGCAGATTGTAGGTGAAGAACACAGATAGTACAATCAGAAGCTTGAGTATTTGGGCCGGTCTGAAAATGTGGTAAGTATTAGTTTTAATACTCGGCGCAATTTCTGTATACTTACATTTCATCCACGGGGAAATTCAAGGTGATCGTACCTTGCGTTTCGTCACCAAACTTCAAGTAACCGAAAAATCCGATGACAGCGTACAGAAGAACAACGATACTCATAGCGCCGTTTAAGACTCCGGGACATCCCAAGAAGTGCTGCGGTTTCTTCATACTATTTTCGACTGGCATCACGACGCCAATACCCTCCATAGCAAATATCACTGTACTGAAAAACAATGGCAGGTGACCAATCGATGAAAACAACGGTCTACTGGACGGATCGGGTATATCCAGAAATAGGTAATACAGCGAAATTGCAAAGGAGGTAACCATAAAAATGTTAGCCAGAAATGAGTAAGGTACTAAATGCTTTAGTTCTCTTACTTGTGACGATAGCATTAATGGCACCATTATCATTACCATATACAGCCTTGTGCTATACGTTGTTTCTGGAAGCCAATGCTCAACGAGCTGAAATTAAAGAATAAGCATTAGAATGTAAACAATTGACATGCTGTATGGGTTTTTTGGGAAAACCGTAACGCTCAAGGTGTTTTGTGGGTGTATGTAATAAATTCTTTATTATTAAATATTTTACGTGACTAACATGCGTGTTTGTTTCGTGAAGTGGTCCGTTACCTTATAAATAACAAAAGAGTTATGCAAAAATTTACTGAACCGGTAAGATACTTGCTTAAAATTGCTGTCAGTGGCCCCTTTTCATAAGTTTTTCGAAATTGATTTTGAATTCATAGATTGTTGTGAGTTTAAATTACAAGGTATATTCTTATGTAGTTTGTTTCTGGAATAATTTCTCTTTAGAAATATTTTCAGTTAGCTATTCCCTTCACGTTAGCTAATCTTTGATTTGATTTGTTTTTTTTTCCTTCGGGGTAATTGATCTTTTACTTGTTCTGGTTCTTATCGACTTTTTTTTACCGTTTCCGGTCGATGCTGTGACTTGATGATGGTTTTTTAGGTGAAACATGTCATAATTTTACCCAATTTCGAGCATCCCGTGAGAAGGGATACCCAACAGGTAAATAAAAATTCCCACCTAGTCGTCGGCCCAAAAAAGTAATAATTATACTCCCCTTTGCATGTCTTAAGATTTCCTCCTAACATCGCCAGAAATTCCTCAGTGAGAATTTCCTCAACGTTTCCTCATGCTTGTCGAGAATTTTTTCGTTCCGAAAGGTTTCCAAGTATCCCCCTTTTTTATATATGCTTAAGTTTCGCGGAATTTATAAGCTGCCGTTCCAGAATACCCTCGTGTTTTCTAATAATTCCTTCTTATTTTAAAAAAGTTTCTCCGGATTTCAGTAGTATTTCCTTGTTCTACAAAATTCCACAACACTCCCATACCTTCTTTTAATTCACCAAACGTTCCTTGTGCTACTTTAATTTCCATACGATATAAGTACCTAACATAAGCATGCATTTCCTTCAAAGTACAACTATTAGACGAACGCGCGTGAAAAAATTCTTCAAGTTAAAAATTGACATCGTACGATCAGGGAAGGTCGAGCCGCTGACACAGGACTGTTATCGTTCTTGGTGTCGTCAAATGAAAGCCATCTTAAACACAGTACGTAGAACGGAAATCAGGCGAAAAAGGAATTACACATCGGAGAAAATTGAAATCCGACAGCAACGTCAATGATTGGAAGCAAAACCTGGTTGAAAAGGGATGAAAATGCGCTATCCTTGATGACGCTTGCTATGACTGGTGAGCAAATTGAGTTAATCAACGTATTCAGATTTAAATGATCTGTTTACAACGTGGCAGAAAATCAAGGAACTGTCGGAGATCAATAAGAAATTTCTAGGAGGGTATAAGGGAGACCAGGCAAATCATATTTTTTGATATGATATGATTTGCCTGGTCTTCCCTATACCCTCCTATTATTTTTCCGTAGAATATCTTCGTATTTTCCCAGAATCTTTCCCCAATATTTCCGCTTATTCTAGCAAGTCCTCCACCTATCAATGACATTTAGTTCTAATTTTCCCTAAGTTCATTGTATTGACTTGTGTCTCCAGTTTCCTTAAAATTTGCCTTTTAACTTTCCAAAATTCCATCCTATGTAAGACATCCTTATATGTCCCTCGTGTGTGTTTTTATCAATTAATTATGGCCAATTTTAATCCCAATTTTTCTGTGTCAGATTTTTCTAATTTCGGTTTATCCGGATGTTATTTCCAGTTCAAAATTTGAGTAGTGGTTTCATTGAAATTTACGGAATTTAATTGCGGCCTTCGAGTGAGTCTTTCAAGATTATAAGTGTTCTAAGTCCGTGTTAGGATTTTATTGTTATGTTGGAACTTTTAGTCGTGCCCTAAGGAAAAAAACTGATTGTGTGATTTGAGCTAGCTAAGTAGGTGTCTCGATGTTATAGTGACCGTATACTATTGCACACTGCATTATTTATTTGGCACCCAAGGTGGGGCCACAGCATTATTTATTTAGCGCCCAACGTGGGGCCACATCAATATAAACGTTTGGTCAAAAGTTGACTTCCTATTTTCCAAAATGTTCTCCACATTTCTCGAGAAATTTCTTCGCATTTCTCAAAATGTCCGTGTAAAAGATTTTCCGAACTCCCTAGAATTCCCATAAAAAATTTCCCCAAATTATGTGCACAGTAAATATCACAATTTCCATAAAAATTCCGTTTTATAGCTCAGAAGTTTCCTTATATTCCTCGAAATTTCCTCTAAATTCCCCAAAGCTTGTCATATATATTGAAATTGCTGGAGCACAGTATAATCGTTGAGTGAAGGATTATTTAATTACTCAATGGTATAATGACTACTTTCTGCCCTTGAGGCACAAAAACGGCCAGTATTTCTGTGGAAATCGTCTCAACATTTAAAAGATTTGCAAAAACTCCTTTTAATTTTTTCCCATACTCCCTATAGCTCCTGTAGAAAGATTACAAGTTTCTCATATGAAAGTATTTAATTTTTTTACGTAATGATTAGAGTGATTGCTCTTCTAAGGACCGCAGTTTTGGCATACCATCAATACTGCCGTAAACAAAGTACTTTCAGTTTATATTCGAATGTAGCTTAAGAAAAGAAAGTAAGGCAAAATTGGACGATTTATTCGAATGCATCTGTGAGACAGTGCACCAGAGATTTTCCGTAGGGGAAAATGAATTGCTCACAATTGTGTAATGATAATTGCATAGCAATGCGTTACGATTCAATTCTCGTCTCGTTCTGAATAATAACAATAGACAAATCTATCGATGCATGGGGAAACCCTATGATGGCACCGCGTAATATAGTGGTAGGTATCCGAAGAATCCGGTCTGGTCTTAGCATAGGTTCCATTAAAAAAATATTGCAATGCTCATTAAGTATTTTAAATTCGTACTCATTTGAAACAAGTTGCTCACGTGCGTAAAAAGCCGATTTATGCTAAAATTCGCGATAACCTATAGCTGTCGAACTGTCGTTGAACTCGCCAAATTGTAGGCAGACGGCGTAGTATCAACATTTTTCAAACTTCGTACCTACGCCTTCAGGCTGTACGCGGTGGTAAATTTCGCTTAGCGTTGATTATTAAAGAATCTTACCTGCCGAAGAGAATCTGACATGAAGACGACGTAGACACTTGTAATCATGAAGTAGGTAATCACCATGGAAATATCCACCGAGATTCTGTAACAAAAAGAATACACAATTAATTGGTTACTTACATAACTTTGTTTTTGCACATCAGCTACAAGGATATCCACTTGTCGCATGCATCTATCATGGAGTAGGCATTTGAGTTTTTGACTTATTGCACACAGATTTTCGCATGGAAATAAGTCAAAGTTTTACTTTGCGTCGTTAAGAATGCCGTTGAACTAAATGTTTATGCTTTATAACTGCACATTAACTTTCTAAGACAGGTATCGGTTTTTTTTCTCTTTTATGGTAGCAAAAAATATACTCATTTCAAAAATTTTGAAAGGAGAAAATGGGATAATTTATCCTAACCACGGTATAGAGCGCTAGGTTTGGCTCGGTACAATTTTTGTAGTACTCATTTTAACAGTGCATGCCATCAAAATCTTGTCTCGCCAGATACGCATTGGCAATAAGAAGAATCATTGTCAGCAATTACTTGTTGGGAAATGTCCAAAAAAATGTTCGCTTCGGGAGTGTGCGGTCCAATTCCAATAGTAAACACTTCTTAAAGTGTTAGGTTTAGTTTACTGAATCTGTGACACCCGCAATCTGTAATTTTTTGCTTGATAAGGAGCTATGTTTTATTTCAAATTAATCGCATAAAAACACTACCATGGGGTGGATAATATTCATACCATTGTATTTAAAAAGTTTAAAATGCAAATTTCGATTTTGCCCTTTAGTCTTTTTAATCTAGACCTCCAGTCTAGTTCTAATTGGCCACTCGAAGTTAATGGAAGCGTATCCGAAGCTTATGAGTTGACCTGTCTAATTTTTGAAACGCGAAATCCATTTTTGAGTTTGTATTTTACCTTTTACTGAGAACCTTTTACTCTGAAAATCGAGATTTTTAAATTGGAATTTTCCTTCCAAGTTCCGAATTTGTCCTTTCGTTTTTAATCTTGACCTGATCTCATACGGTTTGCGAGATCCCCATAGTGAAAGTGAAAATAAACTCACCCTGAATATACAGGGTGTTCATCATATTTTGTCCACTATTGCTATCTCGCGAACTATAAGAGCTACGAGGTCGGTTAAATAAACAAACAATTTCTATTTCACAAGACTATTTTAATGAGCACGAAAAAAATTTTTTCAACCAGTGGTTCACAAACTGTGGAAACCAACTTTGCTATTTTAAATGGAACTATATTTTGTTGTTTTCGTATTCGATACAGAATTTTAATCCGAATTCAGTGATATAATATTTATATACCTTTCAATAACAATTTTTATAAGAAAAATGCATGTTTAGATTTATATCGGTTTTATTTTAAAATGGCGAAAATAAGTGAATACAACAGAATGTTAAAAACAATTACTTTAAAAAAAAGACAAAACAAATACTTAAATTTACAAATATTGCTCAAATTGTCATCCATTTTCGCAGGTCATCTACCATATTGGCTAACGCATCTCTTAAAGATTTTAAATACCGATGACCTGTGAGAGTACCTTTATACATATGCACAAAATGGCGTCCATAAGAAATCAGGAAGTTGATGTGATTTACTCTCGCCCCACAAGCCATAAAAGTTTTATTTTTGCACATTCTTAGAAAGCTGAGAGAAAGTCGCTAAGGATTTTTATAAGAACTCCGGACCCTCAAACCGGGTGAATGGGATGATACTTATTCCTTGGAAAAATGGACGCCACTTGCTCGGACACATTAGCTCTCATATACCAACTTTCACAAAAGACTCTCGTTAAGTGGCTAATACTTCGCCCAAACAGAAAATTCGGTAGGTATATATCATCAAACAAAATTATTGCTTCGTTCCTATTGCTGTGGGGACACTTGGGTCCTTCTGTGAAGAAGCTTTGCAACTCACAAAAGATCTTGGCAAATTACTGATTAAGATCCACATCCTTTCTTTAAAAAAAACTTAACATTACCATACAAAGAGGAAACGCGTGCTTCGTCATGAGAGCTTTTCCTCCTGGTAATAAGATGTAGGAAATTTTTTTATGCTAGGTATAATTTATCTATTTTCTGTTTTTTATACCATATTAAATTACCCAAGTAATGTTTAAAATCTATTTTCGTGAAATGTTATTAGTACTAAACATTGTCAGTTTTTAAGTTGTGCCATTAAAGAAATGGAAGTGTCATGTTTGGTCACAGTGTACAGATGCTGAGGCCAGTCCTCACCATCGCCCGTCCGGAACTTTAAATTATTGTAAATGACCTTAGGTGCAATCTGCGTCATCTTCAGCGAACCACTTTATTAATTCTATTTTTAGGTAGTTACTTAACTCTGACAGCTTTTCGTTGTACTTCTCAACGAGACAACCCTAATGATTTTCATGATAGTAATCGATTCTTTTTTTTTTGCGCACTCATCAGCGAACTCGTACATGAATAATTGTTTATTTAGAGGCCGATACACTTCTTCTTGAAGGAAAAACCAAGCACCATGACCTCATCTGCCTACAACCTTTCATACCTGTCCTCGTTACAAATCATTTAAATCGTTAGGTACTTTTCATCCCGTCCCGAACGTCAAATTTGCATTTTAATTAGCGAGACCGCTCCATTAAATAAGGACATTTTTTTGGGCTACTGTTTGGTCGGTGATTACAATTATGCTTCTAGCCACTTTCTTGCAAATATTAGTACTACTGTAATACAAGTGGATACCTGTTCAGTGTGGGCATTGAATAAGATTCAATGGTGTGGGTAGGGTTACGTCACAGTCATTTTTGGTATCAATAATATTTAAACGTTCTTTCTAGCTTCTTTTTCCATTGTAATGTCCGACTTCTATGATCCTTCAGTATGCTACACAATCTACGTATAAATCTATCACATAATTTCATCAAATCCTTGCTTGATTGAACGAAAAAATGAAAGGGTGCAAATGGGAAGAAATTCGAAGGCTTGAGTTCCAAAAGTTAAAATACATTAATAAACGAAAGGATCTAAGAAAGGTAGTAATTATAATTAAAAGCGACAACCTTGATTGACTATGAAAAAGGCGAAGAACATTTACGCTAAGCGTGCATAGGGGAACAAAAAGTCAAGACTTTAATTAGTTGGGATGCACAAAAAAACGGAATTTGTATTTCCAACTTTTAGTTCTAGGATAACAAATATCCAGGCTCCAATCCGGGTTCAAACTAGAGACCCTGAATACCGTAGTCGAGCTTCTACTCCCAGTACAAGAAAGTAAGACTTTTACAGTTTCAAAAAACCGCCACCATTAATCAAAGAAGTTGGTTCACCAATGTTCTGCCAGGTTCAGGGACCCGGGTAAATGAAAAAAACTTTGAAGCGTTACTCCTCAGGAGTAGAGTAGTCGAACCAGAAGAACGTTGATCATTTGAAGGGTATAAAGTGTGCTTCAAAATACCCGGATGGGCTACTGTAATTCCATATGAAATAATTAACTAAACTTTCAGTCTGTAGAATCCAATAATGTAAAAATATACAGGGTGCACATAAGTTGGTTTGCATGCGATATAATCACCAGGATAAGTTTATTTTAAATGGCCACCAAGTATTACTAATTCATTAATAGCATTTGACCATTTGGTGCTTTGCCTTCCTGCACAAAAAGAATAGTTTCGAAGATATCGACCTAGAACTTTGTGTTTGAAACCTTGCATTTTAGAGTTGTGAGTCTACTATTTTGAGCCATAGATTCCTAGAATCGTTAGTTTGCGTGTAGAGTTTAGAGATGTGATCCTCGAGCTTAAAGATTCTTGCTGTTAACGGGCGATCCAAAATGAGTTGCTGTCGAGTCGCCTTTGGAAGTTCAATTCAAGTACGATTTCTCATGCAAACAAAAATTCCAAAGGTAACTCAAAAGCAACTCATTTTTGATCGCATAGTAGTTCATAAGACAGATCCAGAGTGGCTACAGGAAAAAATATACGAAGGGACACCCACAAGTCACACTAAGGATTTCGTTACTAAATTGTATTACAGGATTGGTTCGATGCGCATTTTAGAAAGAAAATGCACTAAATTTGTTACACAAATAACGATTTTAATATTTCTTTATCATCCAAAAATTGAAATTCTCTTCAAGGGCTACATATAAACCTCTGGTATTTTTATAATGATTCAGGTAATTAGGATACCAAGGCCAGAGTTTTCCTTGCCTTTGATGGCGCATGCTTAGCTGCCAGATACAAATTTTCGGGAGCGAGTAAAGGCTGTGGTCGATGAATTAGAAGAGAGAGAGTGAAGAAGAACAAAGCCAGAATCGACCAGCATGGCAATGATATTGGAGAACCAAGAAATCAATCGGACGAATCAAGGAGAAAACCAACCATGCAAATCCTCCAGTTATTTACAAGGCTCCAGTAGAAACTGAAGAAATTTGATGGCAACGTCCGAACCATCCATCCTGTCAACGTCATCGAAAATTATTTTAAAAATTTTGAACCAAATGTTAATCTATGCAAAAAAGATGGTCGAAGAACACGCAAAAACCTGAGCGAGTGCAAGAAAAACAAATGGAAAAGTTATAGGAAACATTTTTCATACAATATTGGTCTGAAGATGTCCAAGGAGAAATCCGGAAGATACAGTGACCACGTTTGGTACTGGGTCAACAAGACCAACCATTTACAGTCGGCAATACGAGAAGCTCAATTAGTCGAAGCATTATCACGTCACTTCCCCAGGGAAGTAGAGAGAGAAACAATCGGTATTGGAGGGAGTAGAATACAGACATTAATAGACATCTAGAAAACTACAATGTCGGGGCCCAGGAGCTCCACTAGACACTTAATGGATGATAAGAAGAACCAAAAGAAAGAGAGAGAACTAAATAACGTGACAAAAGAATAAAATTTAAATAATTTGATTAAAAAGTTAAAACAAATCAAAGAAATTGAAAGAAAAGAAAGAATGGAGAGTCAACTAGTTGTTTTGAAGAGCATGGAGATGGTAGTAAAGCTAGCTAAAGAAAAACGGAAAAATATGAAGAAAGCTCGAGAAGAAACAAAAGAGTTAGTTAGGAAACTAAGGATCAAAGAAGTACAGTGAAACGAAAGGCTCGTTAAAGCTAAAACGTTTGAAGAATCAAGAAGCATCACCTTCATTACTAAACGTGAACAAGAATTCACAACAAGAAGTAAAGATTTAAAAAGATAAGAAGACGAACAATGAAGAAGGAATTTGTACTCGAAGTCATTGAAAATAATAAAGAATAAGAAATTGACGAAGTAAAAAAAGGAGAAAAGAATTAAATTACAGTATTGTAACGGAAATGCTCCAGACATGACGTCGCCTTTGGCGCTCTGGAATTTTCTACGCGTATTCGAGAATGTTCGGGACTTACATTGCTTGCGTGTATAAATGGTTGCGGACCGAACATCGCGGAGTCTACTACCGAACGAGTACGTAAACATCGAGCACGGAAAGATAAATTGCGAAGTGTGAGTGATATAAATAATCGATATAAATTTGTGAGTGATATAAATAATCCATATAAATTGTACGGATTTTATAGTGTTTTAGTTCTGTTTAATAAATATTGATATAAATCGAACCCGAATTTATAAAACACGTTACAGTATTTTACGACAAAGGATAATTAGAGAGAAAAGTAATCAAATATAACTGCCCGAAAAGTTGGAATTATTCATGAAGAGAAAGAGTTTTAAGAAAGAACAAATATTATAAGAAGAGCAGGTCAATATAAGAAGGAAATTTCGAAATTGGAAGAGGAAGAAAAAGAAGAAATATCTCACTTGTGCAGTTCCAATGCAAGTGAAATCAAGAAGTGAAGTAAAAAAGATAAAGGAGATTAATTCAAGCTTCTGTTTGCTGTTAAAATTCTAAGTTACAAGGGCACTTTTTTGACATTTATACACTGCAGACTGTAGAACCTCGGTACCTACATAATTAATTACTGTGAACAACGCAAAGTACAACAAAATCAAAGTAAGCCTGAAACACGGTTTGTTCCGAAATCAACGTGCGTCTACCTTTCGAAATAAATTTTCAACAAGTAACACAAGAGGTCCGATTGTATTGCATCCAATTTTCCAAGTTGCTACTGCCTTCCAAAGGAGAAATCCAACTGACAATTGGAGAAAATTTCAACGCATCGATAATGGTAATGGTAATTTCGTATTTTTCTTTAATGGTAGAATTAGAATTTTAAGTTCAGCAATACCAGTCTTTTGTGTAGGTTTTAAATTTTTTATTTAGCATCCAGGAGGTGTGCAGACTTGTTTTGAATAGAAAATTGTACCAGGTCTTTAATTGCCAAAGATTAATTGTTACAGTAACATTTTTTGGCAGTGCCGCAGAAATTCAATTTAATTTTTCGACCCTTTCCTGAAAGAACTGAAACGAAATACTAAAGTAGAATGAACGCAAAATCATTGATTCATTTGTAAACAATGCTGCGGTGGTTTTTTTACCATTCAGTCTTTTTTGATACATTTGATTGTTGCACCAGGTATAATTATGAACAAATTAATGCTTTTTATGGGTTTTCCACACACTTCGACATAAAGTCACGAAAGGTGACTACACCTACACTTTGCAATATATAAATAGTAGAAAGATTAGATTGTAATTGTACAACAAATTCTGAAATGCGGAATTGTGGTTATTACATCGTCTGCAAGTGCATGTATCACGTTTACCGTAGCCACTCCCTTCCCTCTACTGGACAAAAAAAGTTTACCAGCTTTATAGCAACCCTTTCTGATGCTCAAGGGATGATATTGCTCACGTAGAGAACCAACGGATTTTTTATTTGCACTTCTAATAATCACTATTTCTGTCCAATTCTGTTTAGGCAGCCCCTTTTTTATTGTATCTACTACCAAACAATATCAAAAAATTCTTCCTGCAAGCTTTGGCAAGTAATTCATTCATATGGCCTTATCTACTTCCGATGATTATAAACATTTTATTAGTAGCGGTATGGAACCCTTTAGATTTTGGCAACTTCTTACGCTATTACGGCAAGCCGCAAGAAGATGTTTGCCAATGTCAGGTAAGAAGAGGTTGAAAATTCCTCCTCAACTGCACTTTGGTTGGTTCAGTTCTACAGTGGTTCGTTCGTTGAACCATAATAAGTAAAAGTGGCGTAGAATTGAAGTGGACTATCGTCTATTGAACTACCTCCTTATGATTTGTTTACAAGTACATCTATCTTTTGATTATTTAGCACAAAATTCATGTACCGCACATTTTAATGCGTTTACTGATGATAAATATAGTGTTATCTATGTGATTTGTCAAAATTTTATATTTGAGCTTACCTTACAGCCGTACTAAACCGCCGCAGAGATTTTGGTCCATATTCAAAAGCCGCCCCGCACGTTTCAGCAAGGCCCAGGGAAGGAATTTTTGCTCGCCTGCATATCTCATGCGATGCGCTGACCTAAAAGATGCATAATTACAGCCATTCGTAATCCACGTGTTGAATACGTTCTTATGAACTAATCGAATAATTATAAAACTATTACAGGTGTAAATACCTGCACGTAATTAATCTCTATTAGTTGAGGCACAAATTGTTCCCAATATGTCAAATCAATTATGAATAATTTACAATTGGAACATTACATTAACCCCATACTTTTTGCAAATTCATGTTATTTTTGCGAAGCAATTATCAAAACAAATTTAACAATACAATCTCAAATGAAGGTTACGTTAAACTCGCGTCGCCTTATTTAATAATTCAAGGAAAAACACGAATGTTGAGGTTTTTCATTTAGGTACTCTTAAAATACGTGACGATAACACGCGCAAATGGACCTTCAAACTTACCAGCATGTGTACGCAATATGTGCATAAAAATCCCACGAAAAGTGTACCGATGGATCCTCCTAGCAAACCTGCGTTTTTGAAAGCGACAGGCATTGCCAAAATTCCTGTGCCCAGCGAGCTTTTGAGTAAGTGGATCAGAGCGCCCACCGTCCTAAAATGACAAGTTTAGCATCGGCAAATATGGCAAAGAGTCTTACGAATTTGGGTGCTCGACATTTCTGTTCTCGAAAGGGTTGTAGTCATCACTTTGGCCATCTTTACCATCGATTGATACGCATACTTCATTCGATGCGAGCTTAGATCTGAAAATACAAAGTGTTATTGATAATGATTTGTTTATTCATGTCAAGTGTTGAAATTGCGGGTTGTTGTACCTAAGCATACACGGGCAAAGTAAAAATGTAGCAAAACACACTCAAATTCCCATATCGTTTCGAGATAATAATATTATGTTTGTATTTCAATTAATTCAATCAATGATAATGACTTTTCCACCTACATTAAGATCGTTGGAAAATTACCTAATGATCATTTCCTCAGAATACCTAATCTCACTCTTCAGTAGTTAGGATTATTTCACAAACGTTTTGCTTATTTTTCATCAGGGCCATTCAAATTAAAATAAAATTCAACATTCGAAATACTTACGTCGATGAAAAATTTTCGAGTTTGAAGCTGGCGGACAAATTCTTCTGCTTCTGGTCGCCCATTATAAAAGCTGCAAAGCGATTAAAGTTATTGCACCACTACTACAACTACTACGATTAAAGGTTGACTTATTTTCTACTAATGAAACAATATAAACAATTCGCGAGCGCGATTTGTAAATACAAGATTAAGACAGCCTACCGGTAAATAAATAGCTTCACCTGGCTACTATCAGTGGAGGGGGTTATTGTAATTTGCCGGTTGTGAAAATAGTGATTCCTAATTACCAGCAGTCATTCTTCATCGTCGACGTAAACGCAATATTGAACCTGAAAACCCGTCTTGCCGTGAGTATAAATTACTCTACGTGCTTCCGTAAACATTCTTAGAAGAAATGGTTACCTTTCGGAAGTCGCAGTTCCAATTTTCGTTGATGCATGGGAAACTATATGCTGGTAACTGTTTTGTAGTTATGGAATGGGAAAAACTGAAACTCCCTTTTGAAAATTACACTTGAAACCTTCGAGTGCAATGATCACTGAAGATGGTATACCATACCATCGTTGTCATAAGTGAAATCATGTGATTATGACAAAGCAAATAATAATTAAAAATTAATACATAATTTAATTACAAGGTTGCGCCAGACAAAATATTTGATTAATTATGTTTGTGATGTGACTATCAATTAAGAACAAAAACGCCAACGCTTGAATTCGTAGGTACAGTTAATTCTTTGGCGCAATAAACCACTTTCGCAAAAAAACAGTAGATAATTTCATTTACACTAACTTTTTCATAAATAATCACGTAATTTCTTTTGCTCGTCGACCGTGTCGCTCTTGGTTCTTATTTGATTATAACAATATATGCAAAAAGAACAACAGAAAACTTTTAGAAAAAATTCAGGGTTCATCAAAAAGTAGTATATACTCACTCGCTATGAACATCGTTTGTTAATTTGCTATATGTTTTAGATAGTTTCCCCTTTTTTTGAAATATATGGACATTAACTATTAATCTTCAGGACCATCACTATCTCCAAAAAATATGCAAGGTTATCGTCTGTTTTAGTACAAGTAAAAATTTCACTTTGTTTTCAATCTGATCGTACGATCTGTAGTTCTGTGGACTGTATTGTGATTCTTCAATGAAAAAACCAGATTCAGTAACCTACTGAACTAAATTTGAATCGCTTTTTCAAAGATCCAGACGTACGATGAACTAGCGAGTTAGTATGTGTTAGATTGGAAACATATTCTTCAAAGAGATGGGTACCCTTTGGTATTCCCAAAATCTCTTTTAATTATTACTATCTACAATTATAAAACAGAAAGGCAGGAACCTAACGGCCTTGACTATGTTTTTGAGTATTCTCCTTTCAAGTTTGTAAACAGTTTTTACAATTCCTACACCAAGATGAAGATTGCGCACTCCTAAACGTTATCTGGATTTTCATAGGCGGATGAACAGGGTCCACGCGTACGCGTCAAAACATCAAAACCTCTGCTATTCAACAGGCCCCTAGCTTTCAAACGAAAGGATACCAGAATGACTTGCTCTCTCACGTGGAGATCTAGTGAAGGCAGACCCAGAAGGGCTTCGATGATAACTGTGGGGGGTTGCTCGCATCGCTTCCATGCAAGCAAGGCACTTTGCACATGTTGTGGAGAGTTCTGGACCAGCTCTATAAGTCTACTCATCGCAATGTATACAGCCACAAGACAACCTTCAGGAATGGCGCTTAGTCTGCCAATTGCGCGATTTGTTTTCAATCTGATCTTGCGCAAATTCGTACAGACGATATTTTTATTCCCCAATAAACGAACTGAATCTTGAAAGATCAAGATGTTCATGGACTAACTATTTAGAAGTGGGCTGGTAGAGGAGAACAAAATAAAATTCTTTTCCACCAATATAAGCAAAGGTCTGAACTAGAAGCTACGTCCCCAATGATTTAAAAAAAAACTCTCTACCGCCCGCATGTTAGTAAGGGAGGTATTGCATTGGGGTAAACAATGACCCCCCACTTTTTTGACGCAAATACACGTTTTGAGCACCAGGAATCCGAATCAGACAAAATCTCGATGATGTCGATCGGTCTGTCTACCTGTACTCTCATTTCTAGCTAAACGGCTGAACCGATTGGAACCAATTTTGGTACACATATTCTTAAACATAAAAGGGCAGAATCGCACATTTTCAAGCGTGCAGGTGTTATCTGTACTATAGCCACACAATTTTTTTAAATTTGGCATATCGCATTAAAGTGTTTGAACTAACGACGGTATAATGATAGCAATAATTACTGAGTGATGACTTTTACTAAGATACGTAAATATGCTAAAATATACAGTTTCAGAATAAACAAATAAAAAAAACTCTGCAGTAACCCAATAGGGCCGATACTGGATATATGTATGTACTCTTTCCAATTTTATAAACATTCTTTGACAACTCCTAAGATAAAGATAGCGCACCACTAAACAGGGATGCTAAAAAAATTCCGCTCTAATATTTAGTAGGTACGCAAGAAAAGTACTAGTAGTTGACAACAGGAAAATATGATCGATTTGAGACAAACGTTTGTGCTAAGTTCTACATTATCCCAGGTTTGTGCAGCAATGTACCGCGTCTCTTTTAGCTTAGAAAATAATCTCAATTTACGAAAAACGTATTTCTTTTACAACAGCGCATTACCCTAGGCATTACCACTTTTTTGAATTAATTAATTAATTAATCTAAGTCATATACAGCGTGTCCAAGATAAGAATGAACAGCATGGGGAAATCGGAAGCCGTAAGAAATACACAGTCGGTTAAATTACAAACAAAGTTGCTTATTTTAGGGCTTAGTAAAATGATATTTTAAAAATTCGTAAATTTGCAGAATAGGCAACGCATACGCACCATTTTTAGCGAATTTTTGGAAAAAATAAGCTATTATATTCGTAATGGCTGGATGGCTGGCTGTGCGGCTGTGACAATAGCTAAAGACTTCACATTTTGACTAAAAGCTTTCTGATGTAGTGTAGATGTGCAGGCTCTATTAGCAAAGAGTAGGTATATAACGAGTCAATTTGATGCCAGAGATTTACGGCTATTTATTTAAAGTATTGAAATATTAGAGTCGTTTTGGTCAATTTTTTGTAAATTATGGTCCTCTACAATCATATTAGTTTGTACTAAGATGCTTTCCTGATTGATTTACCAATCGGTGTCTAAAACAAGCTCCGGATCTTTTTGGAATTTTTATCAACATACTTATTCAAGGTGTTTTATTATACAATTCTTGATTAAACCTGTGCTTCCAATCCCAATAAGAGTGTCGTTGTTTAAATATTTTAGTTTTCTTTGATAGTGTGTCATATTCCATGATGTTGTATTACAATGTTTTATGCTGATTGTACCATAGTCACTTAATCACTTTTATCTTGTGGTTGATTTTCATCACCTATCAGGATGATGGCGATTTGAAAAATACGCAAATTTTATGGTGGTGTATTTTGCGAATATTAAATGGTAATACTTATGCAGATCCAAAATTAAATTATTAATTTAATAATTGGATACCAATATTAGATAAAAGAACGATAAATACGAATGAATTTCTATTAATCTAATGGCAGTAAAATTTTAATTTAATTGAAGCATTAATCGCTACACGATTTGCGAACCATTTGCAACTTCAATAAATTTTTCTGGAAACTATGCTACTTCCATTGTCTGTAATTAGATACCCAGTGAATCTGTGTAAATAATTACACATTAAAATGCCTGTAATTAAACAGAACATTACAACTAATTTCATTAATATTTAATTAACTGTAGACTGCAGAATACCTCAACTAATAAATAGGTACTTAGAGAGATTGATCAAGGAAGTTTCATCGTTTGATCTACAGGTGACACATAGCACAAATCATACTGAATAGGATAATCTGTTTCTGTTACAGTAGTACCACAGATTGTAGTATTTTCTCTCTACAGCCATTGTATAAAAAACCACAGCTTTTTATTCAAAGCTTCAGCAGTACCTACTTGAGAGATGCTAAGAATTGCAGGTGCAAGGTTTCTTATATTTGGTATTCCCATGTATACATAAAACGATAATGAGGAATATCCAAATTAAATAATGACTCATATCTTTGTATTAAAAATTTGGTACACGTTACTCTCTTACGGACCTGACAGCCTTACCTTACGTCACTGAAATGCCCATGTATTTATATATACTTGGGAAGCTTTAGAGGTTGTATCTATTACATGAATAATTGAACATAATGCGACAGTAACAATGAGATACTTCTTTGAATTATTGGCAAATGATATCGATATCGCTGGACAAACATTTTTTTGATTTTTACCATTGAATAAAAACACTATTTTATTCAATGTTTTTACATACTTTCCGTATTCTATTCCGATTGAATAAACCGATAACTAAGTTTAGTAAGAACACATAAACTGATGGTCGAAAGGTGTCACTTTGACCTAAAGAAAAACTGCGCGGTCTACTCAATTTTGCAAATATCGAGAAGTGGATTTTTTTTTGCTTTCTGTCGTTCTTTTGAGTACATCCGCAAAACGGCGTAGGTGCATTCTTTAACATTCAATATGGCCATTGAATAATCTTTATTCAATGATGTGGCTGAAGAGCTCCAACCAACTTTTTACTGACCTGATGAAAGGAACAACATTATTTACAATTCCGGTGGCAAAATCATGTAATGTAAATTGCGCGCTCCTTGCATTAAAAATTTTGTACATTTTGTAACGCTATTTTCTTACCGTTTGGCATTAGCGATTTACGTAATCTTCGATTGTTAGGTATGTTTTATCAAAGAGTATGGATAGTCTTTGGTTTTATTTAGAATTCCTTACGCCATCTTCTTTGTAATCCACTAGTTCAGATGTTCAGAAATACACATTTTGAAGCACCAGGAATCCGAATCGAATTTTCCTGAATGTTAATTTTACTTGGAGCAAGCAAAGGAGTAATTCCGGTGGGAGCGAATTCTACATAAGCGACGCAGAATCTTGCGCGAAAGAATTTTCTAGGACCAATCTTCCGGAAGATAATTATACCTGGGGGAGAGTTTGGTGGAAAATTTTCGGGGGCGAATTTTGCATGGTGAATCTGCCTTCAATCAAAACAACTCTCGAAAAATGGGATCGAAAAACGCCTTGCCTGTACTCATAAATTACGCTTACTTACAAACTATAACTTTGGTCCGTATGAGACATTAGACGAGAACGGTCTAGTACAAATTCAAAGGGATAAATTATATAAAGGTTTCCCCCTGAGTTTTAGTTTCTAAGAAAATTTGCCCGTACCGTACCTGGTATAGAAGCAGATTACGAGTAGAGCGATGCCCTTAATCAATTAATGTGACTTGGGAGGTTTTCTTTTGATTGATTTCAGGTTTCGGATGCGAAAACTGAACTTACTTCTTGGCGTCAACATCTAACTTTATTCCAAGGTAAGAGTTGGCTTCAGGGTTGGCTTATATGTTTTACTTGTACTTGGCCCTATACGTGTTAATTTTTGCTCGGAATATCAATTTAATTGTGTAAAGTTGTTTTATGATTCAGTAATTAGTTGCTAATGTAAACCAGTATTTCCTTTGGTACCTAAATTGATTTGTACTTCTCTTACCCTCTCATCTTCTCAATCTCATACGGAGAAAGTTAAGATAGAAATTGAGTGGCGCTCAATCATTGTAAGTGCAACGAAGTTAAGAAGATCAAATGCCCAGAACGAACTACCGCTGTGGAAGATCTCAAGCTTTTATTTTGTTTTTCAACCCTGAGCTAATTGGCCGTTTATGCGGCGGGTTTGAGTCCAATCAGCGCCAACTCTGCCAACCGTTAACCAATTTTTAATGAATGCCCCAAAGGGTAGAAGATTTAAATACATTTGACATTTCCATATACAGCATATTATCGGTGCATTATAAGACTTTGTTTGTAAGATGCTTCGTTATTCATCCATCCGTTTCAAACAGATTTAAACATTGGAAATCGTTGACTATTATTTTCCAGCATACGTTAAAGGTTTGAAGGCAGTCCACAGTATGTAATATAGGTATTAGGTATTACCGCGTACTAAAGGATTTTGTCACATCGGAGAATACCAAAATTCCATACTTTAAAAAGTACTTCATTTTAGAATTTTGTATCTGATTTTAGATTTACACAATTACCAGTTTGTAACAAGAACACTTCTAGGAGATCTTTCTTCCTCCTACCTGCATATTAAGCAAACTACTTACCAAAGAATCTTCTCGCTCTGTTATAGTATGCCATGTTTATATATTCTGTTAAGTCAATGTCTCAATTTTCTAGATGATGTTCTTGAACCACACGTACTTTTTCTGCTCGTTGTAGGTACCTATTACTTTCACAATACTTGTCTCCACAATCATATATCAAAACCACATTATTTGTTCATTTATGCTTACATTTGCAGTTATCTTATCTATGGTTGGTAAAGAACAAAAAATAAATGAAATCCATGACTATTATAGTAGTAGCACTGTATTTATAAACGAATAAATACAATGCTAGTATGTAGGTACTAATTCTACAGATATAATTAGTTACCAACGAAAATTCATGCAAAATGCATTTTGAAATACTGTAGTGCCACGAAAGTGAAATCCTACGAAACGTCTATTTTAAGATCACTTTGTGTAAACAACACTAAATTACCTACCTACCTAAAAAACTTCATTCTTAGTTTCATCTGTTCATATTTTTCTAGTTGGGTAGTTGGGTAAGAATAACCCTACTGCAAAGACACTGTACGTCGTAAGAGGCGATTGATCATAGAAGCAGGTTTAGATAATAGGGCGATTTAGGGCAGTTTGGACAAAACCATAAGTTGATAGGATATTTGGGAGAGATGCCTACGAGGAATTGTATAGTGATTATGACTTTGGATTTCGATTATGACTTCCTTCTCTCTGCCGATTTGTTCGGGCCTTACAAGACCAGAAAATGAGTCTGGCGATAGACTTTTCCACCATCTGTAATCGTGTTTTAAAGGGGTCTTCGGACGAGTGAGCGTTTGTAGTGTTCAGTGATGTGTTGTCACCAGGATGGTGAAGACGTCCGCGGTACAAAGTCGCATCGCTTCTCAACAATCCATCTGGAGGCTGCTATCCCCAGGAAAAAGTTTCGGCACTTTGCTTTTCAAGTGATGTTATCCCATAATCACTTCAAATAACGTTGCCATTTTCCTCTTCAAATTGCAGCGATGGCTACATTTCAGGTCTGTGTGGGGATGGTGACGCATCGAGTGGAAAAGTCGTGAGAAAACGCTTTTAAAAATAACACTGAAAGCGCACTATCGGTTCAAGATGAAAGAGCAGTTGGTTTTTTTCGCTAGGAAGTTCGTTTGGGGCGCGCACCGGGGTTTTTTAGTTTTGCTTAGTCTGGAAGTAAACAATATTTCTATTTTCTTCTACTGATGAGGGTGTGGCTGCACGTGAACCTAAGTCTAAAAAATTGAATTGAAACTTTTGGAGTATTTGGACGATAAAACAGGCAATATAAATAACTTGCTGCTTGAATGAATATCCAAAATGAATTCTGCCATCCGGACCATTCGAAAATCTGTTTTCCTTGACGTCAATATAAATGCACCAAGAAGATGTGGTTTAGCAGTCTTTAATATTGGTACTATCCAAAGCTAACAATAATAATAAAGCTTATTTAATGTTTTGTAGAACAGCCTACATACATAAGTCAATACAAAAGCAAAATAAAAATAATACAAATGTAAGAACAAACAAAATTATAACAAAAAGAACTCTGTACTGAAAAATTCCTCATACGAGTAAAACGCTTTATCAATAAGAAATGCTTTAGTTCTTGATTTGAATAAATTAAAAGGTAAAGCCTTAATATTGGGAGGAATATAATTATACATTTTTATATTGATATGATCAAAACTGTTTTGCGTCTTACTTAAACGGCAAAAAGGGACAAATGCATTTAATTTGTTGCGGGTGTCATAATTATGAACATCGCAATTTTTAACAAAATAATGTTCATTGCGCTTAACAAAACAAAGACAAGTAAAAATAAAAATAGATGGAAGCGTTAATATTTGGTGATCAATGAAAGCTTGCCGACAATCATCTCTAAATGAAATGTTAGCAATAATTCTAACGGCTTTTCTTTGTAATTTAAATAATTGCCTCCAACAAGCAAAATGACCCCAAACATTAATAGCATAAGACAAGTGGCTATGTATGAGTGCAAAATAGGCAGTTTTAAGAATATTCATAGTTACATTACTCGCTAATCTACGCAAAACAAATATATTTCTGCTTAACTTCGTAGCAACAAAATTACCGTGAACATCAAAATTTAATTTACGATCAATACAAATTCCTAAAAATTTCACATATTCAGGTGTTGATAAATCATGTGATCGCAGTGATAATAGCATGGATACCGTTTTCATTGTATTTATATGTAATAAGTTTATAGTGTACCAAGTATTAGCTCGTTGAAGTAATTCATTGGAGTTATTTAGTTCCCCGTTAATGTGTTCGGCCCCAACAAGTAAGGTAGCATCATCTGCATAAAGAAGGCAGTTTTCATTTCCAGAAATAAAGCTTGGCATATCATTAATATAAATTAAAAAGAGAAGAGGCCCCAGAATAACTAATTAAATAACTAATTAAATTTCGATAAAGATAATAAGATAAATGTTTTTGTGTTTACTTCACAATATGTGTCAAGTTTTTTTCCGTCATTCAAAAAAAGGATTCGAATGTTTGGGCAGGTATTCTTGGGAATCAAATTATGGGGCCAATAGTCCTAGAAGGAAATTTAATACGGGGATTAAATCAGAATCTATTGGAAGATGTGATAGGTCCTTTGATCGCACAATCTTTGGCTAGTAAACTACAATAGGTAAGTAGGTAGACTCTACTAGCGTTGAGTGAATCTTATTCAATGCTACTAGGCAAAGAAAATTTGTCCTTTCACCAAGTTGAGGGCCCTCCTCATTATGCTCTGGTTCTTCAGTATTGGCTCCATCGGCGGTATCCCCACTGTCTCCCGACGACTTGAGCCCGCTTAGTTTCTTTCTTTGGGGACAATCAAGAACTAAGGCACAAATAACACATGAATGTAGACAAATTATTAATTTATTTATTTACTTTATTCTGATCTTTATTTTTGAGTGAGCGGGGTTTCAGCCAAGGCTGCTCTACAAACCCAACCCACTATACATTTATAGAAAGTAATTTTTAAAGAAACCATCCAAATTTGGTTATCGTGCGTATTTCTGTAAAAGATAATGTTATGTCCTTTAAAATAATGTGGCACTCCGCACTCGATGGGAGTGCATATTATAATTTTAATATTAAGCTAAAGCTTCGATTTAACTTTTCCTTGTAAGTAACTATACATATAAATGGACGTGTTTTTGAAATGTTAGATTTTTTTATCAAAATTGCATATTATCACCGGTGAATCGTTTTGAAATAAAACGCCCTGTTCAGTTTAAAACTTATTTCTGGCAATAACACCATTGAATTGAACTCAATGATAACACATAAATATAGTTTAAATAATACAATTTAGGATGTGCATAACGTTATTAATTTTCACTTACCCTGTATACCTGCTCGTGAACTTCAGCTCAGTGGTACCAACAAAAAAACTTAGTTAAAGTTTATTTTATTACGTTGGAGGCTCGTTTTTCGAAACGAAAATAATTATAACCTAAAAAACAAATGTCACTTTGTTTTGTTCATTAAAGTTCTTGCTTTAAATTCTCCTAAGTGTTAGAAAAGTGTATTTGATCTGCTTGTAGATGTTTACAAAATACTAATCAATCATGAGTGTTTTAAGTTAAGAGTTCTCGACGAAAACCAGATTTTTAAGTCATAACTAGTTTCAGCATGATACCACGTTCATGTATATTATTAGGCAATATTTATTGTAATTCTTACTGCACTGGCCAACGTAAGTAACTGCAATTACTAAAATAAGGCGACAATATTTACTTCTACCCGTAGTTATCTTAAAACGGCACCTTAATTTTACGCACTGCAAAAGTAGTAACTTACGAAAGTTTCAAAGTGAACTGAAGTCATTGGTGCAAACACTCTGCACCGTTCGAACGCTAGCCAGCGATAAACAAAACAAAGAAAGCCCTACACCTGAGAAAGCGAAGGAGGTGAATCTTGACAACATAAAAGAGAAGAGTTTGGAGAAGCCGAATTTAAAACCGACCGAATCCTTACAGAAACTGAAGGATAAGATCCTCTCAAAGAAGGATGAAACGAAAAGTGAGACCGTCAAACCGCCACCGAAGAAACGTGCGAGAGTGGACCTCTCGGCGGCATCCGTCGAACGTAACTTCATTACCCCTGTCAAGGCTATGTCTGATTTTCTCTTGAAACCGTCCGATCTTGAATCTCTGCCGAAGACTAAGCGTCGTTCTCCGTACGAAAACGAGCCGCCTATAACTGTGTATTGGCGGAAGGACGTCGAAGCGAAGGCTCTGGAGCTATGGGGTTCCAAGGAGAATCTTGCAAAGGAGGTACTTAAACGAGACATTGAACGGAAGAAGTATCAACAAGGTGAGACTGTCCATTCTGATAATATAAGTATAATAATTGTGTGTGTACGGCCAGTGTGGTCTAGTGGCAAGTGTACTCGGGTTTGATTAGCAGTTCTGCCAGATCATTTTTGCCTGTGGGACCCATTCAATCTCTAAAAATGCGTAGGGAGAGTTTAATGTCTGGGGTAATAATAGGGGGCTCTTGAGCACAGTGCTAATCACACAACATCTGCATTTGTTCCAGACATAGTCAGCTATAAAGTGCCTCTCACTTGCCTCAGAAATGCGTAAAGGTACTGACAGCTAAGAAGCTCTTCATTGCACCTATTGTGCGCCACTAAGCCACATTGGCCCCGCCTGCAGATGTGTATTTGTTTTAAAAAGTTATTTTGGATGCATAAAATTAGGCGCTCTTCAGAAGAGAGCTTGTCTTTTCAAAGTAGACATAGAGAAAAACAATAGACAATCCCTATGTCTACTTCTTAATAAATATCACTGTATAGTTCAAATATGTTCAAAATAAATAAAAGTTCGTGCCCTACATTGTTGTGATAAATAATTGTAGATATCTTCACCGTTAAAAGGCGCCTGCGGGATTTCCGCCGCGAATTGGGGAAGCCTACAAATGTAGAAGAGGCTGATGAAGGTTTGATGGGTCGATCTGGCAAAGTGGTGATAACTGCAATTGCAATGTACGTTTAATTGATATTGAAGAGCATGTTTCAATGAATTATTTTGCAGAAATGCCACCAATTGCTTGTTCAAGCTATTCGCTTGGTTGTATACGGGTTCGCACAGTATGTTTTCAGAGTGCATTCATTCGCTCGCTGACACGATAAATCAAATTATACTGGCGTACGGGATTCACAAATCTGTGCAGGTAAACTGAGGGCGATTCAAAGAGGTGGAGAAGGTTAATTATTTTCAGATTGCAGATTCGTATCATCCGTACGGTTATGCCAATATGAAGTATGTCGCCTCACTTATATCGGGTGTTGGTATTTTTTGCGTCGGTACAGGATTGTCGTTTTATCATGGCATTAGTGGTTTAATTGCATCACAGCCCATTGAGGATTTCTTTTGGGTAATGGCCGTTTTGCTGGATATGCGTACAAATATAGCATTTTCAGGCATACTTTATATTGGCAGGTTCTCTAGTCTCCGAGGGTGCTACATGTCTTGTTGCCCTTAACTCTGTTAGAAAGGGTGCTCATAATTCAAACATGAGTATAAGAGAATATAGTAAGTTGGCCTTTTAAAGGTCGTGGTGCATCAAACACCAAAAACTATATAATCTGAAAATAATTTACAGATACCGGGTGAAAACCAGTTTGACATTTTGGGGTGTTTGACGCAATGTTACTATTTTTTAGATGCAACACCCTATATATTTTACCGTGAATTATGTACTTTCATTTTCCTGATTGCATTGATGTATGACAACCTATATTTTTTAATTAATTATATGTTATATCTTATTTTTCAAATTTTTTAAATGACATGTATCGCCTGCCATGAATACTTACAATAAAAAAAAAAAATCTTGAATCCATCACCTACTATTTAGAAATCGTGAAAAATAAGGTTTCAATTTTTGTTTCATGGCTAAAATTTAAAAAATAAAAGTTGTAATATATCAATGTAATCAGGAAAACTTTGGGTCAAATCTCAGAAACGGTGGTCCAAAAATTAATTTTTACTACGCCACTGGATTCTACGTAAAAATATCTAGAAGGGACAATTTTTACTTTTTTTCAATCTTACATGGGCAGCAAGATATGATAACATCCCAAAAAGTCAAACTTTTCGTTTTCACCCAGTATCTCGGAAACAAACGTAGCTAGATTGCTTCTGTTTGTGGTAAAAGTTTCACAAAAGAGTGCCACAGGGTCGCGAAAACCGTCTCTATCTTTAAAAACAGCTGACATACACCGCAGACTGAACCCAAATAGGACACACGGTACTGTAATAATACTAACCTTGACCTTGGACAAATGGAAAAAAAATCTTAAGAAATGGAAGTTTTTTTTAATAGTTTTTGGTGCCCAATCGGTTAGTTTGTATGATCTTTTTCTAAATTTATTTCATTTAGGTGTTAAGTTTTGCGCGCTGTAGTTTTTCTAAAATAATTCCCCCAAAAATTAAGCTAGAGTAAGACTACATCATCATTTAATCTGCTTGCTAGTTACCAGAGGACAAGATCCCAGCGTAAACGTCGTCTTGCTAGAAGATTTCGCTGCAGTTGTTGGTGTCCTTGTAGCGGGCACCTGTATGGGAATCTCCTCGTGGACTCACAGTCCCATTCCAGACGCTTTAGGATCCTTGTTGGTTGGGTGCATTTTAGGCTCTGTCGCTTCTTTCATAATTTACACCAACGTAGCTGCGCTTGTAGGAAGGTGAGATCATTCATGAGAAGCATTTCTACTTTAATTACTTGCGTAGATCGATACCGCAAGAAAATTTAGACAAAATTAACGCCGAATTGGAAACGGACGTCATGATCAGAGCAATACACGATGTTAAAGGTATCGACATGGGTAACTTTTTGGTTAGATACAAGGCCGAGTTGGATTTTGACGGTAGGGAATTGACCAGAATGTATCTCGATAAGTTGGAGTTAACTGCTCTGCTAGAAGTACACGTCGCGTGACTACGAATTTGCGTAATATTTGCACTTTTTGTAGGAAATAAAGAAGTTTGAAAACATAGATCAACTGGAGGAGTTCATGTTGAAGCATGGCGAATCGATTGTGGATATGATGGGAGGTGAAATCGATAGGATAGAAATGAAATTACGGGTAGTATAACGTGATTACAATCGCCCTTTTTAATTCTGGCAATTTTTAGAAAAACCATCCTGAAATAAGGCACTGTGATTTGGAAATTCTGTAAAATCTCCAGCAATCCAAAGGTGTAAGAAAAATTTTATTCGCTGTAGTGAAATTTAACGCATATAAACATATTTTTTATTTATTGTTATTGTTATTTTTTTCATTTAACAACTCCCTTATTACTTGTAAGCCTGTTACTTTTTTTTATAATAAATACAATCTTTATTTTTACTGTACACTCTAAATACCTAACGTTTGCCAAATGGAATTGATAAGACCTAGCAGTGGCCTAACTACCGGTCTTCTGGTTGTGCCGCGAAACATGGGCCCGCTTCCGCTGGGTCCCGAAATCAAAAGGAGCATCCAAGCGCAAACTGACTCCAGCCCATAGAAATCTTTCACAATTTTTAAGAATAGTTACCTATAATGTAATAATTGTGTTTTATTATTTTATCTTACAAAAATTCCCTTAAAAAAGTATGTAATAGAATTCTAACAAGGAATTGAGTGTTGTGCGAATTTACTCTCAACCAAATCTACCTGACTAGAGCACTACCATTATGCAACTGCTTGCCGAACTATTATATTTCATTTATTGATTATTTTATTACATATTGCCTCTATGAATGGGTACGCACTGAAACAAGTGAGTCACTTGAAAAAAATATATGCATCAGTTTTACTGAAATTATAAATGCATGTGTTATATACTCTCTAAAAATTATTAAGGTTTGTTTAAGAAATGCTATGGGCGCACAGATCGTCCTTCAATCAATGACAGTGAAAAACAAGCAATTGCTAGAACAATAAACATTTCTAATATATTGTCGACATTTGCGCAAAGCCGCAAACTAAACCAGAAAAAAAGATGTTTAAATACCTAAAGCATTAATATGTATAATGCCTGTTTTTTATTAATGATGTATCATTATTTATAAATTAAGCATTAAGTATGTAATTTCTAAAGTGAGCGGAATGTTATAGGTAGGTATATTATTTTCAGAAATGAGGGTTCTCCTTTTTCGCGTCTAATAGGGCCTGGCTATATTTTAGAACACGGGCCCGTGGCTGCATTGTTACGCCTACTTTTGAGTAAGTAATTCCGAATATTTACGAAGATAACCGAAAAAAAACGAAATTTACTAAATTTTTCGTGCCCAACAGGAAGAACCTCGCTCATCCGAATCATTGCCCAAAAAACGGTAAACGCAATAGCCATCTTCGAGCTAGGAATTTAGAAATTAAGTTTAGGTATATACATTTCCGAAAGGCGAAGTTTGACATGAATTCTTGAGTACCCCGTAACCATTTTGTTAACAGTTGTTACATTTGGGTAAAGCCTTAGGCATAACAAATTTTGAAAATAATGAGTAGGTATGTCTCGTTTGCTTATAAAAGGTCAATTTAATTACCGAGGAAGTATTTTTGGCATAATCGTCAAAAACACTCAATTCAAAATACGTATGTAGATAATTTGCACCTCCATTAATTTAATATGAATTTCAACGACTTCATCTACATAAATCTGTTTTGCCAAATTGTGGCCTTGGAAAGTCGAAAAATAGATGGATAGAAGGATCATGCGCAGTGTACTAAGGTCATATACATGACATGATTTAACTTGGAGGAAAAGAAGAAAAGAACAACAATTGAAAAAAAAGAGAGGAAGACAAAAATGAAAAGAACTACGAAAAAGAGAAAAGCAGCAAAATTGAACAGAAATACCGAAAAGAAGAAACACAAAAACGATAAGTTAATAGGAAACCCCGAACACGAAAATCCAAGCAGTCGCAAATTTAATAAAATTAAGTGAAAGAAGATAAAGGTAGAGAAAACAGAATAAAAATTGGACTCATATTGACCTCAGACCCATTCGAAATAAAAGACGCGGTAATTGTTCGTTATGAGGACCAATTTATTCCATGCGAGATTAAAAATAGATGGCTTGTTTGTATCTGTTTGTGATAAAAAGTGGAATATTATTGCATTAAGATTAAAAATAAAACGTACTGAAGCACTAAACTGGCCAAAACCAGTGACATTTGCCATTTGAATTTTATTTATTATTTTAACTGGAAACGTAATCTTTTATCCCCAATAAGAACGTAAGTCCTCAAGATTTTATTGCCAATAGTGCTGCTCCTCGTACAACATTTAAATAGGTAATCTTGTAAAAAGTAACAGCACGCCACTAACTGACACTGAGGATATCAACTACAGCTTGCTGATACAAGTATCACCCTTGACTTTGTCCATAGAGGATTATGCTTTGTCTAAGTATCGCTAGTGAGACTTTACAGTCCGTCCTAGACGGTTAAGTTTATCGGTCGTTTCAACCACTCGGCAGCAACAAAATTATACTTTGGCATCGAATAAAAAATTATTCAACGACTTTGGTACGCATAACCAATAACTCAATTAATGGTCGAAAGAAAAATCGAGTTCATGAAGTGTTCGAACGCCTACTCGGTAAAAACGCGTCAAATCAATATAGTCCTTTGTGAAATTCACATCTTGCTGTGAATTTCTGGAATTAAAATGAAGTGTGTATATGTCCACGGAACAGTCTTTAAATTGTCCTTAATTCTTATGTTGATCCAGTATGCAAATGCCGCCCGTCCACACATTGTGTTTATTTTAGCAGATGATTTGGTATGTCAGTTAGTACCTAGAATGACCTGATTTGAACAGTAGATAATTAGTGACAACATTTGCAGGGATGGAACGACGTCAGTTTTCATGGATCGTCCCAAATATTAACCCCTAACATCGACGCTTTGGCCTATTCGGGTTTAATTTTAAACAATTATTACGTTTTGCCCATTTGCACTCCGTCACGAAGTGCTTTAATGACCGGAAAGTATCCAATACATACCGGCATGCAGCATGAGGTCTTATATGGAGCAGAACCACGCGGATTACCGTTATCTGAAACCCTCTTACCACAATACCTCAAAAGACTAGGATACTCAACGCATATTGTTGGAAAATGGCATTTGGGTTCATACAAAAAGGAATATACGCCCACGTTTAGAGGTTTCGATTCGCATTTAGGTAAGAATTTCTTAATTTGAAATGGGAGTTATGTAGTTAGTGTACTTATGCAAATCGGCACGTAAGTGTATGTGTAATTTCGGTATTGTTATTACCCTGAAGTAAAAAAAAACCGGGTCGCAGAGTACGAAACACAGTGAAGTTCAGAATAGAAAACAATACTGTTTCCATGGAAACGACGGTAGAACTCGACCTTGCTATTTTTGACGTCTTAATTACATTCAGAATTTTCAGAAGTTTTATAATGATTTATAATTTATAAAAGTGGTATGTGTGTTGACATCTGTATGTTTGTATTTTTAGATGCCCCTGAATAATAGAGTTCTTTTTTATATTTTGGCATTTTTTTTGTAATGCCATCCGTATTAATTGTTTTATCAATACCGTCACATTCGTTCAGTGGACGAAAACATCTTATTTTTAGCTTATCTTAAAACTGCCTAATAAATGTGTTTTTTTTTTGCATTTAAAAGAGAAAGTATTAGAGTATTAGAGACATTAGCTCGGAAATTAACAATGGAACTTGCAGATTGGATCGTTAGCAATGGGTGAATTTACTTCTCTAACTTCTCCAGGGGATCGATGCTCTCTGAACGTTAAACTTCCATGTTTATAAATCTCAGATAAGCAAGATATTCTTTCCACAACAGTTTGTTTCAACAAACGCGTTTAATTGATTCAATTACTGTAGTTATCTTTTTCCGCAACAAAACTCGCGGTAATGACAAGCTTTTGACTTCTATTTTACCAATTATGACTTGTTTTTCGATTGTGACGACTTTAGGCGACAGTACACACAAGAGTAACAGGGTGCGAATAGAATAACTGGACTATATGGATCCAAACGTGAAATCTTTTGATTTATATTCATATTTTTCAAATTGTGCCGTTTTATATTTATCCTGTGTGTGTCTATCTTTAAACACAGCGCCATCTACTACCTTCTTATCTATATACATAGGTACCTAAAATCGCACGGCACAAAACACTCAATATTTTAACAAAAATCTTTCTTTCGTTTGTATGAAAAATTTAGAGGTACCAAATTTGTGTTGAAATTTATTATGAAGGAGAAATGCAAATTAATTGCTAATTAAAGGATTTCCTGGCAACAATTACAGATAGTAAATAAATCTATTATAAATTTAGTAATTAGTGGTCATAATCGTAAGGAATTCCATTAATTGAAAAAAGGGTTTGCAAGCACCTCATGAACAAAATTGACATCATGCGATAATTGGAAATATGTATTCTGTATGCCAAAATTTTCCAGAAGTTCATCTAAACTGATCTGAAAGTGAGCTATGCACTCAAGAACTAAAGGTTTTTGGTTTTATTTTATAAAGAACGCACAACTCTGCCTCAAGAAACTATATTTAGTTTAAACACGTACTTCCAACTTTTTTGTGGTATGAAATGATTTTTTTTTAATTTCATAATAACACTGGTAGTGACCGAAAGTAGCTCTTGGATTCTCTTGATCGCTGCCTTAACTTTTCTTTCCCATATCGCTTGCTGCATATTAGCAAAACCGCATAGGCGATAAGGCTTAGAACGATGACGATGTTGATGGAATGTTTTTTTACTTTGCAGGATTTTGGACAGGTCATCACGACTACAACGAACATACGGCTATGGAAAAAGGAATGTGGGGTTTGGATATGAGGCGCAATATGGATGTCGCCTGGGACTTACACGGGAATTATTCCACCGACATTTTCTCAATAGAATCGGAAAGGATTATAGCAAATCACAACAAATCGAATCCCTTATTTTTATACATTGCACACGCAGCGGTGCATTCGGGAAATCCGTACAACCCCTTGCCGGCACCGGATAGTATCGTTGCGAAACTTCAAAGCATTACTGACTACAACCGACGAAGATTCGCAGGTGAAATTTATACTGTTTAATTAATCAGTTCCTTATTACTTTTCTAGGTATGTTGACAAAGCTAGACGAATCTGTTGGGAGAGTGGTACAAGCTTTACAAGCTAATAACATGTTGAAGGACAGCATCATTGTTTTCAGCACTGATAATGGTGGACCCGCGAATGGTTTCAATCTCAATGCTGCCTCAAATTGGCCTTTGCGAGGTGTCAAAAATACCCTTTGGGAAGGAGGCGTGAGAGGTGCTGCATTTTTATGGAGTCCTCTAATAAAGGACAAGCAGAGAGTTGCACTTCAAAAAATGCATGTTACAGACTGGTTACCAACACTCTACAGTGCAGCTGGTGGGGACGTGAAGTAAAATATTTGAATAAATGCAGACGGCTGAATAACGTATGTTTCGCAGTAAAATGGAAGACATAGACGGCTACGACCTCTGGGAAGCTTTGAGCACCAATAGCGAATCTCCGCGAAATGAAATTTTGCACAACATTGATGAGCACTTTGGTGTATCAGCTTTAACAGTAGGCAAATGGAAGATATTGCATGGTAAACTATTGAAGTTTATCTGCACCATATAATTATACCGCTTAGGTAGCACTTATGATGGTATATGGGATCAGTGGTACGGTCCAAGTGGAAGGAACGGTTTTTATAATGCTACCAAGGTACTGACCAGTTCCGCAGGTAAGGCGCTATCAAAAATAAAGGAATCTACAAACTGTTCAATAATTGCACATTTACGGAAAATGGCCGGTGTCGACTGCGCTAAAAAAAAATTAGTGCACTGTAAGCCACTGAAAGCACCGTGTTTGTTCGATACGGAAACCGACCCTTGCGAAAGGACTAACTTGGCAGACAAGTAAGTAAGATTTACATCGTTTCAAGATCTTACACAATCTTTCAGACATCCCGAAATGCTACAGAAACTTACGGAACGTTTACAGGAATGGAAATCAACTGCGATTCCTCCAGGTAATTTACCTATTGACCAGAGAGGCAATCCGAAACATTTTGGATATACGTGGACCAATTTTGGGGACTATTTGGATTATTCTGTACTTAAAGCACATTGATTGGTACGCTGATGCATTTGCTTCGATTGCACAAAATCAACAAAAATGTATAGATTATGTCCTATTTTTGCACACATAAGGTATAAAGGTACTACACAGATCATGGAAATATTCAGACATATGAGAAGTTTTCCTTTTTAAACATGTCAAGTGATGCATTTAATACCTACTTATTTAAAGCGATTTAAAGCCGTCTGTTGCACATAAACTCACACAACCACTTCCCTGCTCGTTGTTCGAAAATAAACTTTTTGTTACGACAAGGTTTATTATTTGTTTACGTTGTTCTTCCCTGAATTACCCTCTTTGGTACTCTCTCCTATTTTCAATCCCAACGCAGCTGCTTATTGATTGAGAAAAAAGTAAAAATTAAACGGTCGTATGTGGTAATTGTTTCCTAATTTGCAATTTTCATAAATACACAAAAATAACCATTTACGGCACAATTTTCTATACACAAAAAATGATCATAATGGACTCACTAAATTGGAAGTTCTCTTTATCGAATTCTGAAAAGTTGACTTATTGGAGTCTCACGATCTAAATAAACTCGTCACTAGTAGATGCGGTAGCTTCACTGAAACCAGGTTTACACCCCGACTGGTATTGGGGGAGGTAAGTATATTTTATTATATAGCTATTTGTGTATTAAGAGCGCAAAATGATATATTGTCGATTGAAAGAGACAGTTGACGCGCGACGAAGGAGCGCGGCAATCTCTTGAAATCGACAATCAATTTGCGCTCGAATTACACACAAGATTTTTTCTACAATCGAGCAGTTCACATATTAAATTTTTCACTCAAATCATTTTAATCTTATGCCCAAATGAAAGATGTCATTTACTCGTTGTCATTGGATACTCTGAGCAATGCATATTTGATTTATAGTTAATAATTGGGAGAGCGAGCGTTTTTTCTATTTTGTCGCTTATAAGCGACAAAGTGACATTCCTCGAAAATTATGACGTTTGCGTTGTCAAATACGAGCGCAAATGCCTACTTTGGATATCGATTGTAGAAAAAAGATTTAATTGCCGCCTAATCTGCACATTACGTCAAGCACAAGTTGAAAAATGAAATAATATTTAAATTGAGATATTCAATCATGTCATCATATAGTAACATGTTTAATCGACTCGTCGAAAATATCAAGATTTATCTCAAGCTTCCGGTATCTTCGAAACTTGGACGCTTATAGGATCATCTTCAATTTTTAGGGCAGCATAAATTAAGCACCAATCGGATGGATTATGTTGTACCTATAATGGTAATGGTAAAACACCGCAGCCGTCTGTAAACACATTACACACATACGAATGCAAATAGGTGAAGAATAAATCCAGCATAGTAGCCGAGTTTGAAGTTATTCGAGTAGGAAAGGACTGCCCTAATTGAGTGAGAGAAAAAGATTCAGTGATAGCTAAAAGTTGGGAAGATGGATTACAAGCTCTACTGTAGGCTAGTCCATGTTATAGTCGCGTATACAAATGACTACAGGATCCATTGGAGTTAGAGAATCTTCAAAGTCAAACAAAAACTTCACACTCAGGTCTGGAAGTCTATAGGTATATAACAGCTACAGCACCTCAATTCAAAGTTGCTCAAATGAGGTGTAGTTAGTGTAAGATAATTTTCTATTACCAAAAGACGGCACGATTTATTTTCGCATGGGATTGTGTTGGGCGGCCTATAAGTATACATCTTTAGCTTTTACCACGCTACTGTAATAAATATTTTCGAAGCACGCGAATCATTATTTTGTACAAACGTAATGCCATCCCAGGTCAGATAAATGGCTGAAATTGGAGGAAAAGAAGTAAAAAAACGAAACAAAGTACGAAAAAGAGAGAAGCAAGAAAAGAGAGGGACAAGAGATGCACAAAATTGAACGGAAGTACTTTGCAAAAAACTATAAGACGAAGCCCCGAACACGAAAAGCCAAGCAGTAGAATCATTGAATTTATAGATAGTTATAAATTCAATGGTAGAATTTAATAAAATTAAAGGAAATGTGATAAAACGAGAGAAAGCACGATAAAAATGGTATGTGCTGTATTCCAAACAGGAAAATATCAATAGGTCTAGGTATATTTTATGTAAAAATTTGAATTTAATTTACTTATTTTTTTTAATAAAGCATACTGAAGCGTTAAACTGGCCAAATCCAGTGACTTGTACCATTTGACTTTTACTTATTATTATAAATAGTGATACTTTACATTCCATTTATAGACGATTAAGTTTATCGGTCGTTTCTTTCACTAGGCAGCAATAAAACTATACTTTGGTACGAATAAACAATAACTCAATTTAATGCTAGTACATAAAAGTCGAAAGAAAATTCTAGTTTATGTAATGTTCGAACACCTATACTCTGTAAGAACGCGTCAAATCAATACAGACCTTTGCGAAAGTCGCATCTTGCTGTGAATTTAAAGTGATATTTATTTCATTCCGGAATTAAAATGAAGTATGTGTGTGATGAAACGGTCTTTAAATTGTCCTTCATTCTTTTGTTGATCCAGTATGCAAATGCCGCACGCCCACACATTGTGTTTATTTTGGCAGATGATTTGGTATGTCGTAGTGCCTAGAAATGACCTGGTTTGAACAGTATACAATTTATTGTGACAACATTTGCAGGGATGGAACGACGTCAGTTTTCATGGATCGTCCCAAATATTAACCCCTAACATCGACGCGTTGGCTTATTCGGGTTTAATTTTAAACAATTATTACGTTTTGCCCATTTGCACTCCGTCACGAAGTGCTTTAATGACCGGAAAATATCCAATACACACCGGTATGCAACACGGGGTGTTATATGGAGCAGAACCACGCGGCTTACCGTTATCGGAAACCCTCTTACCACAATACTTCAAAGAACTAGGATACGCAACGCATATTGTTGGAAAATGGCATTTGGGTTCATACAAAAAGGAGTATACGCCTACGTTTAGAGGTTTCGATTCGCATTTAGGTAAGAATTTCTTAACATTGAAAAGGAAGTTATGTAATTAGTGTAATTATGCAAATCGGCACGTAAGAGTATGGGTAATCTCGGTATGGTAGTTACCCTGAAATTAAAAAAATACCTTGCGGTAACAATTGGATATACAAAATTACTAATTGGGTACCTACAGTCACCTAGCCTTGAGATCAAACAATCACTCATCAACTCACTAAATTAGAGAACAAAATATATTGAGGCGGTTTAACATTTAGTTCAAGTAGTCTACGCCTAGAGCGCTGCAGTACTTTGAACGAGTAATTGCGATTATTTGTTCTGAAAATGAAGATGGACACATTTAAATCGCTAGAGATTTAATAGTACGTACGGTCATTGCCACAAGTAATGATCGCCTAATTGGTAAACTTTGCAGCATAAGCAACCTAACACATCGGTTGACGGTTTCTTCAAAGTCTTCAAGTTGAAAAATATATTGAAATGACTACTTATATTCCACAGGGACCAAAGTGACTGTTTAATACCGAGAGTACCCGAAGCAAAGTTGTCGGCATCGAGCATTACACACATCTTTTGTACTCACTACAAAGAGTCCGAGGGTTCGACATTATTAGTGCCGTCACTTTAATCCTCGAAAGCAAAAATATGTCACGTTTAGTTTGTCAAATTGATATACACGAGATCCCCATTGTAAAAATGAAAAGAAACTCATCCTGTATATTTATATCCTCAGCGAATGACTTTATTACAAAAGTTATACAAATACAAAATTAGGGCCTGTTACATAACATGCGGTACATTTAATCGCTCAGGAATAGGTACTTCTTTTTCCCATAGCTTTCTGCATAGGCGATAAGGCTTAGATCGACGACGAGGATGACTCCAATTTGCATAAATGTTACCTTGCAATCGAATAATGTTGACTTAAGATTTTTTTACTTTACAGGATTTTGGACAGGTCATCAAGATTACAACGATCATACGGCTATGGAAAAAGGAATGTGGGGTTTGGATATGAGACGCAATATGGACGTCGCCTGGGACTTACACGGGGATTATTCCACCGACATTTTCTCAAAAGAATCGGAAAGGATTATAGCAAACCACAACAAATCGAATCCCTTATTCCTTTACATTGCACACGCCGCGATGCATTCGGGAAATCCATACAACCCCTTAGCGGCACCCGACAGTATCGTCGCGAAACTTGAGAGCATTACTGACTACAACCGACGGAAATTCGCAGGTGAAATTTATATTGTCTAATTAACCAGTTCCTTATTACTTTTCTAGGTATGTTGACAAAGTTAGACGAATCTGTTGGGCGAGTGGTACAAGCTTTACAAGCTAATAACATGTTGAAGGACAGCATCATTGTTTTCAGCACTGATAATGGTGGACCCGCGAGTGGTTTCAATCTCAATGCTGCCTCAAATTGGCCTTTGCGGGGTGTTAAAAATACCCTTTGGGAAGGGGGCGTAAGAGGTGCTGCATTTTTATGGAGTCCTCTAATAAAGGACAAGCAGAGAGTTGCACTTCAAAAAATGCATGTTACAGACTGGTTACCAACACTCTACAGTGCAGCCGGTGGGAACTTGAAGTAAAATAGTTAAATAATAATTGCAGGCAGCTGAATAACGTATGTTTCGCAGTCAAATGGAAAACATAGACGGCTACGATCTCTGGGAAGCTTTGAGCACCAATGGCGAATCTCCGCGAAATGAAATTCTGCACAACATTGATGAGCACTTTGGTGTATCAGCTTTAACAGTAGGCAAATGGAAGATATTGGATGGTAAACTATTGAAGTTTATCTACACCATATAATTATATCGCTTAGGTACCACTTATAATGGAACATGGGATCACTGGTACGGTCCAAGTGGAAGGAACGGTTTTTATAATGCTACCGAGGTACTGACCAGTACCGCAGGTAAAGCGCTATCAAAAATAAAGGTATCTACAAATTCTTCAGTAATTACACATTTACGGAAAACGGCCGATGTCGACTGCGGCGCTCAAAAAAAGTTAGTACCCTGTAAGCCACTGGAAGCACCGTGTTTGTTCGATACGGAAACCGATCCTTGCGAAAGGACTAACTTGGCAGACAAGTAAGTAAGATATACATCGTTTCAAGATCTTACACAATCTTTCAGACATCCCGACATGCTTCAGAATCTTACGGAACGTTTAGAGGAATGGAAATCAACTGCGATTCCCCCAGGCAATGTACCTATTGATCAGAGAGGCAATCCCAAACATTTTGGATATACCTGGACCAATTTTGGGGACTATTTGGATTATTCTATACTTAAAGCACGTTGATTGGTTTACGCTGATACATTTTTGTGAACATTATAAACATTTGCCTCTGAATTATAATCGATTTCGGGAAGTCAAAGAAAATGTATAGATTTAACTTACATGTCCTTTTTTCTACACATTATCTTCTAATTATTAACCGTCATGAATGACATGTATTTCAAATTATTACCACCCATTTTTCGTCGAGCCCGATTCATACGATTAAAACGCAAATTCAACGAGCAATCAGTGTCTCGGTTTTCCCTACATGAGTGTACCAATTGTACATTTTATTTTTCTTACTGTTCTTGCTACTGTGAAGACAAAGTGCAATCCCGTCTTGGTTTCCCAGGCAGCAACTACACTGAATTTTTAACAATAGCTGTTTATGGTAACATAAGGATAGTGGTGCGCATAATTAGTTTGCTCTTGACCGCGTACTGATGTTTTAATCTAGATACCTATGGAACAAGTTGTACTCTACAACCATAATCACCACTGGGTTCTTTTTTATGCCGGAACTTCTAAAAGTAAACCTTGTAACTCCCACATGAATTCAAAAAATGCAAACTTTCCCAAGCCTGTGGTGAAACCTTTCTCAGTTCGTATTTTTGAATACGTGAACCCAATTAAGGTAGAAGATAGCTGCTGTTATCTCCGCCGTTCTGGAATTTGACTTCCTAAAACTATTACAAATGTCAATTCTACTAAGTACAATTTACGATTATCCTTTTCAATGCCACAAAAGATAATTTATTGGAAAATTCCACCCTCTAATTTTTACACCCTGTAGATTTTCGAAGGTATGCAGTACTGCTCTAATTTCAATTTTACTTGCCTATAAAATCCGAAAAAAATCTTATATTATAGTTACGGTTACATACGACACAAAATATTCAGAAAATTCATGCACCTCCAGATGCAGTATGGTGCTTATGGACATACAGTACATGCTTGCCAAACGTGACAATGGCAGCGTAACGAGATTATGTATTGTTTTAATACTTCAATTGAATCGTATGTCAATTTGACATCAATGCGGTCAGAAACAAGGATAGTATTATGGAAGAATGACGCAAACTAGTAAGAGAGGCAATTAGTCCATAAGACCCCATACTGCATCTGGAGGTGTGAACGCGCTATAGTAACAATTCTACTGACTGGGACTCGGGATCCTTTACTTTGGCGAAATCGGGAATTTTTACTTTCACGTAACGTAACATTATGCATCCTAATAACTAATTTGTGCGTTAGCATTTCACGAGACTTTTTGGGGTCAAATAAGGTTAAATAAGATTTACAGGAGTTTATGTCTAAGGGGTGTTTTTGTGAAATGCTAACCAATGAAGATATACTGTTTTTAATTAACGAGTAGCCAAGGCAAATTCTGTTGGTTTTCATTGTACTGCTTGGGAACTAAAGAAAATGTAAGAAAGAGCAGCAAGTGGAGGATTGTGGTTTACTGTATCAAAAGCTTTAGAATAATTCAGCAGTACTAAAGCGATGATCTTATTGGAGTCCCACGATCTAAACATGAAAAGTTGTTCGAAAATTTAATTTCCTTTATTTTTCTATACCTACTATGAATTTTCTCGTGAAATACAGTGTTACAAGCAATAAACAAAAAAAGGTTAATTTTTTGCATGTTTTTCATTTTTCGCAATGTTGCCGTTCGATATTTTGGAGGCAAGGTTCAAATTCGAATTTAGCACCCTCAAAAACATAAAAATTGGTTGAGAAAAAAACTTCTGTATTTTTTTCCTGGATCTGAGCATTTGCGCCACCAGGCAATGTATGTAAATCCCCAAGGATTTGTTAATAACCGCACATGAACATCAAAAAAGCCATTCTGACATTCACTCGCGATGGGGGATATCGGCTGCTGCTTGCTGATACTACTAAAAAATTTTAAGATCATTTATAGACGGTCAAGTTTATCGGTCATTTCATTCACTCATCGGTAATAATACAAGTATTGTTTTCCGTACAAAACAATAACTGAATTTAATGCGAATATAAAAGTCCGAGAAAACCTAGTTTATATGCGAGTGTTAGTAAAAGCACGTTTTTGCAAAAGTCACATCATCCTGGTTATTTAAAGTGACACGCATAGACGTTGAAATGGAAACGATATGTGCAATTAACGGATCCGTGTCTAAGTTGTGGTCAATTGTATTGTTGATCCAGTATGCAAATGCCGCAGGTCCACACATTGTGTTTATTTTGGCAGATGATTTGGTATGTCATTCACTTCTTATTTGTTCTCATCTCATATGAACACCGAATAGTCAATTTACTATGATCTTTGCAGGGATGGAACGACGTCAGCTTTCATGGATCATCCCAAATATTAACCCCTAACATTGACGCGTTAGCTTATTCGGGTTTAATTTTAAACAATTATTATGTGATGCCCCTTTGCACCCCGTCACGTAGTGCTTTAATGACCGGAAAACATCCAATACACACCGGTATGCAGCATGGGGTAATATATGGGGCAGAACCGCGTGGCTTGCCTTTATCTGAAACCCTCTTACCACAATACCTCAAAGAGCTGGGATATGCAACCCATATTGTTGGGAAATGGCATTTGGGTTCATACAAAAAGGAATACACGCCTACGTTTAGAGGCTTCGATTCGCATTTGGGTAAGAAATTTTTAACTCTATAAACGGAGCTTTGTAGATACGCATTCAAGCTTGGTAATAATTTATGCATAATTTAATTTAGTTTAATAAAATTTCACAATAGTATTAAAATAATAATATCTGCATCTATTTCATCTATTTGATTCTCATGTAGATTATTATTGTATGCAAAATTCTTGCATACAGTGGGACATACGACTATAGAGATATTGTTTTCATTATGGGTATCATAGGATTCATAAATTTAGATACTACCAGACAAAAATCGTAGATAATACTTATGAAGTCGCAAAATCTGATTACTTGGCGTTACAGTTTAAGACAAGATTACCACACGCCGCCCGTCGGATGACCCCCAACTATGATAGCGTAAGAAAAAACTATGACATAGTGCAAAATGGTCAGATTTTCAATACGTCTAATGTTACATTGTCAGCCAGCCTTCACAGTATCAACAATTTACTTTTGACTTTTGAACTAATGATACGACTACAGACATAAAAATTTAATTTTTCTTTTCTACGGTTGCGCAAAGTTTGAGACACATAATTTTCTTTCTTCCTCGTGAATCGTAAGATTTATATGATTAACCGGGACAATTTTTTACTATTCTGACGAACTTCAATATTTTCATTCGCGTATCTAAACTTCTGTTTTAAAAATATTCAACACTTCCACCCACGCAAATTCAAATAATGATTGACAATTTGACAAATTATAACATAAAATCAAATAACACAACATAATAGAATTTTTGAAATTCTGGAGGGACATGAGGTGAGTCCATTCTCCATATAACATCGCGGGTTCTCCACAACTCTTCCTCGACCATTCGAAACGACGTCGATTGTTAAAATTCTGAGGCATTGTAATAAATGCTAAGTATTCCTTACGTAATCGCTCTTGTAACGTCTTCTTAACTTCTTGCATTAAATTATATCGTTCGAAAAGGCCTTCTGCTTTCTCCAGGCCACGAAAAATTCCTATTTTAAGGGGCCTAATGAACTTAGAAGACCTCAAAGGATGTAGATTATCTTGTGTAACCACTGTGTGAAGTCGGTCATTAATGGTGGTAGCAAGACTGGCCAGTGAAGTCCTCTTCTGATCATAATCCAGCTTTGATCTTCTTAATATCCTCTTGAGAACGTCCTTTACAAAACGAATTCATCTTTCCACACCCACACCCAAACCAAGGAGATGCAGGTTTGATGACGTGTGGGCGAATCTTTCATAACAAGATGGGGGAGATGAAATCCGTTTTGTCTTTTTACACCAAAGTCGGGTTTCCACGTGAATCAGTCATTGATGGTCATGTTTCACATCCACTCGTTCAGTTTTATCTGTTACACATGAGGAAATCTTTTAGTTGAAGAGACCTCGGCACGTACCTACACTTCCGCCCCTCGTAACTCACAAACTGACATTTCTGGAAGAGAATCGCAATTTCCATTTGCATTTGGATCTGTTTCTAAGGAATGGCACTTGCCTGTTCCTTGCAGCTCGCATATTCTTCATGCGACGAAATGGAAGTGAGAAAGTTATCCACATAAAAGCAAGTTCTCATCTTCTGCGCAAAAGAGTTTGAATCTGAATCCAAATGATAATTGATTGTGACACCAAGCAGATATGGCCGCCCGGGAATAGTACACAGGATGATGAGGTGGAAAATGTCAAATATGTTTTCAGACATCTCCGTGATGAGTCTTTCCTTTTCCACAAATTGAACACTGTAGCATAGTTACTCCACTTATTTTGATGTTGGAGTTTCATTGCATTCGAATTCCTGGGAGATTTATGATGAAATACTTCTGTTTCCTTTTTCAAATTTAAAAATCGCTCCGCACTGTAGTTGGATTGGCAATTGTTGACTCAAAACTCTTGATCGGTACAAGTCTTTAAAATACTTTTACTTTTTAGGATTTTGGACAGGTAGACACGACTACAACGACCATACGGCTACTGAAAACAGAATGTGGGGTTTGGACATGAGACGCAACATGGATGTCGCGTGGGACTTGCACGGAAATTATTCCACCGACATTTTCTCAAGCGAATCGGAGAGGATTATAGCAAATCACAACAGGTCAAATCCCTTATTCCTTTACATTGCACACGCCGCGGTGCATTCGGGAAATGTGTACAACCCGTTGCCGGTACCAGACCGTATTGTCGCGAAACTTGAGAGCATTCCTGACTACAAACGTCGGAGATTCGCAGGTGAAATCTAAAGTCTAATTATTAATCAATTCTTTATTACTTCTCTAGGTATGTTGACAAAGCTAGACGAATCTGTAGGGAGAGTGGTACGAGCTTTACAAGCCAAAAACATGTTGAAGGACAGCATCATTGTTTTCAGCACTGATAATGGTGGACCCGCGAGTGGTTTCAATCTCAATGCTGCCTCAAACTGGCCTTTGCGAGGTATTAAAAATACCCTTTGGGAGGGGGGCGTTAGAGGTGCTGCGCTTTTATGGAGTCCTCTAATTAAGGCGAAGCAGAGGGTTGCATTTCAAAAAATGCATGTTACAGACTGGTTACCAACACTGTACAGTGCAGCCGGTGGAGACTTGAAGTAAAATAGTTGAATCATTGCAGACAGCTGAATAACGTATGTTTCGCAGTCGAATAGAAGGCATAGACGGCTACGATCTCTGGGACGCTTTGAGCACTAATGGCGAATCTCCGCGAAATGAAATTTTGCACAACATTGATGAGGACTTCGGAGTCTCAGCTTTAACAGTAGGCAAATGGAAGATATTGCATGGTAAACTATTGAAGTTTATCTGCACCATATAATTATACCGCTTAGGTAGCACTTATAATGGAACATGGGATAACTGGTACGGTCCAAGTGGAAGGAATGGTTTTTATAATGCTACCAAGGTGTTGACCAGTCCCGCAGGTAAGGCGATATCAAAGATAAAGGTATCTACAAACTCTGCCGTAATCGCACATTTACGGAAAGTGGCTGATGTTGACTGCGGCGCTCAAAAAAACTCTTTTCCCTGTAAGCCATTGGAAGCACCGTGTTTGTTCGATTTAGAAACCGATCCTTGCGAAAGAACTAACTTGGCAACCGAGTGAGTAAAGGATACAACATCCTGATGTCATTCGCAATTTTTCAGCCATCCTGATACACTTCGGAAGCTTGCGGCTCGTTTACAGGAATGGAAAGAAACTGCGATTCCCCCAAACAATTTACCTCTTGACCAGAAAGCCAATCCGAAAAATTGGGGGCATACGTGGACCAATTTTGGGGACTATTTGGATTATTATGTAGCTAGTTAATGTGCGATGATTGGTGAACGCTGCCGCCTTTGCTTCTAGTTCTGTATTATAAATAATTTCAGACAATCAACAAAAATTGAAATTGTCTCTTTATGATTAACTAGTTAACGGAAATTTTTCATTGTAATTGAAAATTTAAAATAGCTCCAAGGTAAGCCAGCGCTAGATTTGTGACGGTACGCCATACCGGAACGTCTGTGTATTCTCATTAGGGATGGAATCGAGCCGAGCCGATCCGATCTTTTGGAAAACTCGGCTCGACTCGAAATTATGGATGGCCAGCTCGGTTCGAAAAAAAAATAAGTTCAGCTCAACTCGAAACTCGGATTAACTTTTCATTTCGAATGTGAAAGAGAAAACTTTCCTTGGAAAATACATGATTTATTTGAACTGACCAATTAGATGAAACTATGAGAGTTTCCGAATGCAAAATTTCATCGAGATATTTGTATAATAGTCTATTTCAGGCTACTGGTAAAAATGGATCTAAAAAACAATTCATTGTAACCAAAAATACTATTATGCCATCCAAGAGGACAATACACTATGGGTTTTTTGAACTGAAAAGAATTTTTAAAACAAAACTCGGTTAACATATAACATTGTATAAAACTCTATTTCGTTAACATTTAGCATGCGCTACATAAATTAGAGAACTGTTGAAGGCTCTTATAACTAATCGAATCAAAGAAAGAAACGGCATCAAGCTTTACATAACTAAATTACATTTTCGAGATCTCAGACAGATCTGTATTAAAACCTAAAATTAGCTTCAGACTAGCATAATATAACATGTTGCGAAATAAATTACCATAAATATTTACACTATAATACTGTTGTCGCCTTCTGTTACGATCTGATCTTAACACATCTGCAAAAAAATTGAGAATTGGATGAATTGATTATGGCTTATTTTAGATCTTGTTCTATATCTAAGAAGCGCCTCACCTGCACTCGCTTTCTTCCCATCGTGTCCCTGTCGTGCACGTTTTGTTTTGTTCGCAAATACAGGAGCACGTACTTTCGTCCCAAAATACGTTTTCGTTTTTACTATCGATACACGCGGCGTAATCCTTCTAAAGAAGTTGTAGTTTACAAAGGAAATTGCTTTCGGACCGGAGCTCACCTTATTTTGGCAATTACAGGAGCACGTCTCCTTGCTGTAGACTTGGAACGGGGTACAATCTTTGGGCGTTTGCAGGCAGTTACATCTGCACTTCAGGTCTTCAACTACGGTAATTGAAGTACAAAGAATCTCGCTGTTCCTCACAGTTTTGACGTACATCTTCTTCTCCTGGGTTTGTAGTGGTAAACAGCCCTTAAATCCATTGCACATCCCACCGCAACGTTTCACTATCACCGCGTTTGGAATTATCTAAAAATAAAGGAGAAATTACTACAACAATTTTGGCGCCAGTCTGTAAAAACACAAACAGCGCAATTTTCCCGAATCTGAGTTTCTGGGGATTGCATATTTTTGGAAGAGCGATGATTCTTTGACTGTGAAACGTTTGTTAGTCACAATACAAAGGTCGTTGCGGTTTGCTTACAAATAGCGGATTCCATATGCAGGTGCTTTCATGGGAACTCTTTGTATTCTTTACCAACTTTTACATAAATAAAGTCGCATTAATTCTCGTTAATCGAGAGTTTTCATTATCTACCTCCTATAGTGTAAATATGAAAATCATTTATTTTTTGGAGTAAAATATGGAACAAGCCAGAACGCATTCATTTAAATCATTGTAGTAAATTAATCAAATGTAACACGCACGATCACATGTTCTATTAAATGCCCTGGGGGGATGGTCACCCACCTATGGAGATGAAATAATACTAAACTGAAAATAAATGTTAAATTTGGTTTCCCGACAATACACATTGGACGCGGTTAGAGTCACCTCTTTTCACATGAACACCATTTCAAGCCTGCAAGTGAGTTCTCATGAGGAGATCTATTGTTTCCCTGGCACTCACTGTGTATTTCCCATCGACTTTCTTAAGAATGCCAATACCATTGGTGTGGTCTTTAAGTAGGCGCGATGCTGTTGGTACGCTGCTAGGGCGCTTCTGTACTCTTCCCATGTTTCTTCGCGCCTCTGTCGTTGGGGTTTGTCGAATAGCGTTCTGACTTTAGCCCGATGTTTTTCTCACTCCATCAGGAAACGTTCCTCGTTAGCCCCTTCGTTTTTGCTGGGCCGATCCTCTCATACGGATTAAATAGGAGTCATCATTTGATCCTGTTTTATAGAGATAGGTAAAGTTGAATTTTTAACATTGGAAATTTTATATGGTTTCGTATATGGGTACCAAGTTATGAGTTTCGTTCAAGCAGAAAAGACAACTGTGTCGCATCAATTGACGAGTGTACCGTACTCGACCGTGATCGGTGAAGGAAAAGTCGCGGGCACAGTCGATACGGTACTTACTTAATAATGCTCAATTTTTTTGTTAATCCCAATCTATAATTCTCGCACATCTCCTTTGCGAGCGAGTGAGTCGATTGAATAAGAGGTATTTGTGTTTTACATATGGCGTTATAGGGTTGTATGCCTCCGATGGTTGTATGGATTGCGAAATCTGTGAATTTTTTTATTCCTAGTTGCTGTCGAGTCTCCCTAGGAGTTTTTGTTTACAACTTCCAAAGGTGACTCGACTGCAACACAACATATAAAATAAATCCTATATAATAGCTTTCCTCATTCAAGGTTATCTTTATGGTGTACTCAAATGAATAGGATTTATCTACTACACATTCTGAGCTATCGTTTTTTATCGTTCGCGCGATTTGTCATGCTTACACAGTGACATGCAATGAACTCAAAAAATTCCTCTCATTAACACCATAAGTGGGTTTGCACCTAGGTTTGTACGTTTATGCTTGGTCCATTTTTCCAAAGAATGTGCTGCACAAGTAATTACTGTGCCCAAACGCAAACTCCTTTAGACCTATACCGTTCTCGCATCTGCTATTCAATAAACGATCTCTAAACTATACACCATGGAAGCCTTGTAAAATCAAATTTTCCCTATTACAACAGACGAGAACAGCTGTGATCAATTTTTCCTCCAATTTTGAACGTGATATCAAAATTTAAGCAAAATCTTCCGGACCAGTATTTTCACATTTTTCGTAAAAGTGGCGGATTTCTTCCATGCACTAGAAAGCAAAGGTTGCCCAAGATTATCGAACGTTATCTGTTTAAACAATGACTTAGCATAAATAGCGAGAGTAGCACAGAGGAATTGTCAGTACTTATTGAGATACTTTTTCGTCAACGTAAACCAGCTCCACCTACGAACAAAGACTATGCCTGCCACAGGTAACCCACTCCTTAATGCATTACATTTGATCACAAATTCCGTTTCCCAATTTCAGGATGCACCTGCACGATCGTGAAGATGTGCACGATTAATACACCGGAAGGCGAATTTCCCTGCGAGTGCGTTTTTAAGTGCGTATGCGCGCCTGGAGAGAGCAAAAAGTGCGAATGCAAGATGGAGTGCACTCTGGAAAACGCCGAGAAGATTATTAAGCCCAACGGAGAAGTGATGTATAGATGTGAATGCACTTGTGAATGCTGAGTTTTAATTATGTATAATAAAGTCGTTTCTAAAAACTAAATGGTATTTGTAAGTATAGAAAAACGTCTTTTGTCAAAGAGTCAAGTAATTGTAAACCGATATTACATAATAGGGAATTGACACTTTGCATTATCTGATTTGCACAATTCGTAATTTCAAGATGTAAATTACACTCAAATGGGACTCCAGAAGATCCACTTATTTTTGCATATAATTTTCAGGGTGCCGAATCCGAGAAGTGATCGTTCAAGGTAGGTCTCCATCTCAAAACCAAGAAACTCCCACCTGAATTTGTCTTCGAAACATTCTCCACGGGAAAAATCTCCCATTTAACGAAAGAATATTCGTGTACAGAATACTCGATAATTGTTGTGGTCAGATCGCATGTGTTTGACACAAAAAACGTTAGACGCTTGTTATTAGGTGCAGGGTAAAAACCCCTGACCAGAATGCCCCCGCACAAAAACCCTTCTCCATGAAATTTTCCAGGAGTGCGTAGGTGTCAAATTGGTCGGGAGTTATTGCCCCAGTCCGGTGGGTTTACCTACTGTCCAAGAATTATTGTCAACCGGAGACTCATGTGCGGAATAGGGGTTTTTGACCGGAGGTAATTTGCCCAAGGGGTTTTGTCCTAGAAAATTACTACATGACAGCTGCCTTGCTCACTTGCCTTTTCGAATCTCTGCAGGTACGTTTTGTCAAAACTAAAAAGTGTTTTTGGTTTTGTTTTTGTCAATTCAGGAATAAAGATGGCATTTATTGACAATTGACATCAAACGATACCAACTTATCAACGGCCTGACGCCACCACCACACCCAACAACTACCCGAACAGTTAATGAAAACCTCTGTTAATGAAAGATGACCTTAGCATATTTGGCCAATGAATATTTGCCCTTGCGCGACATCTGGACCAAACGAAATCTCGTGCACACATTTTACTCCCCCTCCCTTCACTCTGCAGAAATCAGAAACTCTGTATCTTGAAGGGCGCATCTAAATAAGATGAGTTTCCCACACAAAAATGCGGAAGTTGAATGAGCATTGAATTTTCGAGGCGGGTGAACATTCCTGGGGCAAATTTACCTAAGAGTTTTCTGGGGACGGAATACTCCTGAGTTTCCCGGGGCGAATTAGCAATTCGGAACAAACAACGGGTATGTATAGAGAAATTGTGGATGATCATCTAAAAATTTTAAATTGGGTTATAAATCCGGAGGTCGGGTGTTCGAACCTGGGTTGAGGTGAATTTTTCATCTGTGGCAGAGATGGAAATTACCTTAGACTAGTTCCGAGCATTCTACCGGCTACTCCGAATTAGGTTTTCCTGCAGTTTTCCTAATTCGTAAGGTAAATACCGGAGTAGTATAGACCATCTTAAGACCTTCTGCAGAGGCACCTCTAAATAGCATTATGCGGGTCACTCTGTAATTGGGCGCATGCCTGTTGAGGACCCAAAACAAGAGAGGGATAATAAAATAAAATAAAAAATAAAAAAAATCAAAGCTTGAAAAGATATTGGTGAATGATGGTATACAATGAGCAGCATATTATTAAAATTAAAGAAAAAACGCAGGATGTTGCTTTTGATATTATTTTTAATTTTAACTTCCTAATCAAGGCCTCCACTCCTATGGTCGAAGCTGAATGTATTATTGTTACGTTTCTAAAGACAAATTACAAAATAAAATAATGAATAAAACGTTATAATTAATTTACGTATTACATGCTTAATTAATTTACCTTGGAATCAATAAGTTTGTTTATAGAAATTTGCTTTTGTCATAATGTCACTCAAAATGTTTTTCTTTTAATTTTGAACTTATTGTGATTTTTTATATACATTTTTTAAATCAAGATTTTTTTCTGTTTGTAGATTATTATTATATCAAAAACGTCATAGTTGAAACATGTAATTCCATTTACTGTTTACTATTCCGAGGCAAACGAATGCAGTAATAAGCCCCTAAAGCATATCTAAAAAAGTGCCAGAGCACCTCGGTGTGACCCAACGGGGTCATTGGATTTGTCCCGTTTTCAATAGACTTGTTACATGTGGCATATAAGTCTACTGTGCAAAGTTTCAACCAAATAGATTCAAGCGTTGGGCAGGGACAGAGAAGCGTGACCCCACGGGGTCGTTGGATTTGATCCATTTTCAATAAGCTTGCTACATGTGGCATATAGGTCAACAGTGTAAAGTTTGAGCCAAATCGGTCCAAGCGTTGGACAGTTATCGTGTTCACGAACGGACAGACGGACACCATCGACTTCCCTATAAAGGTCGCATGCTTTGCTCTGCCGCTTAATAAACCGAAACCGGAATGAATCAAAATTCCTCTTCAATCAATGACATACTTAATATATGTACATGTGTCCTTGTTCAACAAAACGGGCGCTTAAATAACAGAATTTTGCGAAAGAAAAAAATTGCCCTTAGTATGTGATGGTTTAGTCCGTCTGTCCGTCTATTTCGTCTAACTCGGGAACGAAAAGAGACAGCGATGTCAAACCTTCGCCAATCGATTTATTCATTTATATGAGTTCAAGGTAAATTAGTGGTATTGATTATCAGCCGGATTAAAAGTCGTTTTGTTTTAATAGTAGCTGTTTTAACGAAATTGGAGCGCTACACAAAAAATTCTCCGACTGAAAATCGTATGCGATTCTTGGTATCTTATTTTATATTAAGCTATTTTACGAAGGGGTGCAATTTTAATGCTTACCCTATGCGCCATTTGGGAATGCTACGATACTGCATAAGAGAACGTATTGTTCCACATCAGAAACTGTCGTAGAAGATATGTAATTAGGTAGTAAGTAAGACAAGTGGCTTCTCGGAATTGCTGCGGCAAACAATTTCGTTAATAATAAACCAAACTTTCAAGAAAGCAACAAACTGGACGTTAATTCCTGATGCACTTTTTTTAGTTTTTCGCATAAATTGCTTTTCATTCTACCGAGAAAGTATCATGAGGTAAGACGAAGACGTTGCTATAGGTTTCCAAGAATTCACTTTGTGAAAACAATCCAAACTTCCGAAAACGCGGTGGGATGTATGTACATATAGGCGTTTTAGGCGAGTATTAGAAATAGATAACTGACAATATTGTGAACTTAATGATCGAGAGCTATGTGACTGTGAAATATAGAAATTTTTAAAAAAGATGCTTACCTAATCATTAATCACAATATTCAAGAGTGTTTTACAATTGATCTTCTGTGCCCTCCTCCCCCCTAATTATTAATTATTAAATATCGTACGCAACACTCTACAATGCGAGTCAGTTTAGAACAACGGTAACCACAAATTAGATTTACTGGTCTTTCAAGTAATGCAAATCGTACTCACGATAGCCCCAAGAGGTGGCACAAGATCCACAACAGTATCCCTGGGCTCGCACTTCACTTGCTGCCTAATACTATTGAACTCATTTTTGAAACTGGCCGACTGGCAACTTTCTAAAATGGAAAAAAGTCGTCAGACTGTCGCATGCTGAACGTTCCTGGAGGTACCTTCCAATGGTTGTACGTGAGTTTTAAGTTTTTTGTGGAAAACACCTGGTCCACTTTGTAAGGCTTCCATTGCGATCAATTGTCTTTTACCAATAAACCTAGTATTTCCACCTTTGTTCTTCTTCTGTAACCTTCTGGGAACTGAAGAAACAAGACTTAACAATAGCACCAGTTGAAGAATTAGTATGGCAGCGTTAAAATAAACGTTCATGCCGACCGATAAACTACTGAAATTAAAAAGATACCAACGAAGCTTTAATACCGCCAATGTTTATTTACTTAAAAATTTATTCCAGTGGTTGCTTATATTTTTAACGTAAAAGTCGTGAAGATTTTAATAGCGGACTAAATATTGGTTCGGTAAGTAGCTCACCGAAGTACCTACTGCTGTCACTTCAGTGACGTGAGAATTTAGTTTAAGAAATGCATTATGTAAATTGAGATTAGACGAAGTGCCACTGTTTCAAATTCCGGAAACATTTCCTTTGCGGTTTAAGTATCTTATTAAAATCGTTAAGTAAAAGCGTGCGTAAGAGAAATGTTTATTTTTGTTGAAACAGGATTTAGTTCACACTTTTAAACTTTGAAGCGTAGTTTTTACCTACTTTACACAAAGTTTTTCATGTAAATGCCATTAAACGAACGGTAGTTTCCCAGACTTTGTTGATATTAGTTTGCCATGACATCAAAATGATTTTGAAAAGCGTGATCCAAGTTTAATTATGTAATTTTCTGACGTCTACCAATATCCGCCAGGATGAAAATATTATTTTAATAAAAGTAGCCATTACATGCAAAAAAGACGTCACTCATTCGAAACCCAAAACAACCAGAAACAGTGCAAAACAGTAAAGCGCATACCTAATGGACCTAGTTTACCAACGATTAACGAAACGCATTTCACTACCAAAATACAATGCGTTCAGAATGGTTATCAGTCCCAACAGAATTGGTACATTAGGTCCGTTTTGGACAGTCACTGAGCCAAAACCGCGTCCCAACTTCGAAGCAGCGCAACTAGTATCCAATCAAGACAAAGGAGTGCAAAGTGCATGAGGACCCCGAACTAACCTAACTATGTTCCAAAAATATAAACGGAACTAGGACAGGTAGAAGTGGAAGCACTAACCGACACTGAAAGCACTGTATTCAATTAGATTACCACTAGCAAACAGTTGTAAAGTTCCAGAGATCCCTATGGAAAACTCGACACAATCCAAGAACAAATTTACGTAGAGAGGCTGGGTGCAATAAACATGTTAGCAGATCATGCTTTCAGAATTTGTGACGTAAAAAAGAAGTAGAAAAATAGCGTACATAGGTTACTTGATAGCAGGCTTTCATATTAAGTGATGCAGCAATTCAAAGAAATGCGAGCATAGTGAGCATAGAAATATTGGTGGCGATAAGGGAGGACTTCATAGCAACCGAACGACTGGGTTGACCATCTATCACGCGTTGATACGCTTCGCCTTAAATCAAAAATGGTCCTCGATAAATTTACAAAATACTTTACAGCACTCACTAGAGAAAGAGGACTAAGTGATTCAACAGTAGCGAAGTGCTTAAGCGGAGCTCTGCAATCTGCTCCTCACTAGATCAATTTCGCAGAGTGGTTATTGCATGTAGACCTTCCATCCTCCCACGAACCCTAAGATGGAGGAGATAGGGAAAAATTGCTATCTACTCTCTTTTCTCAAATACAGAAAAGCTAATTTTCCTATTCACAGATATTGGGAATTCCACAATAAATTGTCACCAAACCCAGAAAATCGTTTCTCATGTTGTCATGGTAACTACCATTCGTTGTATATTCTTTGCTACCACGGATGGGTGTGTCTGATCACGACCGTAAGGTGGCTAAGGAAGTATTCGTGAGTTTGGCGTAATATCTCACGTGCAGGTGAATTGTGCAAGGCATCGTGCTGGATACTGTTGTTGGGCTATTGTTAGGTATCCGGATGTATTCCTGGGCTCCGAGAGTGCATAATGTGCCCGATGATTATGCTGCGAATAGGTCATGGTGTCGATCCAATACGAAAAATGAAAGCCTCATTTCTAACAAAGAGTGCGGGGATGAGCTTGACCTGAAGGTGTATTCGCAGGGAGGGCAATGCGAAGCACATATGGACGGTGGTTGATCTATTGGCCAAGGGTTTTAGTCAGGGGACCGAAGTGGGATATGTATCATAAATAATACACGTGCGCGCGGGGTAACCCTTTTTCAAATAGGTATCAGATATATCCCTCAGGATATCATCTCCAACGGCATATCCCACCCCAATCGCCAATCAGAGTGTTCAGATCTCCAGGAGAGTTCAGCGCCAGCTGGGGCGAGAGGCCCCCCGGTGAGTTATCTAATTAATTACATGACCCTCAAGGGCAAAAGACGACCACTGAGCAGTCAGACTTAATGCTACCACGCCGCCCCTTATTACCGTACACGTAGATTACAGAGGAACGTTTCTAATGAAAGATGAATTTACAGTAGACTTGTCACTGATGATCAACTATTATCCCCCATTTAATTAGCTACTTCCCTCGTTAAAAATGTCAACCCTTCCGCCGTTAATGCAATACCCAAACAAGGATTTAGTTCTTCTTGAATCATAGTGATAGCATTGAATCAGTAATTTTCTTATTCAATATCTATATTCACAGTCTTGCAATTGGTTAGACCACCAACAATACACATTTCTAAGTAGATATATTTCTATCCTTCCCAGTTTTGCGTATTTTCAGACCATGTACAATGAACAAGGACTAATTACGTAAACAAGTTATAGAAAAGCTTCAGGCAACATTTGAATGGAGATGCACAAATACCTGTTTGTTTTACTGCATTTTTGCATTTCTGCTGTAAATTATCTGCAGGGCCGTATCTAGGCGGTGGCGAGATGGGCGCCCGCCAAGGGCGCAGCTACCGGGGAGGCGCAAAATTGGCATTGAAAAAATTTCTTTTTACATTAGTGTATTAGGAAAAAAAATTCAGGTTATTTAAACAAATGTTATTCCAGATTGTTAATACTGTACGGATTGTGACTGTGAATAGCTGGGTCGTTACCAAGTGATATTACCTTCATCTCTGCCCTTCTCCCCTTTTTCTTCCTTATGGTAATGTAATATATACAGTGTGTCTAATATAAGAAGGAAAAGCAAGCAAGTCAAATGATATTTTAAAAGTTTGTAAATTCCGATCAGTTCCGAAAAAAAACGAAATTAATCCTATTCGGTTTTATTTTTTGCCGGCCCTGTTTGAAAAGATATCAAAAAACAAATAACACTTCCTCATAGGAACTTTTTAAGCTGTACAATTGGCGTCTTTGAGAAACCATCAACAACGATGTATGGCACAATTAGATTCTTTATCACCTATATCATTTAAAGGAACCATCAATGAATTATTTTGATATTTTGTCAACGCCTACTATAGAAAAATGTTAAAAATTATTTATTATTTAGCTCAGAAAAATTGCTTGTTACTAAATTTTTAACATTTTGGTTTAGTAGGCGTTGACAAAATGTCAAAATAATTTGTTCTTCTAAATGACATATTGTACCATACATAATATTGTATTCGTAATAAAAAATGCTACTCAATACATTATGTACTTTTTTCCGGTCCATATAAAAATATGAAGTTGATGATGGTTTCTCAAAGACGAAACGTCGCAGCGAAAATCTTGTAAAATGGTGAGCTTAAAAAGTTACTTTCGGTTTTTTTTAATATCTTCGGAACTGATCGGAATTTCCGCATTTTTAAAACATCGTTTGATTAAGCCCTAAAATGCGCAACTCTTCTAATTTAACCGACTGTGCACTTCTTATGGTTTCCGATGTGTCCATGATGTTCATTCTTATCTTGGACACACTGTATGTTGTAATCTTTTCTCCATGTTTTAAAGAAGCGAAATTCTCGGATCAAAAAGCTTCAAACCTTGGACTTAAGAAAATTTTCGGAGAAGGACCGGGAGCGGGGAGGTCCTTGCGTTTTTGTTGGGGGGTTTTTAATACCCCCACGCGCAGGTGTGGAAGGGGGGGGGGCGCAAACTTGAAGTGCCGCCAAGGGTGCGGTCATATCTAGTTACGGCCCTGATTATCTGGTTGTACGTTAAAATGTAATTAGTGGACAAAATTAGCAATGTTTGCTAACATTTTTCAATGCCAATGATGACACCTTTATTTCCATGTAATTTGTTCTAATCAATTTTACTGGTCAACGTAATTGATACATATTTATATTTATTTTGTCATTATTTTTTGAATATATAAATTGTATTTTTGATAAATAGGATAATACAAAAAATTCAGAAATATATTATTATATTATATTTATTAGGTAGATCCTGATAAAGCGACATTTCGAACACCCAAAATGAATATCCTTCTTTACGTATAAGTGTGAACAATAACAAAATAGTACATATATTTGGCGTCAATAAATATATCTCGTACTTCGCAATTTTCAAATCTAATACGAAATCGAAAACCGTTTCCAAGAAGCTTCTATTTCACGTAAGAACATATGACAGATTTTTTAATGTATTGAACTGGGAACCTTCACAGAAATCGGTTCGCGTTTCTTTTTTTTACAAAATGGTGTGTACCTATATGCAGCCATTTTGTTAACGGTCATAAATATCTTTTAGTCACCATTGTGCTCTCTAGCTAGGCAAACAAAATAATGATCAACAACTCTCTCCACAAATATAAACAGCCAAATGAACGAACACAGCAGTCTTAAGTAAATATTTTTGTTCCGGAAATCTCTTCCAAAACAGTTTTTTAGTAAACCTTCTAGTCTCCCATGTCAATGACTCGGGGTACTATCCCAAAAGTACCATTTCAATTGGATTAACAATTAGGACGAATTATCAGAACGACATACATCAGTAATCACTCACTGTTTAATAATATTACAAACGATAGTTTATCTGCGTGACCAGACATGTTCATTACATAGAGGTCTATAATTAAACAAACACGGGTAGAAAAAATGAATTTGAATTTCAAATTAAATGAACACTTCTCGTCATTGTTAATTCGCAAGCGCGAAAATCGTGAGTCATTCCACTATTGATTACTGCGCACCAAAGAGGGAGTTGTACTACAATTACGGAATTACAGTCACCGTACTGTCTGCGCGTTTTTATCATATCACTTTTTCCGTAACTGTTTAAAGGTAATTGCGAAACATATTTTTCATAGATTAATAATAATGGTGCTACTATTCGTAATCGTATTGTAAATTCATTTCGACGTACGTAAAACGAACCTATCGACAGCTATGGCCTTTGCAAATAGTTCGATTTTTAAACCACCTAACGCGTTAGAGCAACTTTTGGAAGAAATCAACTTCCAAAGGACCAAGGAAATGCGGCAGCTTCTCAAAGACGGTAATTATAAACGCATTCGTCCAGAAATAAGCTAATTACTTCCAGATTCCGGATTTGTGATGCTGCAAGGAACGACGTACTGGACGGACTTGTTTGTCAGACACTTCCTCTTTCAAAATGAATCGACAATAGACGGCGACGATTTGTTGTTCTTCGTGCGCAAAAAGCACGTGAAGGGTTCTCCAAGATATCTGCCAAAATTTGAGGTGATGAGGCGAGCGAAAACGAAAATTAGTTTCAAGTTGTTGTTTTTAGACTGAAGTTGACGTGTTCCGAAAAGACAGTCGCAAATTACCCATTGGAGACCCAGATATTGATTGGGAAGAGACCGTTTATCTCAATTTAATCATACATCAGTTTGAGTATACGCTTACGCTAGCAATTTGCACGCGAACGAGCCCGAAACAGTTGCAAGTCTTGAAAAGGCATTCGCAGAAGGTGTACGCGTCGCCCAGTAGACGAAGAATGGATACCAAAGGTGATCTGGAGGAAATTACGTACCCGCACATCTGTTTCATGGTGGATAATTTTGACGAAGTGTTTTGCGACATTTTGGTGCGCGATGGTGAGATGGTTTGCGTGGAGTTGGTCGCATCTGACCGCGAGGGAATTGTGCAAGGTGTTATATTCTTGGGGTCGATTCGTTACGATGCCCTGAAGAAGGTTTACGACGCCAGGGTGGGTATTTCTCTTCCGTGCTCACTTTACAATCGTTTTGTTTTACAGCAATCCAGCTTAAGCACGAAAATGGCGCAACGTATGACATTCGGGTTGTTTTCCAATTCGAGCGCTCAGCGATGCGAGTTTGTGCGTATGAAGGGACCTCAAGGCAAAGGGCATGCGGAAATGGCGGTGACGAAGCCGAAAGGTTCGGGCGCCGAAACGCCGTCTTCTGAGCCGGGATTTTGTGCAACGGAGATGTGGGATTCGGACTGGGACGAAGATCCGGAGGAAATGTTTTTATTTCGCCATCAACGGCGCTTGAGTGACCCAAGTTCAAACCTAAATAACTTCGTTCGTGGTAGCTGGAAATCAAAGTTAGATATGAAGTCTAGATCCGAAAACGAAGGGTTAGACTGTATAGACAACGACATTAGCGAAATTGAGGCTGGCGACGTCAGAGATGGTAAGTCATTTTTCTGCTGCTGCACTAGGCATATGCTTATAGCACAGCGTTATTCCATCATAGACTGATCAGCATTGGTTGCGCGAAGCAGGACTGGAAAATGTTAGCACGTAGTTATATAAAACGTAGCGTAGACTTAGTCTTTTTTTACTTATTTTGAAATGATAATAAATTCTTTTGGTTGTAGTGTCTGGTCCTGCTTCTGCATCTAAAGCTGGCTGCTGTGGTTGTTTTCGACGGCATAAGCGAGAATCGATCGCTCTGTCTGAAATCTACTGTCGTGCATGTGCCTCGCCTTCAGCTTGCATTCAAAGGGCTCCCCTAGGTCCGCTCGAAGATCAGTGCGTGTGCAATACTCCGCACAATATACAAAGCTTACTGAATCAATCCGATTACGAACTTGGAAAGGAGCAAATTAAGACCAAGAACTATACAAAGATTCGCGACTTGCGTAACAACGCGAATTTTGCAGAGTTCGAGTTTGCAGACGACGCCATCAGTTTAAATGGAGACGCGAGTGACGAACGGCCGTCGAGCAGAGCATCCGAATCCAGTACGCAATCCTTTAAAGAAACGGCGTTCACGGATAATCCTTACATTAACGTGAACGGCAAAGAAGAATTGCCATGTGCCGAAGAAATCAAGAAATACCCCATATCAGTATCGACTAAGCAAAACAACCTAACCGCAAGCGATGATGTTAAGCTACAAGATATTAACATAAAAATCATTGCTAATGGTAATATCAATTCAAACGAGAAGGACGTTTCGCGCTTTGATTCAAATTACAATAAACTAACGCAAAATAAGTGTCGCAATTATTGCACGTTGCCTAAGCTAAAGATCAAGCATAAGTTTTATCGTCCGGTAGTGTTTCCGCCCCACAGAATAACGCCCGATGGCACTCACATATACTATTGGTGCGATTTGACCAGACGACCAGGTAAAAACAATGCGCGCTTCAGTGTTTCTTCTTGAATGTACCTACTACAGCGTAAAATGAACTAACGTAAGCCTTTTTTGTTTCAGAATTGGATGACGGTGCCTACAATCCGCTCTGGACAATGAGAGGATTCACTCAAACCTTTCATTTCTGGAAGGAGAACAAACGTGCCCAATCAACTCCTCTGAATGCGTTCTTGACGTATGTCACCTTGCCATGGTGGAGCATAGCGAAAGGTAAGTTAATTCAAAAAGTAGAAATTGAGATCCGATTCCGCTCCCCTTCCCATACATATTATATCTACCAAACAAAAACATTGAAATTGATATAACCATTAAAAAGAGCGTAAGACATTATGCTTTTGCGTAAAATCACGCCTATGAAGGTATATAAAAAGAACAAAAACCATTTCATGTGGTAGAACAATCTATCGCTTTTTTAAAGATTGTGCTACATTTATGTTGTAATCTGGTTTTCTTAGCTTCAATTAAAGATAGATACTAGATAGAACTAAGCCCCTACCTCTCCCGTTCTGTTTCATCATTGACGCCAACACTTTATCACCGGGGAAAAGCGATGTAACAAGATCTATAGCAATGACTGAGCTTGGTGCTTGCGTTCAAGCGTGGGGTGCTAGGTAATGCTATCAACTTTAAGTGCGTCTAGTTTCTAAAGACCCTAGAGAGTTAGGGAAAGGGCCTACAAAACTCTCATTAACTCCATAAAAATCCAAACAGTCCTCGAAGGAAATCACTAGAAACTTTAAAAGGGAGACCTTCTGAAATCTTATCCCAATCCTACAAGTGATTTCTAAAGTAATTAAACACTTTTACAAATATTCTCGCAGAGGGTTTTATGGAGGCTACGGGGGATAATAGAAAAGAAATGTCTCGGCATGAAACAAAAGATATACGATTGTTTTCATTATTTTATTTTTCTACGTAATCTCCACTAACATTAATAGTCCAGGAACTAGAGACTGAAAATGGACCATTTCCTGCAAAACGAGAAGTAGTTCCATTTTTTTGCATGTCATGAAAGAATATCTGGTGGTTATAAATCCAAGTTTTCGACCTCCTACCCCTTGTGCTTCCCCCGTACCACCCTTAAAACCAAAGAAATTTGGATGGTTTTTTAGTTTATCAATCACATCTTTTTATAGGTTAATTTTACAAAAAAAATATTGTTATCAGAAATTGTAGACTATAAAATTGTACACAACTTTGATATACACTACTTTTTTGTGACATGTTTATTAAAAACGATATAGAGCTTCAGAGTTGCTTATATTTTTAAGAATTCTGAAATTTCTATGAAGATGTTTTAACCAAATTTCATACTTTATAATTAAGAGTTTTATGGGAAAATATCTTGAACTTATCGTGGTATAAATCCCCCTACGCTGCACCCTTACCAAATGGGATGCTTAATAATTCACCTTTCAACCCTTGCTAGTGGGGATATTTGAAGCACTGTGAGATTGTAGGGCTTTCTAACAAACAAAAAAGTATCTCACTTCAACTCTCGAGCTCTATATCTTTTTTAATAAACATTTCACAAAAAAAGTAGTTGTGTAGAATTTTATGGTCTACAATTTCTTATAACAATATTTTTTTCTAAAGTGAACCATTAAAAAGGTATGATTGAAAAACTAAAAAAATTTCAGGGGTTTTGGGGGTGGTGCAGGGGAAGCACAAGGGGTGGGAGGTCGAAAACTTGGATTCTTAACCATCAGATGACTGTCTATGACATGCAAAAGAAATTGGAACTACTTCTCATTTTGCAAGTTAAAACCCTCTATTCCCTGGACTATAATACACTTAAACTATTTATACCTTTTAACGAACTAATACCATTGAAAAATATCATTTCTTCCTTGTCCGCAAAAAAGTTGATAACAGCAGTTTTTAAGCAAAAGCAAGTCAAAACGGCAGTCCCGAAGGTGTTTCTTTAACAAGGAAACAGATAAAAGTCGGAAGGCGCCAAATCCGGACAATAGGCAGGATGGTCATCGTGGTTATCGTCAATGGTTTTGCGAAAATTTTGTAAGGTGTTGCCATAGAAAAAGCTTTAGACCTTAGCAAGAGTCTCTTAATTACTTTCCAGACATGTAGTAGACCATTTCTAGTATTTTATAATAACGCTTTGAAAGATCTGCAACACTAGAATATTTTGAAAATAAAATAAAAAGAGCATTTTTCAGCCCTTTTCTGAGCTGAGTAAAGTAATTTGGGCATAGAAAATGTTGCGAAGGGTCTAGGGAGTTCTGAAACTGGCAAACATTTTCAACAAGAATGTCAATTTAAGGCCCTGGAGTGTTTTTGTTGTATTGCGTTGGAAGACGTTGCTCTGGAAAGTAGGTACAGAAACTCGTGAAAGGCATTTAACATTTCCAGAGTTTTGAGTCCTTGAATTCTTTAGATCCTTTCTAAGGTTTCCAAGAGCCTTCTAGATCTTTCCTAGGATTTCTTAGGGCTCCGGCTTTTTCAGTGGCAGAAAGAAGAAAGGTTTAAAACGGTCCGAAACATCCTTAAAATGGAAGGACAATTTTATAATTCCTTTCTTCGGTTCTGCTCAATTTTTTTATAATAAAAATATCATTTTTGAGTTACGCTGTTAAAAAGCGCTGTATGATTCTCATAAATCCCACGAATTTTCTTTATCTAATCATTGAGTCAAATTATTACACAAAATTACAAAAGTAGAACATTGCAGGTGATTCTTGCACTAATCAAAAGCTCAATTTAGGTACATGCACGGCCACTCACATCATTTCAGCTTCTAGTGGATAAGTTTACCCAATAGGCTCTTACGACTGACAGTGTAAAACCCAAAAAAAAGTGGCGATAAATCAGCACCATCAGCAAAAGGTGCGTTGGAACTTTTTCGATACGCTACCCGATATAAGACAATAATTAGTCGAACCTGAACAACACAAATTTGTGACTAATTAAAATTAAACCGAAGTGCAATGTGTTAAAGTAATAGAATTGGTACTCTCTAATAATTGTGTATAATAAAATCTGTAATTAATACAGTTCTTTTTTTACAGATATCCTGGATCATCGAGAAAGTCCAATCCTCACGTTTTAGTAGATGGCCAAATAGCCTTTTTATTTGTTTGTTTATAGTACAATAATAATAAAACGGCTACAGTAATAGATTGATTTGATGGTGCATTTTGGAGGAAGGTACAATAACTATGACATCTGCCATTCTATTTTTAGATATTAATATTCCATTTCTTGTTTCATTTTTTGTTATTTTTGGAATAGTTTGTATATAATTGACATTTTATGTACTACGTAAGTATACCGATGGTGTAAGGTTTGAAATTATTATTGTGAAGAGTACAGTTCAAATTAGTTCTAATGCCATTTTACTGAGCTGTGATAATAATTTTAAATATATTCCGTATGTGTAATTTCTGAAGGTACATTAAAATTAAAACATGACCTCAAGTTCATGTCCCCAATTTCCTTATCATACAAAACGCTCTTTTCTTGACGCAGTTACACAAACATGAAAGTTAAAAAGTAACGCAGATTTTTGCAGTAGGTATATCCATAAAAGCGATTTCCATGATAAAGTTGCGAAAATCTGAACACTTTGCTCGCTTACATGTTTTTATCGACAATAACCTCGATCCCAGGTCAACTGGCATGTGATTACAAGAAACGATGATAAACTGTTCATTAGTCTCCAGTAGTAAATCCGCCTACTGAACTAAAAGATGTTAACAATATCACTACTCCTAATATTCGGTAATGTAGCGTTTGGGTGTCATCGAGTACCCAGCGTATATCACTCACGTGTCTCCAAACTATCTGGAGACAATGGTTATCATATAAAATTGCAAGATGATATAAATAAGTATGTCCCGGGCGAAGTCTACACAGGTATGATGGAAACATGCTGCACAGTCGAGTTATTCGATGCTCAACAGGGTATCTGCTGGGATCGCGAACTTTCAACAAAGTCCAACATTTCCGACGGTTTACTCTGAATATTGAGTCTAAAAACGACCCGGGAAACATTGCCCCTCAAAAAGTGGGCACATTCCAATTGTTCGGCGATAACTTATCCAAATTCAATGAGGACTGCGTAAACACCTTGTCCGAAACGAGCAATTTGCCAAAGACAGAGATCTCGTTTATATGGACAGCACCACCTGCAGGTTCCGGATGTGTTACCTTTAGGTAAGCAACCTGCCAGTGTTTCAACACGACATATGCGTTTCTTAGGGCTATGGTTTTGGAGGATGCCGAACGATGGTTTGCCGAGGACGGCGCTCTAAGTAGGACGGTTTGTGAGCAAACAGAAAGCGATAAGAAATTCGACCCGGATGATTGCTGCGCTTGCGACGAGGCCAAGTATAGCGTACGAGATGATTTGGCTATCCTTCTTTCGATTACGATTATAATTTCAGTTGATCTTCGAAGGTATTTGGTCGGATAAGACGCATCCCAAAGATTTCCCGTTTTCGCTGTGGTTGACTCACTTTTCCGACGTAATCGGGGCGTCACACGAGAAAAACTTCAGCTTCTGGGGTGAAGGTCATATCGCAACTGAAGGTTTCCGTAGCTTGGCCGAATGGGGTTCGGTGCGACTTATGGAAAGTGAGTTAAGAACTCAAAGCAAGTATCTACGGACCATTATCAAAGCTGCGGGATTGTGGTACCCAAAAGTCAACACCAACACTTCCACCAATTTCCGCGTAGATCGCAAGCATCACTTGGTGTCCCTTGCCTCCATGTTTGGTATGCGAAACTTCCCGTTGATATTCTCAAGTTGTAAACTCTCGTAGGTCCTTCGCCCGACTGGGTTGTGGGAGTAAATGGTTTGAACTTGTGCTTGAAAGATTGTACTTGGGTGGATAAGCTGACGGTGGATTTATACCCTTGGGATGCGGGAACCGATAATGGCATAACGTACATGGTAACACATGCACCACTTTTACATCTCTTTCATCACAACGTTTTCAGTCTCCTAACGCAGAAACAATTCCACGGGAAAAGATGTACCGAATCACAACCATGTATCCAGAAGATCCAAGGGCTCCATTCTACGACCCTGGACGAAAGGAGATGCACCCTATGGCAAAGTTTTATTTTATAAGGGAGAAAGTTATACCGAAAAGCTGCGATGAAAGCTTTTTAGCTACCCAGCTTGACGTCAGTGAAAATACGGAAGACACTAGCAGACGTATGTGGAACGCATGCCTATAAAACTGGGGAAATAATCATGAAGCTTTTAGCGGAGTGCGGAGTCACAGAGTACAGTGCATGGAGTGACTGTTCAGTATCGTGTGGAAAAGGTTTACGAATGCGAACGAGGGAGTACTTAATGCCTCAAAAGGCGGCTATGTTCCAATGCAACAGACAGTTGGTATCGAAGGAAATGTGCGTTGCGGATATACCAGAATGCGAAGGGTAAAATATTCTAAATTCTTTCACTTTGAAAGCTGACATTCTGTGTTACCGCATACCTTTTTACCATTATTTCATAAAACTCCCACAGTACGTACCACTTGAAATGACTTTTACGGAGAGTAACTGCTTTAGTAAACTGTAAGCTATCTGATGTTTACAGAGGCCATATGGAGATATTTTTCATATTTCGACTTTAGACTCGAAATTTAACTGCGATATTAAACCCGAAATGTGGAAAATTTCGACTATAAACTCTTGAAATTTGTCAGAATTTAGAATTCATTAGTCAAAGTATTCAAAATACACAGAGGAGGGATGCTGTGGCTATACCTTTAAGATACCTAGGTCGGTCCTGGCTTTACCAGGTCTTGTGTCAAATGTCACAAGGCGCAAACGTAACCCACCATGTTTTGGTGTGGCATCGAAAAATTTACTCACTACCACATTCCAACTACATTCTAGCTTTATTATATGAAACCTCCATTGCGTTAATACATTCTTCTAGGGGAGAATCTGACAATTCCGAAGAAAAAATTGAAGCTAATGACGGAGTTTGTGGCACATCACAATGGAGTCCTTGGTCTGAATGCTCCAACTCCTGTGGAATAGGATTCATCACGAGAACCCGACATTTCCTCGAGAAAAAGGCGAGGAAAAAGTGCACCCACGTAACCACATGTATGAAATTTAGCGAGCGTAATTTGATCGATTGCACAAAATGTAATTTTCAGTTGAACGAGAAAAGTGCATGGGACCCCCGTGTCCGGAGGATGATGCAGAAACGGCCGACCCAATGTGCCCTGTAACGGACTGGAGTGACTGGAGTCTGTGTAGTGCAACTTGCGGAAAAGGAGTCAAGCTGCGAACGAGATTATTGCTAGTCGACTCGGGTCTACAAGAAAAATGTAGCTCGCGCGTTGAGTTAGTGCAGCAGAAGCCTTGCATGGACGTGCCAGAATGCTTGTTCGATATGGCCACAGCAAAACGTAAAACTGTTCAATGCGGAATGTAGGTATTTATCTAATCGATTGATTTAGAGGTTTGCATGCAGCAAAGTGAGCAAGGTGACTGTAACAGGCGGTATAACCGATGGTATTTCGAACCAAATAAAATGATGTGCGTTCCGTTCGTTTATAGTGGATGTGGTGGAAATCGAAATAATTTCTTAACTGTGCAAGAATGTAATGAAGCGTGCAGATTCATAAGAGGTAACCAAATTGATCCCATTTTTCAAATTAACTACAATGTTTTACGTGTACTTTTAGATTCGGCGAGCGGAAATTTTGACAACTTCCCACTTCAAAGTTCACCATCGGGCTTTTTAAGAAACAGTGGACCACCGGTAGATTGTATGGTAACAGAATGGTCGGAATGGTCACCTTGCAGTGCAAGTTGCGGCACGGGTTACACGCAAAAACAAAGGATGATTAAGAGACCGGCAGAGAATGGGGGCAAACCGTGTCCCAACAAATTGGAAAAAAAGAAACGATGTTACTTGAATCACTGCAAATAATTGTATGTGCATTCATAACTGAAGTTTTCTTAACGTGTCTATAAAACACTTATCTTACTTATACAAATTATGTAACCTTTGTAATAATTTGCATTTAATTTTATATTTAAAATAAACATTTTTAAATTCCGTATATGTATACTATGGCGCCACCTATACAGTGATATTCATGTATGTAGAAGTAGACATAGGGATTTCCTATAGGAATTTCCTATCTCTACTTTTACATGATAAAGAGTCTCCAAAAAGACGCCTAATTTTATGCAACCAAAGTAACTACCTACAACAAATGAGGATCTGCCTGTCATATTAATTAATTTGAATATTATCGCTTTGACTTCCCTATTCTAATTTCGGTTCGTGTGCGATGTATTCAACTAAAGAAAAAATTGATATTTCCAATTGGTATAATTCCGATAACAGTTAAAAGAGCTTAAGAGATTTATTTTCTGTGAAGCTAAAGCAACAATATTCAAATTAATAAGTAATACGACAGCCAGATCTTTGTTTCAAGAAGTTATTTTGGTTGCATAAAATTAGGTGTCTTTCAGGAGACTTTTTATCATGTAAAAGTAGACATAGGAAATCCCTGTCTACTTCTACATGAATTTCACTATAGAATGCTTCGCGGTTATTTTGAATTCAGAATGTCTACTCAACGGCTGGTACATCACCCTGTTCCTAAGATCAAGCTCGTTTCTCTTTCTTCTTGCGTGTGTGCTTAAAGTGCGCTTTTCATTAACGATCATGCCATGGCAAGGGACACAACTAGGGAATGCAATACCGGGATCGCGGGATCCCGAAATACCGAGATCCCACACCATTTTTGCGGGATTAATCCCGCACATAAATGGAGCGGGATTCCGCGGGATTTGCGGGACTGAGGAATTTGTCGACCAAAGGAACGACTCTGTTTGCTTTGTTAATGAAACGCATAACGGAGAAATTAGTTTTAAAATAATTGTTAAACTTTTTTCGTTAAAAATGTACTATGATTTTTGAGGCACTTTAGAAGTTCACCTTTTTTTGCTTTACAGGTGAGGTTTTTTTGAGTTCTAAGTTAGGCTGAAGGTACCTTTTTGTTGAATATTGTGATAATTAGCGATTTATTTTAATACAGAAGTTAACCGCACACAATTGCTTATTTGCCAATTTATTTAAAATTTTGCGGGATCCCGCAAATACCGGGATCCCGCGAGATTAACATCTAAGGATCCCGCAAATACCGGGATTGAGATTTTGCTGCGGGATTGCATTCCCTAGTTGCAGCCCTCAGATCGACCCGACCGACTCCTGATCGAAAAAGTTAGAATTGTTTTGGATTCTACGCACCAAAATTAATAAGAAAAAGTGTTTTCCCGAGAAATTTTGGTGCAGTCGATTTTTGGAAAAAAGGAAGGTTATACACTGCCTTTTTTTGCCCCGAAAAAAAAATTGTCTCAGATCGACCCGGAAAAAAATTTTTCTTATAGAACGTGGCCTGTAGAATCCATAATTTCAAACAGTTTCAAGATTGGGCTACTAGTTCAAAAGTTACAGCCCTTTGAATTTTCTTTCGAAATTATGGTTTCTAGTCTATAACTTTTGATTGAGAAATCTGATCGAAAAAGTACAAATTGTTTTGGATTCTACGCACCAAAATTAATAAGAAAAAGTGTTTTCCCGAGAAATTTTGGTGCAGTCGATTTTTGGAAAAAAGGAAGGTTACACTGCCTTTTTTTGCCCCGAAAAAAAAATTGTCTCAGATCGTCCCGGAAAAAAATTTTCTTATAGAACGTGGCCTGTACAATCCATAATTTCAAACAGTTCCAAGATTGGGCTACTAGTTCAAAAGTTACAGCTAGGGAATGCAATACCGGGATCCCACAGCATTTTTGCGGGATTTAATCCCGCACATAAATGGAGCGGGATCCCGCGGGATTTGCGGATTGAGGAATTTGTCGACCAAGGGAACGACTCTGTTTGCTTTGTTAATGAAACGCATAAGGGAGAAATTAGTTTTAAATGATTTTTGAGGCACTTTAGAAGTTCACCTTTTTGTGCTTTACAGGTGAGGTTTTTTTGAGTTCTAAGTTAGGCTGAAGGTACTTTTTTGTTGAATATTGTGATAATTAGCGATTTATTTTAATACAGAAGTTAACTACACAAAATTGCTTATTTGCCAATCTATTTAAAATTTTGCGGGATCCCGCAAATACCGGGATCCCGCGGGATTAACATCTAAGGATCCCGCAAATACCGGGATTGAGATTTTGCTGCGGGATTGCATTCCCTAGGTACAACCAGCTCGTTGATATACGAGTAGACAGGCAGCTATGGTTGGCTATGTGTGCGGATATCATGGACCCACTACTTCTTGGTGCATTTATACACGTTGGCCGTCTCCAGGGCCGGCCCAAATGGTGAGGCAGAGAAGCGGTCGCCTCAGGCGGCACATTTTTAGGGGCGGCAAATCGGCAATATTACGAGAAAACGCACATCAAATTGGTTGTTTGTTTTTTGCATGCCTACTTATTTATTTACAAAAATAGGAAGAGAATATAAAGAAACCAGTTACCAGATAGTAAGTGGAATTGCCTTACAATGTCAATGTACTCGGTACGTGTACGTGACGTTACTCATCAGGGGCCCGGTCTCAGCGGCGCTGAGTCGGCGTAGGCGTACCTCTCCCCACTCCCCTAAACGGTGAAAATGAAGTTTATGTGCTTCTATCTCATTTGTATTTTGCTTGTGTACGTGACAGAGTGACAGACGGTGACGCAGTTTACATTACAATCCACGATAATTTGCCAGCAAATAATTAAGGTAAGATAATAATTTATCTACAATCTACTTATTACATATCCATATCCTTACGCTTACTTACCAGTTTCTTTCTTACGTATGCGTATATATTTCGTATTTCGTTGAATTCCCGAATTAAAGTTATAAAAATAACTCACATTGTTTTAGGAGCCGCTGGCGCATTATAAAAGTAAATATGAGCGATGCGAAAAGGAAAAGGCTTTCTGGTAGCCAATATAAAAAAAAGAGGCTGGCAAAGGAAAACGAGCAGCGTAAACTTTCTGGTGCGCTTGAAAAGTTTGTGATTCCTTCAGCTTCAGCTTCTACTTCATTAGCTGAAATTACGAATACAGAGCGAGACGAAAAAGTTGGAGCAGAAGCCAGTTTAGAGGGACCCGGTGAATGTGAAGGTGATCGTGATAATGATTATACTGACCAAATTTGCAATACCATTGAACTCGTTCGCAATACGTCCCCCAGGAAAGACGAAGATGACAGCACGGAAGTATTAAACTTCGAGGTAGACAGTGACCCAGCATCTTGGCAAAACTTATCTGTGGGCCAGCATCAAATTATTATAGAACAAGGCCCCATACAGATAAAGGGGACAGCTTTCCCTAAAGATGAATCTGGTAGGCATTTTTCTGAATCACATTATTTTCGCATAATGTCTAATGGAGAAAAGGTAGAGCGAAAATGGTTAATATACTCTGTACGAACAGATGCAGTGTATTGTTTCTGTTGTAAGTTGTTTAACAATCCTGACGTAAATGCAACAACTTGGTCAAGAGGCTACAAAGACTGGAAGAATATTTCCAGGAGCGTGAAATCCCATGAAATTTCTCGAATACATATGGAATGTTATAAAAAATGGAAAGAAATGGACACGAGACTAAAATATGCTCGAACGATTGATGAAGAACATCAGAAGATTTTGAATCTAGAGCGACAGCATTGGCGCGATATTTTACAAAGAATTATTGCCGTTATTCAACTGTGTGGATCACAGATGTTAGCACTTCGTGGCTCTTCGGACAAGATATTCCACCCAAATAATGGAAATTTTTTAAAGATAATGGAACTACTTGCAAAATTTGACTCCGTTACAAGAGATCACTTGAGAAGAGCTTCAAATCATTCAAGAGGTACTCATTATTTGGGCAAAACGGTACAAAATGAAGTAATAAGTCTGTTAGGAAAAAAAGTTCGAGATACAATATTGGAAAAAATAAAACTTGCAAAATACTATAGCATTATATTAGATTGTACTCCCGACGTAAGCAAGACAGAACAAATGTCTTTAGTTATCCGTATTGTGTCAAACGAAAATGGGGAATACAAGCCGAAAGAATATTTTATAAATTTTCTACCCGTAATTAATTGTAATCAACAAGTGGTGCTGGACTTACTGAGGTATTATTAAACGAATTAAATAGATTAGGTCTTGAAGTTGGAAATATTCGTGGCCAAGGATACGACAATGGAGCCAACATGAAGGGGGTACATTCTGGTGTCCAAAGAAGAATTTTAAATGAAAATCCGAAAGCCTTTTTTGTTCCCTGTTCCTGTCACTCCTTAAATCTAGTTGTGAACGATGCCGCAAAGAACACTGGAGAAATTTCAAATTATTTTTGTCAGGTACAAGAATTATTTGTATTCTTTTCGGGGTCAACTCAAAGGTGGAGTGTACTTCAAAAACATATTTCATCCCTAACAATAAAAAGCGTAAGTGACACAAGATGGGAAAGTCGCATCAACGCTATCAAGCCATTAAGATACCAATTAGGAGAAATATATGACGCACTTGTGGAAATTTCTTTGGATGAACAAAAAGATGCAGACACAAGAAACAAGAGTAAGTCACTGGCACATATAATTTCCAATTATAAGTTCATTGCAGCACAGTTGTGTGGTATGATGTCTTATTCAAAATAAATGTAGCATCAAAACTGCTACAAAGTGCAGACATGGTTCTTAGTGAAACTATAAACATTATGAAAAATATAACCCTGTTTTTAAAGGACTATCGCTTAAACGGTTTTAACAAGATGCTGTGTAGTGGTACGGAAATTGCTGAAGACATGGAAGTTTCCCCTACTTTTGTAGTTGATAGATCGCTTAGAATTCGGCGAAAAACTCGGTTATTTGACTATGAAGGGAGGGATTGTGTAATAGAAGATCCCACAAAACAGTTTGAAGTAGAATTTTACAATAGGCTATTAGATATTGCATTAATTCTGTGGAAGAAAGATTTGTGCAATTGAAAGCCCATAGTAAACTGTTTGAGTTTCTTTATAACATTCCAGGATTAACAACAATGGAACCAAATGATGTGCTTAACAAATGT